AATAATAATAAACTATAATTTCTTATATAGCTTTTTAATCTTACCCTTAATTTTATAAATAATATATAACTTAAAAAGCTAAATACCTTTATATATCTTAAAATTAAAGCATTTAAAGTAAAAAACACTATTACTAATTAACTTTATAATCTCTTTATAATTAAACTCCTTAAATAAGTTACTTAGGGTATTAATTATATTATTACATTAAAACTTTAAAGAAAAATCATAATTCTTAACCTTTTGCTAAATAAAATATATTTTTTTTAGCTTATTCTTTAATTCCTTAAGCTATTTATATTATTAAAATTATAATAATTCCAATATTGCTAAGATTAAATTTAATTTAAATTAAATAAGCTTATTAAGAATATTATTTAAGTTAGAAATTAGCTAAACATTATCTTTATCATTCTTATCTTAATAATATAGCTAAATTAATATTAATTAAAAAACTATTAGGCCGTTTAAAAGGTTTAATATAAGGTTATATTTATTAATGCTAAGCAACTTATATAATCCTTGCTAACCATGCTTTTCTTGCTATACTTATATATTACTTTATAATAAAAGACTTAATACTTTTATAATATTTAAGCCGTTATAAGTATTTAAAGCTATGTTAACTTATCATTTAGTACAAGCCTTATATAGCTTTCTCATAGCTTTTTAAATAACCGCTACTTTTTTAAGAGTTAAGAAAGTTAATGCAAAGTCTTTTATAAGTCTTAGATATGCGCTAAAAATAAGGAGTATTAAAATAATGCTATTAAGGCTAACTATATTATTCACTGCCTTAATAACTATTTATAAGATGGCTTTCTTAATATAAGTCCCTAAGAATTTAATATAAAGGATGTTAAAAGCTCTTTAAAGCAAAGCATAATACCTTTTAACCTTGCCAATAAATTAATATACCTTTATTAGTACTTGCTTATAAATAATGCCTATAATTTATATAATACTTTAGAATTCTGCTAAGGTAAAGTTAATTCCGGCGTTATAAATAATATAATTAGGAAGTCCTAAATAAGTATCTATTTAGCATTGCTAAATAGCCTTCTATATATCCTTTATAAAAAGAAAAATAAGAAATCGCCTAACTTAAAAAGAGGTTGCTAAATTAATAACTTACAAAATAAGCAAACCAAGCAAATATATAATATCCATAATAATCTTATAATTAAAGTTAATATTATTCCAAAGGTTAAACTTAAAACATTATAATATCGTGAAATAAAGTTAATAATAATAATAGAATTTAAAAATTGCTTTTAAGATGGAAGGATTAACATTGCCATAACCAGCATTAATAAGGAGGCGCGAAAGATAGTTAACTAAAGGGTATCCAAACCTATAATAAAGTTGCCAAAGCTTTATTTCTATTAAGAACATTATTAATATACTATTACTTTCTATATTAAGGAAAATTTATAAATATTCTTACTTTTAAGTAATTAGGAAAGTCTTCTTTAGGTAACCATCTTTTTATTAAATTACTTTATTAATAATATTCCAAAGGAAGAAAGAGTTTTTATTTATATCCTAAATATAAAGAAGGAAGGGAGTAAGCTTATTTATAATATAAAACATTAATAATCTTATTAAAGTATTAACTTATATTATACTAAGTAACTTAATAAGTAAGCCTAGGCTAAATTGCATTTATGCTTTGCTAGCTTATATAATATTTAAGTATATAAAAGACACTTAACGTTATAAAGCTTGGAATTGCTTATATTTAATTATTAAGAACATTGCTATACCTATATTTAGCATAATACCTTAATATTATTAATAAAAGTATTAATTTTAAATAATAAATATCTTTATTATTAAGCAATCTTTAAAGTTAATATAAATATTAAAGCCACTTATGCCATTAAAAAAGTTATAAAGGAAGGCTTAATTTATTAAAAAGGTATAATAAGTACGCCCCTTCTTGCCATTATTAATAATTAAAGTTATTATAATGCTAATAGCTTTAAAGTTAAGATCTTTAAAGCTAATAAGGAATGTATTAAACTTATCATTATTAACTTATTATTTAATATCCTTATATATATAAATATATATAGCTTTAGCATGCTATTAATCTTTAAGTAAGTAATTTATTAATTAATATTCCTCTTTATAGCATATAAAATACTTTTTCTTTCTGCATTATATATTATTATTATTACCTTCATTAAGCTAATATTTACCATTATAGCCACCTTTATAAGGTCCTTTACTATAGCCGCTACCTTTAAATTAATAGGGCTGGCTTAAGCAAAAGTTAAATTAAAAGCCATTACCCTTAAAAAGAAATTAAGGGTACCTTAAGCATTAATTATTATTATTATACCGCTTATTAAGATAGTATTGCTTTTTAATATTTATAATAGTTAAATTATTATTATTTTAATTATTATAATTATTAATATAACCTTATTTATAGGCTTATTAATTATTTCTTGCAATTATATATTATAATATAGGGTTTTAAGCCTTTAATGCCTTAATATATTATTATAAAATAAAGTAAAGTTGCTTAATATTTATTAGCGCTATTAAGATAGCATAGTGGAATTTAGAAATGCCTTATACTGCTTATAGAATTATATCTTGCAAAGAGCCATTTCCATGGATAATATACCTAAGTGCTTTATAGCAAAGCCGCATCTTATTAATAAGCATTTAAAAAATATTCATATAACTTTTATTTAAATTCCTTTATTAAAAAGTAAAAAAAATTAAAGTATTTTAGTTTATAAAATAGTTATGGTAATTATTATTTATATTAAAGCAATTCTTAAGTTTCTTATATACTTAAGTAAATAAGTCCTCTTAATTAATAACTTAAATATAATATATCTTTGCTAATCCCTTAAGTATATATAAAAGAACTGCCTTAAACTATTAAGGCCAAATCCATAAGTTGCTGCAAGCCTTATAAAAAAGAAGGATCTTATTATTAAGAATATTATATAGTTCTTTAATAAATATTTTATCTTTATAATAATATTTACTTAAGTTAGCTACTATATTTAGGTTAAGTAGGAAGTTTTTTATTTTTATTAAAGGCAAGAAGGTATAATAATTATATGCTATATAGAAATTATTAACTAAAGAAAGGTTACCGCCTTCCCTTAATAAATTAGGAAGTCCCGGAGGGCCACTACTACCTTCGCCGCCACTGCTAAGTAGGCCAGGCGGTTTAAGTAGTTTAAGATTAAGAAAATCATTATTAATAAGTAATTCCTTATCTTCTATTAGGGCATAATTAAAGTTAAGGATAACATAAGTATTTAGATTATAATTCTAAATTTAATTAATCTTAGATATAATATAATATTCTTGTTTTTAATTTGCTAGCTATTTAAGATAATTTAATGCTTTAAGAACATACATAAGTTCCCTTAAAGTATTCGCTCCTTAAGTATAAATACCCTTAACTTAAAGAGTCTTCTTAATAATGCATAGCAAGTCTTTATTAACTTATATAAATATCAGCTTAGTTTAGCTATAAAAGTCCTTAATAAACGCCTTATATACCTTATTACTTAATATATATGCTATAGCTTAAATTTAGCCCTAAATATAGGTATTTAAGTATTATTTACTGCTAAGAGATCCCAGGAGATTTATCCATACCAAGGGATTAAGTATCTTAACAATGCTTTTAAGTATAGGAGTACAATCTATCATAATCAATATTAATAAACCATTCTAGCCAGCAATATTGCTTATCATATTTACTATCTTATTATTTTAATAAAATAATAATAAGGGTATGTTTAATTTAAGAAAGAAAATAGTAAAAAGGAGAAATAAATAATATTAAGGGAAAATAAAAAAGTTAAAGGTTACTTTTATAACTTAGCCGTTAAAAAGCAAATCAATTCCTTTCTTTACATTTATTTATATAATGAAATATAAATAAATATATTATTAATAAAAATAAATATTAATTTAATTCTTTTAATTATAGCCATTAAATTTAAAAATTATTATTAAGGTTATTTAAAATATAATAAATATATATATATTAAGAGTAGGGGAGTTTGCTATAATTTCTTGCCATAATAATTACCTCTTTATATATTGAGTATTATCGTTATTATAAACTGCGCTATGCAAATTTGCAATATTAATAATGCCAATTAGCATAACTAAAAGGTTATCTTTTTAAGCCTTGCTAATTTATAATTGCCCTTATAATTATTAATTAGTATTAGCTAAGTTATATATTGCAATATAACGTTTAGTTAATGTAATAATTAATTATTATTAACTATGAAAGGAAGGAAGGAAGAAGGCCTAACTATGCTAGCTATTTTATATGCAGCGCTAAGGCTGCTGCCTACCGGGCATCTTAATAGGCCAAAGCTGCCTAGTTTCAAACAATCCTCCATATAAACAACACCCATTATTCCCACAAAAAGTATATTAATTAATTACTTATTAATATTATAATAAATATTTAAGCCTTATATTATAAGTATTTCTTAAAAAGCTTTTTAAAGTATATAATAAAAAAGAAATTTAATTAATTATAATTTTATAAAAAAATTAATAATTAAAAGCTTAAATTAAGGCTAATTAAAAAATTATAAGAACAAAGGTTTAAATTAATTTAAATATAGCTTTTATTAATATTAAAGCTATTTATAAGGCTTAAATAAAGATAGGAAGGGTATTAAAAGAAAGCAATGCCTTTAGAAAATTAGAAATACTAATGAAAGAGGGATCGTGCATTGTGATGGCGGGTAATTAATGTTAATAAGAAGGCATATATATGTGGCGAGGGTGGGCCGAATCAGGAGGTGGGCCGAATCTGGGCCGGGGACGTTACAGAGCTGATTGTGGAGATCACGAAGAGAGCGCAGGGAGTTTTCCTCTGGACATTTCTTGTCGTTAAATCCATTTTAAGAGGACTTCGCAACGAGGATAACATATCTGACCTCCAAAACCGGGTTCAGCTTCTACCCGCCGAACTGTCCGAGTACTTTGACCGGATGTTGGCTTCCATTGAGGATGTTTACCAGACGCGGGTCAGCCGGCTGTTCCTAACCTTATCTCTGGCCCGCACCACCTTTCCCATCCTCACCTTCTTCTACCTGAACTTTGACGATGAACCTATGACGGAGGAGCCATTATCTTTACTTCATGACTGGCCAGATGTGAACATGGACGAGGCCGAGATCCTGATGGCAAAGAAGAGACAACCAATTGCCCAGTGCAAAGATTTGATTCACATATCTCCAGAGCCTGGCGCCCCGGTATTATTTGCAGAGAGGGTCGGGTTTCTCCACAGGACTGTGGTCGATTACATACAAACAGAGGAGACCAGCCAAAAACTGATCCGTCTTGCGGGTCAGGACTTCGAGCCGAGAATGGTTCTCCTGCAAGCAAATTTGGGCCAACTCAGATCCTTGCTACAACTCCACCGCTTGACATATATCCGTCCTCACCTCGAGCAGTGGATACTCGGCTGCCTATACTATGCTTACATGACCGAAGTCACGACCGGCGAGCCCGTAGAGAAAGAACTCGACGAGCTTGAAAGGATGATCGGGCAACACTTCAGCAGGTGGAGCTTTTCACATGCAATGGAAGTCCTGTTCCGGGACCCAGGAATTACGCGGTTCCTCGACCTGGCTTGCATGTGTGACCTGGCCTTGTACGTCACAAGCAAGGTCCCGGATTGCACGCCGGCCAAACTCCAAAGTCTTGCACCAAGGTGGCAGAGCCACACCAGGATCACGCAATCTTCAGGATTTGAGATCGTGAGCCTCGATGCTGGGGAGGAGAAGAGGCTCGTCCGTCGGTTGAAGAATCTTTCTTGTATCACCAATCATGTCAATCCCATCCAAGGACCTGGGAATCACACCACCTCCCCAACATCCCCCACATCGGTTGCGAAGACCGTGTCGTTCAGTACTACCCAGCAGCCGCAAGTCACAGCTTCTCCCAAACGCATAGAGAAATTCATGAGGCGCGTTAAAAATGTCTTCCGATGACACAATATCACTTAGCTTTGCCACTATCAAATGATGACAATTTACCATAAATCCCAACTCACAAGTCCTGATTTTTAGAGGCCATTATTCGCGCGCCGAAGTCTTAGTTCTGCCTGGCTGGCTGGCTCATAGACTTTTGAGCCTTGATGGCTAACTATTCTTCTGAGTCTGCCACCCTGGACAAGTGACGACCAGTCCGAGAGCGTTTAAACAAGCCGTAGTATTTGGTTCCTTCTTTGCCTACAATTCATCCGTGAAAATTATGTGTATCATCAATGCCCATATAATGAGCATGTTCTGCCACTCTTATTTCTCGAATTACTCTTCAATGTTGCCGGCCGTTTGGCCATTGTTGCTTATTCTTTATGATTGGAGACTGCTTAGCTCCGAGACCTCCATGATCTGCCACCACTTGAGGTGTCACATACAACCCCGGAAAATTTAATTTTCGGCAGTCCATAATCCTGGGAAATTATGAAGTGTGGTCTGGAACAATAGTGGGCGATGGGTTGAATTGAAAGACCAGGTTGGACTGGCCTCAAAAAACAGCTATCTATATAAAGCCTTGATTCTCAAGTATGATTGCGGCGAAACCACATCCACAGGAAGCTATATAGAGTGGCTATGGACAGAAATCAAAAAGTAATTGCCCAAGAATAGTCTATCTAGGTATAGTGAGCGAATGTGCAAGAAACTTGCGTCCGTCAAGACTGGTATGGTGTACTGATTCCGGTCCTTGTAGCATTTGGTTTAAGCCTAAATCACAATTTGTTAGCTGACTAAGCATCACATTCTGCAACACCTGAGAGACTTACAATGAGGCTGTAGTAGATACTCTTGCAAACCGCACCATTTCCAGTCGTGTACATGACATGCTCGTTATCTTTGAAGACATTGTAGTTGTGTAACGCATTAAAACCAGTCCTTTGTGCTATTGTTAGCCCTCTTTTCCCACGAACGCTCATCATTACAGCTCAAGTTTAGAGATACTTACCCAACCTTGGAAAAGTTGGGGTATGAGTGGGCGTTGGCCGGGAGTATGTAGTAGTAAGTGACGCCGCTAGTAAATGCACAGCCCTGGTTGACCCGGCCCTCCCAGGTAAACAATCCCTTGGTGGACAGGAAGCACTGGTTGTCGGAGCTGGGCTGGAAGTTGCAGTTGCTGTCATCAGCACAGTACTACTCGCAGTCTAAGGTCAGCTTTTGGTCTCCAAGCCTAAAACCTTCCAGCTCCGAAGCGTTTCTTGCAGCAAACATGAGGAGATGGGACCCACGATCTCGATGGAGTACGCCAAACCGTTGCCTTCGCAGTTGACGAGGTGAATACCTTCAGTAGCCCGCGTCGCCAACTTTACGGACTCGGTAGCATTGACAGGAGTGGGAATGGAGTCTGGAGCAGGAAGCTCATCCAGAGGGATAGCACTGAGAGGGAAGTCCTCCGCGACGAAGGGGACCGCAATCGCGGTTGCCGCGAGGAGCGAGGAGAGAACGGCGAATCGGTTGAAGATCATGTTGGGCAGTTATTGACTCTGTGGAGAGCGAGCAATGTGTGTTTCAAAGAACGATCAGGGCTGTGGATGTCTGTGATGATGTTGTTCTCCAGTCTGTTCAATGTGGGTTCCCATGTTCTTCTTATAGTTTATCTTGCGAGTCTGTTGATGGTCAAGATACGAATACATTTCTCCGCTGGTAGTAAGAGTGTAGTATGTCACGGCCATCTCCAAAGTAGTGCGCTGAGGCCATTCACACTCGAACCTGTGCTAACCCAGACTGAAGTAGCTAACTTTTTCTGAGAAATCCAATTTTCCTTTCTTGGATGCTCCTCGAGCTGAAAACTACATTAAATAGCCCACTCATTATCTTCAATGCGGCTTAAGCCTGTTGTGTTCCAAAGGGTGCCCACACCATGACATCTAGTGCTGAAGCAGCAAATGGGCGACGGTTTTTGAAAGTATCGTGAGATTATGCCAAGGCTCACGCCCTTGGTGGTTGGTCTACAGCAGTGGTCATGACTGCTTCTCTCCCTCGCCGCATGAGTGCAGTGCGTGAGAAAGTGGCCTTCCCACTGAAAAACAAATTCTCATCAGCGGTGTGGCATCCTGCAAGGCCCGAATAAGCTGCTGGAAAGTTCATAGCTAAGAGGCGGAGTGAAGCACATTTGCGTGATTGGAGCTCCTGCTAATTCGGTCCTTTGGTATGTGTTGCTGTGAGTGGCTTGTTCTACGGTCTTGTGAGGAATAGTGCTTACATGCATTGCGACGCGATACTACGGCATGGCTGTAGAATGTGACTGTAAGAGTAAGCAACACGACTTGTTCACATTCGGCTTTGCTGAAATTCAGGTGTTGAGGTTCAAGGGACTATCATAATGATGATTCTTGGGGAATTGTAAAAAAAGACCGCCAGCTTGATGTATTATCTAGTAGAAATGACAGGCCTGGGAACCCTGTACATTAAACAAGGCTACATGCTGGGACTAATAAGGCAACCTTTGGGGGCTTTCCCGTCAAGCTTGGATCTCTGGAAGCAAGGCACGTCGACCAAGGGTGGATTCGGATTCCGGGAAGCTGAATAGCTTCGGGAAACGATAATTCCTGTTCTGGCCAAGGATGCGGTAGTTTGCTGCGGTGTACGTTCCGTCAGCGCTTGACGCCGCGAATCACTTGTACAAGTCTTTCACGTAAGGGAATCAGACATGAGGAGAAACAGCAGTAACAATTTGTAGCTGTGTCGCTTTCAGGTAGAAGATGCTGCTGGGCGAAACGAGCAGAAAATGCACAGGATGAATGACTGGCGTCAAGCCACATCACATCTCCAGCTTCCCAAACGGTACTGTGGCCTACGCAACATACCCACCGTGACTGCAGCATGAACTCATCAGAGTTGTAAGCCAGCATCTAGGTAACTGTTTGGCAGAGAAGCGGATTGAGCCGCTCTCGCTCGGCTTAACCATCAAGCTCCATGGTCCGAATGAGAGACGCGCAGACGCCGGCTCGTGCAATAGGTGAACGGGGATCAGGGGGCCAGGGGTGTTGAACACACTTGGAGAAGCCGCATTATGGACCCCTTAATATACTCACGGCAGCTACTGCACAACTTCTATATCAGGAGGAGGAATAGCTCGCAGCTGCTGGTCATTGGCAAATGAGCTATTCCAAGCAATCTGTAGTATTTGTGAGGTACTCCTTAATTCTCCAAGACGAACCTTGGCACGACCAGCTATTCTCTCGTGGGCACCCGGGCCAGGCGACGTCGCACCAGATTTGAATGCTCAGAAGTCACAGATACCATTTTACTTTTCCACATTTACATTGTCATGTTGTTTGCCTCCACAGAAGAGCAACATCCTCGCTTTATTGCATGCCGATCTCTAGTGGAAAGTGCCGGGGCGCTGCAGTTACATGCATCTTCCCCGCTCCGTTGATTACATGGAGGCATGCCAGGAACAAGAGATCACCACCAGGACTCTTCGCAACCAACTCGATGACCAACAATCAGTCTCCTGAGAAATGCAGTCGCGATGAAACGAAGAATCCTCTTGATCGCTTTAGCTGAGCTTCTAACAGGCTTTCGAGCCCAGAACACAACAAGCTTGTCCTTAGACGGTCAGTAACGCACCAATGAACACAAGCGGGACTTGTAATCGTGCTCGCCTCTTCTCACGTTTCGTACAACAAAGCTTACATCCAATTCAGACCTCTGGGACCAATATGTCGGCCCGGTGAGCACTTCTCCAGTCAACAGCACCGTCGAACCGGTTCCCGTGCCATCAGAATCGCTCACTCCACCGCCGCCATTGTACTATCCTCCACTTCCCTTTCCTGGCGGGGCCCAGGTTCCACTGTCGGTTCAAAATGAAAGCTGGAAGTTCCCCCAGAGCTTCTGGCGCGGCGTCTCAGGGTCGTCGTTCCAGATTGAAGGTGCCGTAAAGGCTGATGGACGAGGCCCGAGTATCTGGGATGTGCTCACTCGCGTACCGGGCTTTGTCAAGAACAACGAGACGGCAGACATAGCGAACAACAACTACTACATGTACAAACAAGGCAAGGAGATGCATCCCAGGTGCTGATACACATGAGCTAATGTCACCAGATATCGCACGTATCGCCGCACTCGGCATCAACACCTATGCGTTCTCGATCTCCTGGCCGCGCATTTTCCCCTTTGGCTCGGGAAATGTCAACGAGGCGGGTCTTCAGCACTACGACGACGTAATCGACACATGTATCCAGTACGGGATCACTCCAGTCGTGACTCTCTATCATTGGGACCTCCCACTCAATCTTCAACTCACCTACGGCGGCTGGCTCAACGACCAGATCACGAACGACTTCAGCGAATACGCCCGCGTCGCGTTCACACGATGGTCCAGCAAGGTCCAATACTGGGTGACAATCAATGAGCCCGGCGTCTTCTGCAACAGATACCCGCTGCCAGAAGGGTACTTCAACGACAGCGCAACCGCCGACATCCCACCCGCCCAGCAGTTCTACGCATGTGCTCGCAACGCCCTGCTAGCCCATTCATCGGCCTACCGCATCGGCAAGAGCATCAATTCGTCCCTCAGAATCTCGTTCAAGAACAACGGCGCGTACAAGATCCCATTAGACAACACCGCGGACACCGCGGCGGCCGTCCAGAGGGCGTGGGACTTCAACGACGGCCTCTGGGCGACTCCGGTCTTCCTCACCGGCGACTTCCCGGAGAGCGTGAAGGAATACGCGTCGGAGTTTTTGCCGGCGTTCACGGAGGGGCAGAAGGCCCAGATCAACGGGACCAGCGACATCTTCATGATCGACGCATATGGCGGGGGAGGGTTCGTCACGGTCCCCGGGGACGGTGGCTTGCAGGCCTGCGTCGGCAACGCGTCACACCCGGAATATCCTCGCTGCTATGCTGGCGCTTCGGCTTACCCTGGAGCCGACTACTGGCCGACTGGTCCTGCTGTTGACCCTTGCGCCAGTTGGTTGACCTACAGTACGGATTGGGTCCCAACCATGTTGAAGACATATCAGGAGATGTTCAAACCAGCTGTAAGTGAAATTTGCACATGCAGACCAAACGGCCAACACGGGTGCATACTCATGGCTGACCAATCTTGTCATTTAAAGGGCGGCATAGTGGTATCAGAATTCGGGATGCCGGAACCGTACGAGAGCTTGCGGCCGGATCTCCAGTCTATCGTCATTGACCCTCTTCGCTCGAGGTACTACAGAGAGTACTTGCAGTCGATTCTAATGGCCATGTCTGAGGGCGTGAATGTGGTGGGAACACTGGCTTGGAGTGTCTTTGATAATTTTGAATGGGATCACGGGTACTCTTGTCGCTTTGGTGTGCAGGTAAGTAATTAACGAGATATAGGTAGTATCGTCCCAGAGTCGCTAACGTTGCGCAGTATGTCAATTACACGACACAGGAAAGGTACTTCAAAGCAAGTGCCTTTGAATATGTGAACATGTTCAAGCTCTATCAGGAATGATGAGGCTGGACGAGGATGGCTGTCATGTTGAGTAATTAATTACTGTGCTCAAATGGTCACTCCAGGTAGCCGTTGCACGCGTCGCCGACTCACCCACTGCTCACAGATACTATGGTCTATTGAAAGACGTGCGAAGAGTGGGAGGGACACATAATTAAGATCATCGACGCTCAACTAAGCTATTTCTGAGTCGTTGAATGTGAATCTGTGTCGACTGCAACGATGGCCGGCGAAACTGTTGAGGAGCGTAAAAGGAGTATATTCGAGTTAGTCTACGGAAAAGCCGGCGAGCCCCTAAGAGGGAATTCTAAGTGTACATGATTTAGTACACATTTCAAGCCTCCGTACCGTGAATTCCAAGTGACGTCCCAGGTGTCTAGAAATAAAGGTTTTAAAAAGGTGTATTTTTGGTTGGATCGCACCAAAATCGCTGGCCAACTACCCGGTGTGGTCAGGACTCTGGGGGCCCATTCTACCCTTCCAACTATCTTCGGTACATTCGTATGGCTTATTCCCACACGGGAAGAGTAGCTCCCACATTGGACCGAATAGCACTGTCATAGGACCCCAGGAAAACCAAAACAACTTGATGAAGACGTCCCAAGAGTCTATATTCTTGTCCTCGAACCCCTCCTGGACCTCGAAAATGGCGCCTTGCTCAATGAGGCAATATTCTGTTGCGTTCTTGGTAAACGGCACGCATTCGAGTGGGTCCATGCTGGTGACGTTCTCGATGCGGGTGAGGTTGGTGAACGCAGCCAGCGTGCAATGCTCAACAGCAGTAGCTACAGAAGCTAAATACTGTAGATCAGTATCAATTCCGTCGCTTCTCGGAATTGTTTTGCTTACGAGAATACTCTATTATTACTTCTGACAAAAAGTTGGTGGACTCCGCGATGCTTTTATTGTTCTGGGTTGATAAAAGGGTGGTGACATGCTCGGTGACGTTTGCTTCGCCAAGCCCAAAATCTCCTCTATGATGATGGAATAGTAAGGACTTTCTTGGATTTGGAAGAAAGGCTCAAAAAGAGTGAAGGCCCAAGATTCGAGGAGACTGGTTGCGTTCATGCTGGACAGGTGTGTGGTGTCGTGGAAGGAGAGTGGATGATGCTGGTCTTGGTTGCTAGAAAGGAGGATGGTACCCTTGGCCTTTGGAAGTAATGAATGTAGGAGAGTTCTGGAACGACGAGGCTTGAGGAGCAAACGAGTATGAACTTGAAAAGCAGGCAATCATGGCGTCATTGGCTGATGTGAGAGGCTTGGCTGTAAAAGACCTTGATTTAGACAGAAACGCTGTGTACCTCGATATGCACGCCTATTCATGTGGATTGGAATAACAACAGAACCACGTCGAAATAAACCTGCTTGACTAACGTTCCTAAAAGGGAGAAAAGGAATCACAACGTCAAGTTTGATAGTTGTTTAACTGCCCTATTCGTGCAATACCCGGGGCCGATGCCGTCAGATCCGACTCAAAATGCCCGTCCGCAAGTATGGTATCTCCAAGCCAACTACCATGCCTGACTCCGCCTCTCTGATGAAGACAAGGCAGTCCAAAGCTTCGTTGCCGTAGTACAACCAATCTGCAGCGGTCCACCCTAGACAACCTTGCTGGGCACTGAATCCGACAAGATTCATTGCCGCTTGCAGTTGGCTCTATGGGCCACCAGATCCTCCAGTCCTCACGAATAACCTCCGCCCCGTCATCAATTGTGACGATTCTCTGATACCTCAGACGGAAAGATCCTGAATTTTCCGCTCAGCCCTGGCCCAGGGAGAAAATGTCCGACAGTGAAAGCCCAAATCTCCTGTACTGCGGCCAACACGTCAGAGCCATTCCTCTCCACAACGGAGAGCTTCAGTGAATCAACGTCCTGCTAGGCCGTGACGTTTAAGCACGCCGGCTCCGGCGTCCCGGATACACCCGAACAAGGCCCCTCAAAACTCCCCGTGTACCCCCTCTCATCAGCCTCGACCCTCGCAGCCTCGTCTACAGCTCGTACGATGCTGCTGAGCGTGGCATCATAAACAAACCGGTAGGCTTGAGGCTCTCCTGCCGTGAGCACCACCACGGCCACCCCGTAGTCGTCCACCAGCGCCACCTGCGCGTTGTACCCGTACGCGGCGCCGTTCTTGGCGTAGATGTGGACCGTGTGCGGGTGATCTGGCGTCAGCGTGCCAGCGTCCGGAGTGAAGATCTCCCAGGGCGCTCCGACGGACGAGTGGCTTGAACTGGCGGGGCTGCGGGGTTTAAGCCACGAATTGATGGCTGTGGGAGGAAGGAGGGTTGCGTTGCGTGAGAGGATTGCGTGGAAGAAGGTAGAGAGGTCTGAGATTGTTGACACAAGGCCGCCTCCGCTGATGGACGCGAGAGTTAGTTACTCAATTCCGGGGTAGCAGAAATTAGATGCTTACGGTGCGTTGTCTCCATAATGGCTCCCCCAACTGCTCTGCATCGGCGGGATCACAGCTCGATCGTCAACGCCAGGGCTGGTGGTCGTGCTCATCATGCCAAGCGGATCTGTCACATAGTGCTTGAGCTGTTCTGTGTAATTCATGCCGGTAGCAGCCTCGATGGCGAAGACGAAGAGGCTAAAGACGATGTTGGAGTACACGGGACGCGTCATGGGCGACGCCACTGGCCTGACCTGGAGCATGCCTTGGAGGAACTCTGTGCGATTTAGTCAGCACCTTATCTTGAGTCTTGACACACCATCACATGTGCGTTTGGATGAGTATCCGGACTCACGTTCCCTTGTGCAACCCATATTCAGCGCCTGGACGCCACATGGGGCGTAGTCGCTGTCGTTGAGAGGCGGGAACCCGAGTGACTCGAAGTAGTCTTTCAGGTAGTAGAACTCTGAGAATCCATAGTTGGGCGGAATGCCACTCAGCTGACTAGCCAGAGCCCCGAGGGAGATATTTTCCCACCTGACTGGGCTATCACTGCTCGCTAACTCGGGTAGATACTTGGTGATGCTGTCATCCAGGCTCAAACCGCTCTTGAGCAGGACAGCATCGGATAGGACCTTGGATACTGAGCCGATGAGGTACTGGGAATTTCTGTCTAGCTCCTTTGTGCCGTCGATATTTGCGGCTGAGAGATGGTGGTGTTCCCAAAGTGGTACCCTGGGGTCATCCTGCGCCAATGAGACAACAGCGACAGAGAAGGAGACATTTTCTGTGGGAAAGCCTGCTCGAATCGTGCCGTTCAGAGCCGGGCTGAAATTGTCGCTCAGATTCCTGGCCGCGGACAGGAAGTCTGGTGACGACGATAGAGAGACGGGGCGCGGTACCACGGGTCCTTCGGGTCGGCAGAGGAGCTCTGATAATACAGGAGACAGAAAGATTGTGAGCCGAAGAAGACTCTTGATTTTGAATAATTTGAACATCTTGATAGACTGCAGAAGTGAGGCATTCTGTCTTGAGGTTCATCCAGGACTATCTGAAAATCTATGGGGCAAACCACTCCTTTTATATTGATCTCCTTTGAGTCTCTCATGCCTCCTAAAGATGAAAGCCTTTCGAAGTGATCGCCATTGCATCATATGCAGAAATGCTGCGCCATATTCGTCGATCAGACACGATGAAAGCGAGCATTTTGGGCCGTTAGCGATTAGTGTCAGGATGCCCTCCAACCTGAGGAGTAAACTACTGAAAGTACACACCGGTGCCCAGGTAAAACGTGGGGAGGGTTTCTAAGCTATAGAGTCCTGTTCCCGCCGACTGGACTAGTAAGCGACCTTGAACTCCACAGATCCCAGAGATCGGCACAGGCAACATCAGCCGCCTTTGTTAGTTTGAATGCGGGAATGCGGGAATGTGAGGAATACGGAGGCGGCGCACTAAGATCTGCAGGCGACTTGGCAGCACCGGAGTACCGTCTGCTCGGTACGATGAAGTCTATATTCCTCCATCGATATTCCCGGTAGCGCCAACCTTTGTCATGGTCATGCGTACGCTCTTGATGGCGGCGCAGGAGGCTATGCCACGCCACAAAGACAGCAGGGTCTCACCAGTCGGTAGTGAATCAGAACCACTGCAGTTTGTACATGACTTTATATAACTATATTCTGCGAGCTATACAAACAGCCTTTTCACAAAAGAAATCAAACAAGCTCTGAGCACCCCAGTTGTAACTTGAATCACCTTGGCTTGAGAGAATGACATTCGCCGGGAGATCCGAGGAAAGTTGAGTGGGTGTCCAGAGCGGAGTGCCTCATAGACAGGCCAAACTAAAGTGGAAAGAACAGTGGGAAAGCTCTCCTCCTCAATATTCGTGAGAAAATCCTGAAGTACAGAACATCGCCTCTTGAGCTTGATTTCCAAATTCCTTGGCCAGCTGCTTTTGTGTCTTGTCCCATGCTCCCTTGTGCTTATACGCTGACGTCCAATAGTTGCCCAAACTATCTTTTCCCAGAACGAAAAATCCATTCACTGGCTTGATAGGGCCGTGGTTCTCCTGCGCTTACACGGGCTTGCAATGCCGCGGCGGCTGATCTTGTCCCTTGCCTCCCTCCTTGCGAGCGGGTGCAAAATCAAGATCAAACAGCCCCGCCTTCGACAAATTCAAGAACCAAAACTGGGACATCCCACCGTCACCAAACGCCACAATGGGCAACTCCGTATACCTTACGTCTTGACCAGGGCGTAGTACGCCTCGTGCTGCGCGCGCGTCCCGTGAGTGTTGATCGCGTGCCGGACTTCGCGTGCGAGCCAGCTCAGGGGTTTGGAGGTGACGTCTCCAGCGCGAACGAGAACGTGTGCCCAGACGAAGGCGTTGCCTACATATGGATGGCGGCCGGACGGGGGAATAAGGCCATTGGGGCCCTCAAGAACATTACCTTTGACGGATGATCGTAAATGGTCTTCCCTTATGGACCCGTTCAGGACACTACTTTTGTCCCAAGCCTGGACCTGTTGAAGCCTCAAGGAGATATAACGCAGAAGGCAGACCTGGGAACTATCAGCACATACCAGCTTATCAGGATGCATCGAACTCGCAGCAACAACACAGCGCAGGATGAAGGTAGTGATGATATCGTTATCGGTCATGAACACCTTTTCCGGATCCTGTCCCTTTCCGACAGCCACGGCGCGCAACTACATCATGGCCCATTCCAGTTGCGGCCGCCAATACGATACCGGCACGCAGACCATACGATTGTCCTTTGCGCGCAGGGCCACGTCGATGCCGTACCCGAGCCCCACCTGGCGATACCGGCAATGCCGATCCTCCTGTCTGCAAGAACGTGCTGCTCCCCTGTTGTAGGAGGTAGAAGTTGCTCTAATGTCGCGCCAAAGGGGATCGCTGCCACCGCTACCGGCCTGTCCGCCGTGCGGCGTGGGGACGTCGTCGGGGCCACAGTGCCCCCAAAGCATGGCGCCCCAGGCCTCGAGCACGTACTGCAGTCCCAGCGCGTCGAAGGCGACATGTTGCCACTGCAGGGTGACGAGGGTCGAATCGTCGAATGTGTGCACGCGCAGGTCCAGCACGGGGGCGTCCGTGTCGATGTAGTCCTTAATGCCGTTGGGACGGTAGCCGTCCGCCCAGACTAGGTCGGCTAGGTCGTCCGGGTCTGCGAGGACGGCAGGCACTCTGCTTGGTTTTGGAATCCGGGAGGCGGCTGGGTGGGCTGTGGTGGGCATGTCATGGGCGACGTGGGAATATGTGATTGCGGGTCTGGACGTTGTGAACTCGAAGGGGACGTGTCACTCGATGTTGCCGGTGGAGACCTGGTGGGAGGACGTTAGACCATACGTTTGACAAAGATTCACTTGCACGCTCTTCATGATGGTTCTTTGTCATCTTGGGTAGCATATGATTCCCCTTTTGCAGCCTCAGACGGAGGCAGCCCAAGGAAGTCCGGGAAAGGATAATGGTGTGACAACAGATAAGACGTAATTAGTACTTACATTCCTTTTCAGCCGTCCTCCAAGCCTCTCCCAGTCCGGCCTTTTGACAACATTCTCCAAGGCCTCTCAGAGCACCTCCAGGTCGAGTACCTCGTCAAAAACTGCCAGACCAAACATATTGTTCTCGAAAAAGTGTAGTGGTCGCACTTGATTACCTGGGAACGTCTCCATGGCCGGCTTTCGCCCGCCAAAGAAATAATTCATCTTCAAATTACCAAGTCAGAAGCTTCCTTGGTTCTAATGAAGGTCGTCTATAATCGAGAAAAAGCACAATGAGGCTGCTGGCGTGTTTGCAAGGTAGACAAGAATGAAAGGCAAATCTGACATGCTGACATGTCGGAGCCACTAACTTAACGGAATCCAGGAACCAGGGGCTCTCCAACCTGCAGAAGCGCGAGGGTGAGATTCTGGCAATGAGCCACTGTCGAGTTTGCAAGATCCATAATTCTTCATTAATGGAGAAACACCGCGCAGCTTTCAAAGTGATCTACTCAGGTACGAACACGGATGTGCAGTAACCTGACCAACCATCAACATCCAACTCTCGTTGAAACTATGAGCTCTTGCATAGTGGTTTGTATTCAGAATGCATTCCATCTTCGCTAGCCATCTTACATAAGATAACATCCATAATACTGGGCACAATGGAAAAGACTCTACCCCTTTGGATCGAGTATATTCCCCTACCAGCTCTTCTCGCGCCTCATCCGCTGCCGTGGAATCCTTCTCGAGACGTTGCGATTTTATGCTCCAATCATGGTCTTGTCAAAATAGACTGCCAAACATGCCCAGATCCTCAAGATCGGCAATAGAGTCCTCAAAACCCCTGCGCAGACGCGCGCCATGATGCTTCTCATGGCAATTCAGCAGCATCCCCAGTACTGGAGTGACTCTTACACGTGGAGGTCCTCTCGTAGGTCTCGCCGCAGGCCAGCGTGTCGGGAGGAACGGAGCTTGAAGAATTGAAGAGAATACATATTTTCCAGAGTCGGACGGTCCGCAAACTGCTTATCCAAGAAGTTCTCTGAACTCAACTAGGTGAAGCTGCTGTGGGTGGAACACTGAAATTTACGTTTTTGAACAAGTACAGTGTATCAAAGGGATGAGAACTGGGTATGAAGCGGTTCCAGGGTCTTACTGCAGACCTCAATGTTCAACAAATGGGACAGACTCAAGAGACCTCCAGCCCTGCCCCCACTCCACCCCTCCTTAACGCAACCGGGCTTGATGAGGCATGCTGCCCACGCATGCGACCCGGCCTAACGAATCGCTTCTAGCACAGGTTGGTCATATGCAGCACACTAAATGCACTCTACGAATTAAATGTCAGACTGGACCCCGGGAGTTCTTCGAGGCACAGCAAGACTTTGAGGGGCAGAGTCATATATTAGCGGCATTTCCCTTGAGCTCCAGCCTCAAAGCCGTCTCTCCATTGTCTCTCCATCATCTGAGCACGTGGCTGAAAACACACTCCGCAAACCACAATTGGCATGGGTTCATTCCACTAGATCATTCAGACCTTAATTCTCCCTCCATAAATCAGAGAAAGGAAGGCGAACCTCTGCCTAACGAGAAAGTCGCGGCTCAGCATCACTTAGAAGTCCACCAGGTGGAAACCATGTACACAATCCCCATGGAAACAGCAGTTCAGGATATCGATCTCCGCTTCCCACCTTCGCAGGCGCAATTGGCGACTCCAACCCCATCACAGAACCACTGCATGTCCAAATGGAGGACGATCTTTGCGACGATTGCAGAGCCGTGAATTGGTCATCTCTTCCCACCTTGGCAGCTGATGGCTTATTAAACAACGAGAATCTGGCATTGCGCTCTTTGAACGCGACTGTCGAGGAACTCAGGAATTCGTCCTGCAAAATTTGTGCTATTCTATCCACCATCAAGGAACATTTCCTCGATGAAAAGAGTTGCGTGCTTAAGGCGTTACCACTTTCGCGCTCACTTACCTGCGACGGCCATTCACTTCGGTTTTCTAGCCCCTCCCCCAATACCCCATCTCGGTGCACAGTTTTAAATGTCTTTGAGGGAAAAGACCCATATCATGACTGCCTTGGACCCCGGAGCCTTGCGGTTGTCAGACTTGATGAACTGAAATCCAGAAAAATAGTACAGACCTCAGTCGACTACAACAAATTAAAGAACCTGATTAAAATCTGCAAAGACGAGCACGAGGAGCTTTGCGCGGCCAGAACAGGTCCCAATGTCTTGGGCCTCGAGGTAATCAACACCAAAACACAGGAAGTCATAAAAGCACCAGATGATTGCGAATACCTGGCTCTGTCCTATGTGTGGGGCAAAGAGGAGTGCAGCAGCTTCTTCCATGACATACAAAATGCTCCACCTGTGATCAAAGATGCAATTTCAGTTACCAACACCATGGGCTACAGTTACTTGTGGGTCGACAGATATGTATGTCAATGTGCCAAAATATTTACGCAGGACTCATAAGCTGACATTACCTCCAGTGTATATCGGATCTTAATGAGAAACATTGGATGATAAGCCAAATGGACCAGATTTATGCAAACGCATCAATCACGATCATTGCGGCTGCCGACGGCGATACTGAAATGGGCCTATCTGGGGTCTCCAAGCCCCGTCAGCCACAGCGATGCGTTGTTATCCAGGGTTTTGCTTTACTGGAGCTGCCCCTTGGCCCCGAAGATTTGCTATCCAGCAAATGGGCCTCAAGAGGTTGGACCTATCAAGAAGGCTTTCTTTCGACAAGACGCATCATCTTTACGGCAACTCAGATACTGTTCCTCTGTAACAGAATGTACGCTTCAGAGTCTTTACAACGACTCCTGAGAACCAACTGCTACGCCCGTGATACGGAGAAATTCAACAGTCTCATCCCTAGGATGACCGCCACACATACACAACGCAGCATCCCAATAGAAGACGTTCTAGACCATATTCAAGAGTACAGCAAGAGAGAACTAACGCGCTCTACTGACTCATTGGACGCCTTTTTAGGAGTTCTGAACTACTACGGGAAGAATTCGGCCGACTCGTACTCACCACTGCTACAACTCCCATGGGGTTTGACTGCCACCAAGGATGTCCATAATACTTTCAGTCTTGATTTATTGTGGTATCATGAAGGTGCTGCGACCAGGCGGGCCGGATTTCCAAGTTGGTCATGGACAGGATGGGGTGGACCTCTGTCGTTTATGGGATCAACGATAGGCTTGCACCCGATGAGGTATACCATTGAAGAAAACCGCTTCTACTACCTCGAATGGGAAATATCCATGCGAGATGCAGATGGCAGTGTAATGAGGATGTACGACCTCGCCCACAAAGAATTCTGGGCACCAAAGGCCAAGCATCGGCTAGACCAACCTGCCCCAAAGCAGCTGCAGATAAAATGCTTGGTCATACCCGTGAGCTTCCTCAAGGTCAAAACAAGGGCATTTCGAGACATATACCAGACAGAAATTCGGGTTCATGATGATAACGGGGAGGTATGCGTTCAAGTCGGTCGCTATATCTCAGATGGTGTTTATCCGATTTTGCAAGTCTGGGAGGGAATCCACGTCGGGGGAAGCAGTACGAGACTAGACCAACGGGTTGAGAAGCTAGATAGCATACTGGCTCTCATATTTGCGGACCGAGACCTATTCCGTGATCTCAGTCGCTATCAATTTCTTCTGGTACGGCAGGTGGCTGAGGGCTTGCATGAGCGGGTGGGGCTGTCAGTGATGCAAGAGTTGGATTTGGACCACCTTGGTCCGGGTTCTTTGCCACGCCCACCAAAGAGTCAAATGGCTTATATGGATGCAATGAGGAATTTTCTGGACAGTTTTGGAATCACTGACACACAGAGCATGCATCCATTTGCTGATACGGCAAGAGTCAAGAACGATCTGTCTTGTATAGGTAACGATGAAGACATTGTGCGGAAGAGACTGTTTGCAGTTTCTCAATTATTTTGAAAGCTCCTTGACTCGTGAAGTTCTATCAGGCGAGTGGCGGGACTTCAGAGAAAGATCAAGGCCCCGGGCGTGGGGCAGATGTCAATAATCGAGAAGCAGGCAGGTCCCGCTAATTTCGCTGTCGTTATTCTCACAGTGCCTCCGCTCTTCTTACCTCACCTGCTCTACCAACTACAGACTTACCTATCTATCGGCGTGCCATTCATTGTAGCCACGTGGGGTCGGACTGACATGGGAGCAGATTCGCTAGTCAAATCATTTTCAGGGACGGGACACACATGCTTTTATTGGTTACCTTCTCTCTGCGGCGCGGAGCTGATTGAGCTTAATACCAACACGACTAGTATTGCTCTGCCTGTGGTCTTTTCTCAGCCTTCAAGGCACTAAAACTCTTGGGCATGGTATAATAGTTTAGTTACGCCTGCTTTTATCAAACGCCGTGCAGCCTACCTATGGGCCCCCTGTACAGAGTTTCTGCACCGGAAGCGTGTATGGAACGGCAATTTTATTTGAAGGTACAAATCCGCATCCATAGTGATAGCCAGCCATCATGGAAGGCATGGCTCGAGAGCTTTTAGTTTGAAAGATAATTGGAGCTCTATTGTAATTTGGACTATGATTAAGTTTGTAGCAGTTGTAGCAGCATCTGCTTCAATACTGGGGATGGAGTAGCTCAACATCTCCAACACTGTAGCTACTTTCAAGATACAAATGAAGACCAGAGGTTGGAGAAACTGCCGGTCAAACCAAACAGCTTAGCCTTGATGTAGAGCGGTACAGATCGCTCCTCCACCATTGGCTCGGATGAGGGCTATTTAAACCCGACCCATCTTCATGTTTTCTTGCAACATGTGGTCCAAGACTTTTTCGAGTGTAGCCATGGCAACGGTCAGAGGCCCGGTGGCATTTTGCTCCACTCTACATGTCTTGAAAGCCATGCCGATAATCTTTTCCGAGATCTTCTCGATACTCCTTGCACTAGCCCAATTTTTGCATGCTGACAACGTTCTTCCATGTCAGGGGAGTAAAAGTCGGGGTTCTGAGCTAGCCACTGGAAGTCTTCCTCAGTCAAGGCGGTGTCGTTATCCCAGCCTTGCGCGCCATCTTCCCGTCTAGAGTCGATATATGTGGAGACTGTTCGGATCACGGGGAACCCGTGGGTCATTGGCATCTCTTTGTCTTCTCCCAGCCAGGAGTCCGAGATGTGTCTGGCGTTTCGGTCCGGTTCTCCAAGCCAGGACAGCACACACCTGGCGCCGCTCTAGATAGATCCCATGATCGCCACTTGTTGAGACCTCTCGGCTAGGTCTGCTTGATTAATACAAATGGCATCGATCCAGATAGGCAGAGCTGCCTCATCAGCAAAAAGTTTTGTTGCTCGCAGATGCTTAAGGGCGGCAGCCAGGTTATACGTAATACGAAATGGACTTCCATCCAATGTCATATGATCAGTCGGTTTTGGATCACCCCAGACATAAGACAACGCATGGTATTGCAAATCTTTCGAAAGCGATGCTACACTCATGCGACAAGTTAGCACTTGGTCACCTCCGCCACAGGGCTCGAGGTAAAGCAGTCGTATTTGGAGACTGTTTGCATCCAAAGGTTCATAGACTGGGGATGTGAGATCCCCCATGTTGATCTCCAGCAGGCTTGCTATCTTTGCAATGCGCACGCAAGGTGACAGGATTCGGGTGCATAGCGATGTGCGGAGACTCCTCACCAGGCTTTTAAGCGAGGTGAGAGGGCTTGTATTTATTTATGCATAAATAGACCGTGCATTCCCCCTTTAACTGAATAGGCAACGAAGCCTTGGGAAGCTTCCTTTAGTGCATCCGATCCTAGTTTGTCAACACAAGAGGCCCTCACTCCATGCTGCTCAATTATGAATTACACAAAAAGGGTTTCAAGGCTTAGGCTGCCGTTGTAATTGTGTTTGATGTTGCTGTTGTATTTATTTTGATGTCTCTAGGCCAGCACTATATTATAAGGGACCAATTTTAGCACAGCAGGCTTGAATTTAGTTCTGTATGGGCCCATGCCAAGCTTTTCAGGCCGGTAGATAGGATGGTGAGACTATAATATGAGGTCAGGCAAGGGCAAGGCGACAGTATGGAAGGTGTAAAGAAAAAAAATAAGATGACAAGGTGCTACCCGAGCCTAGCAAGGAAGACGACTTGACAGCGTTCGTATAGCAAGCCTATCAGAAGATCCAAAACCAGTCACGAACGTGGTAACGGCCTCAGCCCTAGCACCCTTTCCCGCCAAAACCAGAAGCTGAACCGAGCGTTGCTATTGTGCCAAAAGCTTGGTGTGGTTGAGTTGCACTTCGTGACTACGGCCTGCCTTCCCGCGTGCATCTTTCGAGCGGCCCTGCCCACTGGCTTTCAGAAGCTCAGCGGAAATCATCTCAAGCTCTCGAGGATATCAATACGGCAAGTTCTGTTGAAGCTAGTCGAAGGTCAAATGGTTGGAAAGGAGAGGAGGGTGGGTCGAAGAGCAAACAAGGTTGCGAAGACGGGGCCGGACTATTCTCGCGATCGTCAGTCTCCTTGAGCACTTTCCTGCTATTGTTAACGCATTCATAACATCCGCTCCCATCTTCCCACGTTATACGAAAGCAGGAGTCACTAGTCACACTCTCAGCTCCCCAGAATCACATGCAAAATGGAACACTCGATCACCGCACACCTTGATTACAGCACAACATTTCAAGCGCCGGTGAGCTCATATCTGCCGAGCTTCAAATAAACATCGTGTACATTTTACTTGGGACAGACAATCAACCCCACAGTTTATGTTGGTTGGCATCAGTCAACTTGGCCGAGGTCCTTGTTGGCCGATGGTCGGGGTCCGCTAAAGCCCGCCCAGATGACATGCCAAAGATCCACTTCTGCAGCTCGAAATGGAAAATGGCATCCTTCGAGGACGAAAGAAGGCCGTGGGGCGTAACATCGGGACAATCAATGCAACACATGTCTCCGAGCTGAAAGTTACATTACTAATTCCATGATGCCATGGATTATGCCATGCGACGAGGCTATGCGACGACACCATGCGCGGTCGCGCGCTGAGAAGATAAGCGCTCAGCTGGTCAGGACTGGTCTCGCCCCTGACGGTCTTCATAAGAGTTGCAACGCCCGAATATGCTCCAGGATGGCGAGCACGTGGAGGGGAAGCTAGTTGACACTATACTACGCTATACTACGTGAGCCACATCCCTGGCGGAGATCGTCGCCGTTGCAGCCAGTGACCGTTGCGTTCCTAGCAAGGGTGAGGACGAACTAACCACGGTGGCAGCCCGGATATGGCGACAGCGCCGGCAGAGGATTGCTTCGCCCATAGCTTTCGCCGAGAGGGGAAATGAGGAGGGGACAATTGATGTACGGAATGGGATATCAAAATCAATGTGAAAAGGGGTGGCCTGTCTGTTGCAGCCGTACTATAAAGACTTGCTGTCACGATGGACAAATAGTGAATTCCGTGTGGCGTCTTCAGCATCTCTTGTCACATTTGGCTGCAGTGTCAAAAAGTGATAGACACAGAGGTCGCGGTAGGTCCTCAAAGTCTTTTTTCATCGTGACTCCCCGTATCAGAACCCTAGCTGACGCTCATGCAGGAAAGTCACATTAAGCCCAGCATGAAGTTTCAGCATATGCTTGGTGCCACGGCGGCACTTGCCACAGCTGCAACTGCCGTCAACATCACTGGCTACGAATATGTCATTGTTGGCTCTGGTGCTGGCGGAGGGCCTCTCGCTGCTCGTCTTGCCCTCGCTGGCCACAAGACCCTGCTCCTCGAGGCTGGCGACGACCATGGAGCTGACAACAACTACACGGTCCCAGCCTATAGTGTGAGGATCTCAGAGCAAGAGGACGTCGCCTGGAACTTTTTCGTCCACCACTACGCCGACGACACCCGCCAGGCTCGAGACTTCAAGACCAGCTACAAGACCCCGGATGGCTCCATCTACACCGGATTGAACCCTCCCGCGGGCTCCCAGCTGCTGGGTACCCTCTACCCACGTACCGGAACACTAGGAGGATGCACAGCACACAATGCCTTGATCGCAGTCTACCCCCATGAGTCAGACTTCGAGTACATCGCGTCACTCACTGGAGACTCGTCGTGGTCTTCGGAGAACATGCGCCAGTACTTTGTCAAGCTGGAGAAGAACCAGTATCTGCTGCCTGGACAGGTTGGCCACGGATACGATGGCTGGCTCGAGACAGAGACTGCGCCTCTCAGCATCGTGACCGGAGATCCGCAGCTCCTCAGCATGCTTACCGGCGGAGCATTCGCTCTTGGCAACGAAACCAACCTCGTCATCAACTTGGACACGTTGATCGCCGGCGACGCAAACGCGGACACTACCACCCGCGACACCGTGCCTGGCTACTACCAAATCCCCATCGCAACCAACTCTGCACACCGTGTTGGCTCTCGCGAGTTCGTGGTGGCTGTTCGGGATGCTACCAATGCGGATGGCAGCAAGAAGTACCCCCTTGACGTCCGCCTCAACACCCACGTGACGAAGATCACGTTCGACCAGACCGTCTCGCCACCACGTGCAACTGGTGTTGAGTTCCTCGACGGCCAGTACCTGTACAAGGCCAGCCCCAAGAGCAGCGGTGCCTCCGGCACTCCTGGCTCGGCCACAGCATCTCGCGAGGTCATCATTGCCGGCGGTGTCTACAACTCCCCCCAGATCCTGAAGCTCAGCGGCATTGGTCCTAAGGATGAGCTCACCAAGTTTGGCGTCCCCGTCGTCGTCGACTCTCCTGGTGTTGGAACCAACCTCCAAGACCACTACGAGATCACGGTCCAGGGCAAGATCGAGAACAACTTCACCGCTCTGGACGGCTGCACCTTCGACGAAAGCGCCAACGACAAGTGCCTCGACCGCTGGGAGAACCCCGTCCTGGGCGACCACGGGCTGTACTCGTCCCCCGGCCTCGCCGCCGCCATGTACTACAAGAGCACCGTCACCGACAACAACGAGTGGGACGCCTTCGTCTTCGGCGGCCCGGTCAACTTCCGCGGCTACTTCCCGGGCTACAGCGTCAACGCCACGGCCGAGCACAACTGGTTCACCTGGGCCATCCTCAAGGCCCACCCGCGCAACAACGCCGGCACGGTCAAGCTCCGCTCCGCCGACCCGCTCGACGTCCCCGAGATCACCTTCAACTACTTCGACACGGGCTCCGGCGACTACCAGAAGGACGTCACCGCCCTGACCGAGGCCGTCGGCCTCGCCCGCGACGCCTTTGCCCGCCAGCTCATCAACGTCACCGAGATCCTCCCCGGCGCCGACGTCCAGGGCGCCGACGCCGTCGGCCAGTACGCCAAGGACACCGCCTGGGGCCACCACGCCTCCTCCACCGTCCCCATCGGCGCAGACAACGACCCCAACGCCGTCCTGGACTCGAGCTTCCGCGTCCGCGGCGTCGCTGGCCTGCGCGTCGTCGACGCCTCGGTCTACCCCCGGATCCCGGGCACGTTTACCGCCGTGTCGACTTACATGGTGGGCGAGAAGGCGGCGGATGTCATTCTGAGCCAGCTTAATGCCACGGCCTCTGCCACGAAGAGGAGGTAGATGAGATCATTGCATGGTTTTGATTTTTCTTGAGCAGCTTTTCATGATGTAAATAAATATGCCTATTTAGTACACAACGTATCAAACGTATTTAACGAAGCCTATTCAACAATTATCTTCTAAAAAGTCACTACTCCCCAACTTAAAGGTGCGCGGTCTCTATAATTGCGGTCCTGAGAGGAGAGACCTGTCTGTCTGCTGTCGTCTACGACGATCGGCTCAGGGGGAACAGGAGAGCATGGATGATGAGATTATCTATATGCACGTTGGTTCAAGCGACCCACACCGCTGTGTGTGAGCGGCGTAATAAGTGAAACGCCTGGGCCTGCAACTTTCCAAAGCTGGTTATCTGGGCCTAGCGTTCGCGTGCTGCGCCGGCGCTGGTGGTTACGGCCCGCTGCTTGCTGCATGCACGCATGCATGTAACCAGCAGGTCGTATGGCCTCGGCCCACTCACTTTCTAATGGATTCACAAAATTCCCAGGCGGGAATATCGGGCCACCCACAAGAGGGCGATTTCATTGCTGTTTTCGTAATAAGCTCCTGGTTGTTGGTTGCTAGCGGAACCCGAGAATGATATCGACCTCAGAGTGCATCGTCACGAGCTATCCTCTTCATGATGGTTGGTTCTAGTGTGCATCTGGAGTAAGGGCTCGATTACTTGGCTGCAGTGTGGTGGATTAGACCGGGTCACCAGGCTGGAGACACAATCCTGTATACCTAGTTTTCGGTCTATTGTCAAATTTATTTTCCAGCATTCTTAAACTTCTTCATGTATCCCGAATACCTCCGAAGTCAAAACGGGTGAAAAGCTTTGAGCATTTCCGATGAAAGCGCTTGACACGACGACCGCCAACATGGGGCTCTCCCCCGACTCCTTGAACCATGGCGACAGCCTCCAGGGCTGGGTCATGTATCAAGTCTCCAAGCTGAATGGAAACCTCACTGGCACGACTCTTACCAATTCCGGCAACAGCGAGGCCCTTTCGTTCTCTCTTCCAAGGACTCTATCCATCTTTGCTAGCCTGTTCTTTGCCTGGTTCCTGGGAAGCTGCATATGGTACAGTTACCTGTCGCCCATCTCTGACATTCCTGGTCCTTTCTTGGCTTGTTTCTCGAGACTCTGGCTCATCCAAACATTACGCCGCGGGAAAGCAGCCAGCGAGCTCGCTGACCTGCACGAAAAACACGGTGAGTAGCTTTCGGGCCCATGACGGGGCCATTAGTACCACATTGCATGACTTTGATGCTAGCCATAGTCCGCCAAAGGCGCTTTTGTGCGCATATCACCCTGGGAAGTCAGCGTTCGCCACGTCGATACCGTCAAGAAGCTGTACCTGCAGCCGTTGCGGAAAGGTACCTTTTATGAGTTCGCCACCTATCCAGACTGGCGCTTCCAAAACCATTGGTCTGAACCGGATCCAAAGCGGAAGGTAGAGCGCTCCAAGACGTTCGCTTCTGGATTTGCGCAAAGCAGCCTTCTGCGCTCCGAGGACGTCATCTCAGGAACCATTGCCCAGCTGCTAGACCATATGGACGGCTATGACCAGCGAAAGGAGCCCATGGACCTGGACAGATTCTTCACATATACGGCTTTTGACGTCGTGGGCGAGATGCTGTGCAGCAAGCCGTTCGGGTTCTTGAAGGAGGGTAGGGATGTGAACAATGCCATCGCCACGAATTTCTTCTTCCAGGAGCTGGTGACCTGGGCCTCCCACCTCCGCGAGCTGCATTACATAGCCGTCAACCCCATCATGACCTGTCTAAGCCTGACGCCAGCTTCCTGGCTGGGCGAGACGGCCTTCGCCGCCGTAAAGGGCCGGATGGCTCGGCCGGTTAAGAACTTTGATATGCTCAGCCACTGGCTGAGGTATGTCGACGAGAATCCAGACAAGGCTACCGCGCGCGACATCATGGCACAGGCTACAAATGTCACCGCTGCTGGATCAGACACCACCTCCAGCTTGCTGCAGTCTGTATTCTACCATTTCCTCCGAAACCCCAGGACGCTCGAGAGCGCCAGGGCCGAAGTTGCCCAGACCCGCAACAGCGAGCGCGTGCTGCCGTTCTCCGCGGTCCGAGAGCTCCCGTACCTAAACGCCTGCGTCAAGGAGGTGCTCCGCATCCACCCGCCCATCCCCATGCCGCTGCCACGCCTGGCACCAAAGGGTGGTACCGAGATCGGCGGGCGCTGGTTCCCCGAAGGCATCACTCTTTCAGGTTCTCCGTGGGTCCTGCACCGCTCGCGTGCTCTCTGGGGCGACGACGCGGATGTTTTCAGGCCCGAACGGTGGCTGGGTGACGATGCCGCCCCGTTGGAGAGGTACTTCATGCCGTTCGGGGCTGGGTTCATGTCGTGTCCTGGGCAGCATCTCGCCCGCGTCGAGGCGTTGAAGCTCACGGCTACGATAATCCGTGAGTACGACCTGCAGCTTGTCCATCCGGAGAAAGAGTGGCAGTGCAAGATGTTGTTCGCGCAGGTCCCTCACAGTTGGCCTGTCTATGTGAAAAAGAGGAATGAAACCTAGAGCGAGACTTATGTTCGTAAGTTTCAAATTTCGGAAGATAGGGAATCGTCAAGTATCTTTACGTGACGGGAAGCTGTTGTGCGCGAAGAAGTCTATATAGCAAGCCGCTCTGGCTGCGCGCAAATTCCTACATACTGCCCTCTTCCTGAGTATCTGGGATTTGATCCCTTCACATTGGACCCTGTGATATGACAGGACTAATCCCTTGGTAGCTTCGGGACGAGTGTGCTGTCCTCACTTGGGACCCTTATCCTTCACAGCCTCCTACCTCCAGCACTGCTCGCGTCTCATCGTCCATCGCAGCCTAGACGGGCCATATCAAAGGTGTTTCAAAAGAGTAACCCTGAGACTTTTCCTTGTGCGATCGAATAAACTCTGCCGATGTTGCAATCAGCCTCCAAGGCAGAAGCGTAACCCTTCTGGTTAGCAATGATGCGCTTCCCATGCTTGTCTGTGAAGTCACAGTTGAAGTGGGTATGTCCGAATGCCCAGAATACAACAGCTGGATTAGTCCAGCACTGTTCTTGACTTAGGTCTGTGGCGAAAGCTGAGGATACGGGGCTGTCCTCGTGCCTCGGCTCAACGGCCTGCTTGTCCAGTGTCGGGCTGTAATGAGAGAACACCGCAATTCTCCGTTGCGGCTCGGTTTCGGATATAGCTTCGACCTGATCATTGAGCCAATTCAAATCAGACCGATGGGCGCTGACATGGTCTTCGACAGCCCAATCTCTTATTTGCCGAAAGTCGTTCAGCCGCCTTTCCACCTCAGCCCCCTGCTGGGAAGACATGTTGGAAAAGAGTGTACAGCCAAGCACGGTGAGGGTTTCGTTCACGTCCCAACGACCTTGATCGAGAAACATGAAGTTGCCAATGGTAGATGATTCCCGCAAGGTATGCATTTTTGCTTCAAAAGCGCGGACGCGAGCCTTCGCCAACACCCAGCTTGTCCCGTATGGCTCGTGGTTGCCAAGAATGAAGACGACGTTCCAGTAGCGCTTCAACTGTCTTTCTAGGAAAACAAAAAGACCATCATGAGCAACCTGTCCGATATCCCCGAGAAGAGCGAGATTCGCCGCGGTGTGTTTAATGGGGAAATCGTATGAGCTATGAGTCTCGAGATGTAAGTCGGATAATATCTGGAATGATGTCGACGACATTGTGGAGTTGTCGGGCTCTTCTCCCAGAGAGCTGGCTGGATGGTGTACGGAGTAGTGAAGGATGCAGGTTCCCAACAGTGTTGATTCTGATTTGGAACTGATCCAGAAGGTCTGCCAGGCAGCAGCGGAGCCTCCTAGTCAATATCCTGGGTCGTGGCTGAGAGCCGGATCAAGTTCCATCCACAACATGAGGTTGCTGCTTCTTAGGAGAATCGCTTGGTAATCTTTGTGGTTGACAGTTTTACGCACTAGATTTGCTTCGTCATATTTGGAATTGCTGTATTTCTAGAATAGGGATGGACGCAAAAATTGCGGCACGGCTGCGGGCAACTGGTCAATAATGCCACTGCGCCTGCGAACGTCGGTCAATATTGCTCTATTGATTTTTCCTAGGCCCACATATCCCTAATGATAGGTGACCTGCGGCGGTGAAAGTCTACGCGCAAGTCCAGCATGAAGCATCAGCCGCCGTGCCGCAATCATGGTCAAAGATGGACTTTTGTGGGTAAGGGCACAAGACACGATGCTGCAATGCTCCGGCTAGATCTGTGATCTCCACCTGTGTGTTTTCCGGCTCGGTCCCGTTCTCAACCCATGCTCTCAGCTGATCAAAAAGACTCGTCGGATTTCCCCCTCGTCCTCCGAAGCAATGCTGCATCCCGGGCACCTCAAAGTGGCGGTAGAAGTCATGGATGTCCGGGATGAGGGCCGAGACCTCATTGTAGTACTTGACCGAGGTTTTCGGTGGGATTATCTCATCACTCTGTGGACAAGGTCAGCAGGTAAGCTCTCGCAAAACGAACGTGAAGGAGACTGCAATTTAGCAGCTGCTTACAATGCCATGAAATGTGACAAGCTTTCCACCGGCGTCACGGAAAGCAGACAGATCCGCATCCAGAGTCCCGATAATGGAATCATATCTTTGACGGCCCTGGTGAGCTAGCGCGTCGAACTCGACGTGGCTCAGATTGGTCAAGTCGAAGCCCGCGTCTCTCGCGATGAACCGGCTGAACCATTGCGCAGCGAGAGCGAAAGGCGCACTCACACAAGATGGACCCGTACAATCAGTCCCCACGACACCAAATCTCAAGCCGCTACCTGGGTTCAGTCCGAACCACGTCTGAACGCCTTGAGCATTCCGCGTTCCATGCCAAGTCGCGTTGGCAACAGCGGCCGCCGCAGAGGTGACAACACGTGCCTCGGAACAGTTGGTGGCGCTTCCCACGAGGTCAAAGGGTCGGAAGCTAGCCAGGCAGCCGTCGACATCGGTGACGATACCGTCGACTACGCCATCTAGGCCATCACAAGCCGAGACCGCAGCAGCCGTGATAGCCTCCAGCTCGCATTCATGGGGATATTCGCCTAGCATGTTCATGACTTGCAGTGGCCACAAGAGAAAGGGAACGAGATTATTCCAGTAAATTGCAGGCGCTCCTGCTGCGATGCCATCGAAAGAAGTTGGATAGCGCTGGGCAAGCATCAGTGCCTGTCGGCCGCCTTGGGAGCAGCCATTGAAGTAGGAATAGTCAGGTCCACGCCCGTAGTAAGACTTGATCAGAGATTTTGCTAGAACACCCTGTCACACACATTAGAAGTGGTTCTGGTTTGTATTGCATAACTAATCATTGTTGAAACTTGCCTGATCGTCCAATGAGACCGATGCAAGGTTCTGCAGAGCGTAGAGGTCCACATTGCCGGGACTCAGAAGTGCCCACGGGATGGCATCAACGGAGGCATTTACCAGACCAGCATCAGTCGTTACCGTTGCATATCCGTCAGCGATCGCTCCGGCCATGGCAGTGTAGTAGACAACCGAGCGCCCAGCAAGCATCCCGCCGCCTCCCACGGCCTGAAGACGTCCATTCCACCGGCCGGAGGGAAGCCAGGCTTCAACAATAACGGTATCATCCTGACCAGGGTGAGTGTAAGCCACTGTGACGTTGCAGAAACTGGCGTTGGTAACCTCCACGGCTGGCTGAGTGTACCGGACATCCGTGGGAACAGAGATACTATAGTTGGTAACAAGGTCCGCCTCCAGGGACATGACCTCAGCACCAAACCAGCTGATGTTCCCGAAGGTCGCAGGTACACAAGCAAGTGCCATGATGATCAATAGAAAACTAGAAAGATGTGGCAATATAGGAACTTACCAGGTGACATGTAAAGCACTCACAGCAAGGGAAGAGAAGAATATATGCCTAGGGAGCCATGGCCCGTGCCCATGCGTGAAGACGACGCTCAATTCAAAGATTGCTTTTGTCTTTTGCTTGCATTCCACTTGTGACTTATCCCCACGTTGATGACCGTGGCCTGCATAACTGATGATCCATTAGGTACACCTGAGTGGGCGAATATGGCGGAAAAGAGCCGCAACTTTCGTATTTTAGTGCGAATTCACTCCGGTGTGACATTTCACAACATTGATCATGATCGCGCCAAGACGCGGCTTCTTTGACGAAGGTGCATGATGCTTGACACTAACGATGGAAGTTGAGCAAGTTGATTAATCAGCTCGAATAAGCTGACCCAGCTTCCTTAGCTAGCCAGATCAGCTCTCTCTGTCCGCCGGTCCAGTGCATGGCTTTCTAAGTCGGGCATTGAAAAGGAATTGGTGGAATGTTAACTGTTTTCAGGATCAGCTATACCCAGATGTCATTTGAGATTTAATGGGGAAGGGGAGGGTTGGGCAGGGCCCTGCCAGCAGTGCAGGGACGTTGATACCGTACTCAATCATGACGGGGCCGAGTGGCGTTGGACAGCAGACGATATGTCTCAAGTTGCTGAGCAATACGAAGTAAAAAGCAACGCACCTATATCATCGTGCATAATATGGATTATCCGCTTGTCCCTCTACTACTACAGAGACGCTTCCCACTCAACGTCATCATCCATGATGTCTTTGCCGAAAGCAAAGTGGTCCCCAATCATGGTCTCAAGCGTATGGTCCAGGCCAAACCCAAGGGAGACGGACATTACATCCGTTGCACCTCCAACTACTTAGTCCGCAGCTCCCTGTGCGTAATCTTCCAACGTTTGATATTCGGACGTGTATTGTTCTCCGCGAGCAGGATGCGTGTGTAATGACCGCGATGCTTGCAAGCTCTTAGGCTCCACGCCCGGGCTGCCCGTCCCATATTGTCTTCCATCCTCCAATGACCCAGACGAGTTTTCACCAACAGTGACACCGAGCATGCGAGACTTGTTGATAAGTTTAAGCAAGTTGAGCCTAATCCTCCGTGCAATGTCCCATGATGTGAAGAGCTCGTCCAGCACATCGAGACAGAGTCACACCGAGAGAGACACGTTGTAATGGCTCCTCCAGGCGGAGTTGTTGATGCCTCAGAGTCCCGACCCAGGTTTCTCGTCCCCGGAAATTGAAGTCATCCTGGATGATTTGCGGGCACCAAAAGGTCTTCCTCGTAAATGCACCTTCTCATCAAAAGGTAGCTTCGTCCAGAGTTTCTCGACCATGTTCTCATGTTGTGGTTAGAAACATAGTGCCTTTAAGCTAACCAAGCAGAGGAAATCAGTGAATGGAAGATGTTTGTAGAGATACTTAGAGGTTCATAGAATGGGTAATAGGTAGATAATACTTACGGTTAGGTAAGTCTCTGGACTGGTGCTGTGCCGTTCTGCTCTTCTGGGAATAACATTGCCTTGAGCACAGGTGATGAAAGGTACACAAATGCGAGCAAGATCAAACCAAGGATGACGCAGCCGATGCCCCAACACTTTGGTCCCACAAGGTTGAATCGTCTTTTCTGTCTTGGCTCCAGGATGAGGTGCCATCTTTCTATCACCTGCTGCCGGAAGCTTCCGTTGTAGCTAGGTGTAAACTTCGCTCGATCACCGGCTTCCAACAGCGGGTCTGTTTCACGGCCCTCAAAGCCCTCATCGCTGTCATCGTCATCGCTCATATCGTATTCCGCATTCAGATAAGCCTCCAGGTCCTCATCTGAGAAAGACCATCTTCTTGGGAAATGTGAGAAAGGTCCGTGCTCTCTGAACGCACTTCGCACTGCATCGTCGTCGTCGTCTTTTCTTTGCTGCTGAATAGACATTCTTGCGGTCGAGGAAAGAAGTTTGTTCGGAAATGGATGTCAACCGATCATGCTACCCAGTTAATTGCTCAGAGGGGTTTTGGCAGCATGAAAATGTCCCAGGGAAGTAGTTTATGTGTTAAACGAATTTGAAATTGTGGGCAATATGCACACTGCAGCAAGGCTTTAGATTGATCAAGCTAGTTGCCACTAATGCCACAGGTGTGAACTAGAAGATTTCAGAGGACGGATACCACTCGCGATTTAAACGGCGGCAGACGGAACATTTTGGTCTGATTTACTGATCAGAATCTGGATGACTATTAATTCTAATGCCGTGGTGGACTTTGGCTGGGCTGTCAGCCTTGCGCAGCCTGCGATTGAAATTTCGAAAGCCACAGGGTGTCGGTCGAACTTTGAACGACTTCTCTACACGATCTGCCATCGGCGCTCTTGAGTTGAATAAGGAAAATGCGTTAACCAGGGCTGCCATTTGGTAATTCTGGATCTCATTGCTTGAAGCCCGAGTATACCTTGTTTTGATTTCATAACTGTCCGCACCATTTTTGAGTTTCGTGATTGACGTGTCGAATTATTGGGCGTAAACGACAACCCTCGTAGACAATTTGTTACATCGTATTATACTTACCTAAACCCGTCCATGGAAACTTTTGAACGGCGCAACGTTCAAATCCATTTTGCGCAAAGAAGATACAGGAAAAGTCGGGTCGTAGATGCCAACGAACATGCGGTAGGATCACCGGCGTGCTAGCGCCAGCAGTGATGATTGAAGGAGCCAAGATGACAGCTGATGATGAGCCGCAACTCCAGCCATAAAACGAAGTCGGACACAAACAGAAGCAAACGTCCGGGAGAACTAGAATCAGTGGACTGATTAACCTGGCTCTTTGGATGAGTGCATGCGCAGGTACAAAGTCTTGCTTCAGGTCTCCTGTCAGTCGACGAGAGGTCGCCTTGGGTCAAGGAAGACCCCTGTCGAAACCCCACGTGACCGCTGCGAAACTCGGTGACGTTCATTCGCCAGCCGCGGAAGCTCGATTCGCTAGGTGAGCTCCGTCGATCTGGAATTCCCGATCTACGACAACGATAACGACACCGTCAAGCCGCCCACGAACGCTGGTACGCAAGCCATCCCAACACCCCGCTTCGACGTATCCTCCACTTGCGCAAGCCAATTGACCTCATAGCCCCAGAATCGAGTGGTCTAGCCCCGCCAACCAGCCCATCACATCGCAGTCAACCCTTCACGACCGCCCAAGATGCGAGGGACCCTCCGACTGCTCGCGAGCGTCAAGCCCGTGCGGTTCCTCGAGCCCGGCGCGCCCACGGGCCTGACGGGTCTCTTCGCCAACCCATCCCCGCGATCGACCCTCCTCTACCTGTACTCAAGCACCCTCGACAGGCTCAGGGCCGTCCCCGAGACCTCCCTCTACCGACAGTCCGTGGAGGCCGTGACAAAACACCGCATGTCGCTCGTGGAGTCCGTGAAGCCCGCGGGCTACGACGAGTGGCTGGCAAAGGCGCGGCAGATCCTCGAGAAGCACCCGGAGCACTTCAAGGAGACGGCGCACAAGACGGCGGACGGGTCGCTGGCCGCGGGCCTGGAGCAGAATGGCAAGTTCTTTGTCCTGCGCCAGACGCAGGCAGACCTGGACAGCCGGTACAAGGAGTGGGATGGTGAGGAGGATGAGGGCCCCGAGAAGGAGGGCAGCAGGACCCTGGAGGAGAGGCGGGACCAAGCGCTGCTGTCCCGGAATCCCTTCGAGGGTGATGGCATCGAGTGGACGGACGAGCCCAAGTTGACGATAGATCAGTACGTCTGGCATACGACAGGTGTCAAGATCTTGCCTTCAACTTGAGTCCTTGCTAATGCCAATTTCTACAGGGTTGAGGAGCTCGAGAACAAGATCGGCGCGGGTCTTATTGAGGAGGTCATTCAGGTCGCCGAGGGAGAGCTTGGACTCATCGATACGATTGTGCAGTCCAAGGCGTAAGTCTATACTGGATACAGGCTATGGGGTGCGATTGCTAACGAATCACCGAATAGATGGGAGAGCCTCGAGGAAAAGCCCAAGGAGGGACAATGGGTGTACTTCGAGCGGAAGGAGTAAAGAAAGCAGAAGCTTGGAAAAGTCAAGACTTGAAGAAAGACCGACATGACATGTACAGTATCAGGGGAGGTTGTACAGATCTAGAGCCACCACAAGGGCGTCGGGAAGGGTCCTAGATCCACTCGGATGGAGGCTACCCGAAGACCAGATAATAGCCATCCGTTAAAGACGCATTCTTGCGAAAGACGAAATACATCAAGAAGAAAGACTCAGAGACTGTGTGTTCGGCGTTGGCTTTTTCTTGTCAGATGTGGGAGCTCACCGGACATGACTAGTTTCGTGTTTTATTGTCTTGACGATGTGTAACGTTCACTTTCAATACGAGGTGGCAGTTGCATCCTGCAAATCGCCATGGGAATGAGTCTCGTCACTTAAAGGCTTCACCTCACAAATGCGGATCCGGCGGATTGCGGCAACCACCACACTTGCACTGCGGTCAAAACTGATCCGAACTCATCCCGTTGTGCCCTACTACCGTGGTGGTTTAGGAAAGGTCGGCTGGCATGTGTGAAAGCATTTTGCCGAGTGCAAATGAAACAAAAGCTCGCATTTGTTGCGCAAAAAACGATCCATCCTCACTAATGAGCAGCCTGATAAATGTTTTGTCCACTATCAAATTCAGTTTCGAGAAAAGCCGAGTTAGTGGAAGGTTGAAATGTTGGCACCTGAATTAGACGGGACGGTTTATGAACGTGGGGCAACTTCTCATTTACACCTTGACAAACTTCATCTCATCAACCCAACCTCACCACCACAGCGAAAAGACAGACGATCATCAAGGTCACACCAAAAGTTCATAGCCGCTTCCTTACATTTCAATAATCGTAGAGAAGTGTGTTTAAAACGAAGCTGCACGAGGAAGGTGCCACCTATCGTCGCTCACATTTGAGAAACCACCACGGCCCGGCAGTGTGGCAAAGCAGCTCGTCGAAATACCGGTGGTTTTCTCAACTACCTCACAACTTGGACTCTCCCCCGTGCGACCATGTCCTCGCACAAGAGGAAACGATCTCTCTCTCACCACCTACCAGACGACGCCATCAACCCCCTCTCACACAGTGAAGGCACGATAAAACAGCTGCGCACCGCGGGCCTCACGGCGGACGACCTCCTGCCGTCCGACTACATCCCGGACTTCCCGCACCGGCCTATTCGCCCGTCCCACCAGCAGCAGCAGGCAGATGACGGCAGTGAAGACGACAAGGATGGAACTGACGATGGGGCAGGCAGCGACGAGAGCAGAGCGGACAGCGCCAAGAAGGCGCAGCAGCGGCGGCAGTCCCGCGACGCGCAGGAGAAGCAGCTCGGGTTCCTGACGAACACGATCCTGCGGGCGCTGGAGGAGGGCGACATCCCGCGGGCCAAGAGGGCGTTCAGCTTGGTGCGCCGGTCCGAAGTCCGCGGCAAGCCGGTCGACCTGAGGAAGAACGCGCTGTGGAGCCTCGGGGCGGAGATCCTAATGCGCGACGGGGAGGTGAGATCGAGGAGCGTGATGCCGGGGGAGCCTGGGCCTGAGGCGAGCGCCGGCGAGCGCGAGGACCCCGGCGTTGAGGACGAGGGCGCCGCGACGAGGAGGAAGAGGAGGTGGGGCTCCGCGGCCAACATGCCGCGGCTGCGGGCCTACCTCGAGTCGCTGGTGCGGCAATACCCGTACAACCGGCTGCACCCGGACAGCATCAGCGACCTGGACTTCCACCCGGTGCTGTTCGGTTGCGAGTTCTACGATGCCTGGGCCGAGCAGAGGCTCGCGCTGGAGCGGCTGGCCGACGAGTCCGATTCGTGGAGCGACGGCGACCTCGACGTCGTCCCCGAGATGGACATGCCGGACTACTACAACGACGACGGCGGCGGCGCGCGTGAAGAAGACAGCCGGTACCGCCAGGGACAGAGCCTCAGCGGAAGGGAGAGGCGGCTGCGCCAGGCAAAGGCCGAGCTCGGGCTGCGGGCCCTCGCGGCCATGCGGGACGTGGCGGCGCGCATGGACAGCCTGATGGAGAACGCGCCCTACTCGCGCAGCGCCGAGCTGCTGCGGCTGCGCGGCATGGTGGCGCTGTACATCGGGGACCTGAGCGTGCCGCCGGGGCCGCGGACGGCGGACGAGGACGAGGAGGGCAGCCGGGTCAAGGGGTTGGAGCAGGAGAGGGCGAGGGCCTTCTTCGTGCGCATGGTGAAGAGCGGGGGGCGGACTGATGCGTGTACGGAGAGGTGGCTACGCGATGGGAACGCCAGCGAGGATGACTACGGAGCCGACGATGACGACGAGGGCTTTCAGGGCAGCCAGTGGGGTGGACTGCCCGTGTTTTCGTCGTTGCCTATGCGGTAGACACTTGATTTTAGCGCTTCTAGCTATACTGCCCTGTGGCAATTTGGACAGCAACACAGTTCCGATGTCTCTATTTGACCATCATTTTCCACCTCCGCCATCCAGTCAAACACTCATCTTCTAACGTGTGACAAGTGTCCTGGTTTTTCAATATCCCCCGTTGTGCCTTACCATAGCCAGTTGTCTACGGAGGCAGGAGTTGTGTGGCCCTCTGTGGTGGTGTGAATGAAAGCCTCTCACATGAAAGCCTCGGGCTGCGCAGAAAGAGTGCTCGCCCGGCCAGCACTGAGCCCAGTACTCACGGCCGCAGTGCCCTGCCTGCTCGGGACTTCGGACGGGACATTCGAGTTCTGCCGGCTCGACGAGTGTCTGCCTCCCTTGGGCCAGCGCTGCAGGATGATCACGGTATTTTGACTGCCGGCGACAACGCACCAATCGCCTGCCGGAGACCAACCCACCTGTCGGCCCAAGAATCGCGGCCCACCAAATTTCTCAATCTTGTGTGGTCTGATCATCTTGAAAGAATTGCTGGTATCGTACTTGGACTGCCACGACTCCACCGTCTCGGGCTCTGCTCCTCCAGCAGGTAGCCTTCGACATTGAACGGGTCGCGGTGACCGACCGGCCTCATCGTAAAGGCAGCCGTGTAGACTGGGTCAACTGGATTGTCAGAAACCGCCTTTTTCATCTTGTGGTGATTTGGTTGTAGCCATAGGGGTCGCTTGACCCTGACGGTGGGATCGCGATTCGGGTCACGGATTTTGTTGATGTAACTTTGGTACCCGGTAAGTCGGGCCATGTCCCACATCAATATCTCGCTCTTCGTATTACAGAACACGAGGATTGGATGGTGCCCGTGGACGTGGTGCAGGCTGAAGCGCAGGAAGAATTGTGGTCCGCAATGGGGTGTCTCGAATTGTAACAGTCGCACCCATAGGCTCGGACATGAGGGAGAGTTGATCGAGGCAAAGGCAGAGCGAGTCGTCCTGCTCTGGTCATATGCTGTAGGAGCGGTGGATGGAGGTGGAGGAGGGTCTTCAGAGCTGAAACCCTCAATTTTCCACAGCACAATCTTGTCCTCATGGCATGCTCGGGAGAGTATGAGATCGCCATAGAACGCGACACTGTCATATTGCTGTTAGTAATCAGGGAAGCATTTGCAGGTGGCGCACTCACCAGTCAATCAGACCAAAATGGACGTCTGAGGTGGAGAAGTGAGGGTAGTGAACCACTATTGGCGTATCGACATGCTGTTCTGGGAGGTCGGGAATAGTCCACTACAGCAAGAATTAGCAAGTGTACCTCCGTCGGTAATCTGGGCAATCGGTATGGTATAGACATACGAGGTTGACGACTTGATCGTGTCCAGCCGAGAGCATATAACGACCAGTATTATGGAAGGCCTATAGATATGATGAGCTTCGCGCAAGGCATGAGGCAAAATCAAGTCACGCACTATGCTCAGGAGACTCCACGAGTGTCCCTCGCCACCCAGAAGGCACAAACATGGTTGCTTGGCGTGGGCAGGACCCAGGCTCCATATCCTTATTGTTGTGTCATCCGAGGCTGAGGCGATGATGCGAGGATCTTGAGGAGAAGTGGCCAGATCATTAATCTCCTAATGCGAAAGTATCAATAAAGTTCAGGTTGCAACGTCCACAGTTCTGACTTACACCTCCATGACCAACAAGTGTCTGTTGTATGGTCAGCCATATCCCAATCAAGATGGCGAGTTTCCCGGGGATTTGAAGCTTACCGTGAATATCTTGCCTTCTTTGATGTCGTATACCTTGACTTTGGCATCTGATCCAGCAACGCAGAGCAGAGGCCTCTCTGTCTCGAAATCTTTGGACCAGCAGCACGAACAGTTGGTTGCTTCCTCCTTTTCTCAAATCAGCTTCGCACTTGAAGACGGAAGTACCTTGACCATCAGGAGAAATTTACATCATCGTCTCTTATAATTCTAATGACTTCGCAAGGGTTTACGTTGGCATCAGCCTGAGAGAGCCGACAAACAAGAATCTAGCAGAGACGTTAGTGAGTGCTTGTTCTATCACATTCCACAGCATAACAAAGCAGACGCATCCGCAATTGCGAACGCGAAGACAGTCGACGCACATGCTTCTTGCTCACAGCCGCAAACACTGGGTCTGCACCGTCCGGGTCGTAAGGGTAGAACTTGACGTCGAAGAATTCTATGAGGGAATCGTGAGCATACAAGGAACACTGCTGGGTGGAGTTTGCTGTTGGTATACTGCGCACCGGTGTCCTTATCATCCTTTTCATCTTCCGTCTTGTTCTTGGTCTTAAGATGCCTGTAGTCGTCCTGTGCGGCAGAAGATGGGCGTCTTAGCGCTACTCGATTCCGGGTCCTGGTCTCCTTACGCGACTTGGGGCGCCGACGAACCTCAAAGTTGAAAGATGAACGCAGCTTGGGCAAGTCCCATTCCGGGGACTCCTGCAGGCTGGCAGCAGCGGCCATTTTCGTGACAAGCGACAGCGCGAGCCGCACTGGACCGGGGAGGGCCGTCCCCGTCGACTACTGATTGACTGGTTGGCTATTCGACCGTTGGATGTACTGACTGATTCACTGATGAGGGCCTTCTCGGGCTGAGCTTCCCGCGTCGCGCAACCCGAGCCGGGACCCTGACGATGCAGGCACGGCAATGTCAGGGTTTTGACGGTACTTCCTGTTTCGGTTACCCCCAGGCGAAGATATTTGCAGGCCAGTTGGGAGCACTGCGCGGGCTAGGGCAGCTTGGCTAGGGGCTTGCGCTTGGGCAGTGGCAGGCCCAATTCGACCTCGGTCTTTGCTGTTGTGGGTGTGTGTGGTGGAGCGTCAGAGAGTCGTCTCCGATTGTAGGGAATTGCGAGGTGGTCGACGTGCGGAGACCAGGACGGATCAGGGCTTAGCGAGTGCGAAAGCCGCCGTAGGGTGCATACAGAGACCCCAGTCTTGTCAATCCCGGGTATGTCGCTCACATTGAAGCTCGCCTGCTCGCCTGGTACGGATGCACCTGGTGCAGCTGCGTACTGTAGTGTCAGGAGTCTTAAACGTATTCTCAAGAGACCACTGGATCAGATTTCTGTTGTTTGATCTGAGGTTATGTGAAAGAGGAAACTCGCCGTCCAGCTGGCCCTGGTGCTGCCGTACCTAGGTCTGTGTTGAACAATCTGGTCGCAACGCTAACTTGATAGGGAAGTCAAGTAAATACTGCGGGGATCTTCACTTCCTTCCCGTTGCGATGCTCAGGGGCATTGCTACTTGTACAACAATTCACTCATCAATATACGTTCCTCTGACCAATGACCTCGTATAACAGTAGTTGTCGACGCACGCACCACCTGCGACTGACACAACATAGGATGAAGGAGTGGGCAAGTTACTGCTAGGCAAGGTCTCGACAGAAGCAAGAGCAGGCGTCCCATCGCCTATTGTTCCTGCCTCCCCGGGCAAGCAAGATGTCATTGGCATCCAGGATTTCCCCCAGGCTCACCTCTAACCAGCACAATGCCATCATCGTCAAATTTGACGCATGTACGCCATCGAGTTCGGCCCCTCGGGTCTTTGTGAAGCACCGAATCCTTCCAAGGAGCTGGCTGCTTGCCTCGGTTATGTTCGTCATATTTCGGCGGACAGGAGCCTCTCGCGCTCGATTGATGATCGATCGTGCCTGGACGTTGTCGAGGAGAGCAATCGAAACGCCATCTGCGTGACGAAACTCCACCCCTACTCCGGTGCTCTCCGCTGTCAGTGCTAAGAGCCTTGACAGCTTCAACGAAGCCCTACAGCACCACTACTTGGCACACCGTATACTATTCCTAGCGAGGGCCCTGCATCACGACCGGGAGCTCTGGCACACCTTCTCCCAGCTTGGCGTTCCTGGCGTTCCCGCTATGGCAGAGACCGTAGAGTACGCGGGAATTGGCTGCCTGACTGGTGCTGATGCCAGGCTCCGCTCCAAATTTCACGTGGCAGGTATGAGAACGGAGCTTGGCGTGGGTGCTGGCCCGCCCTGGTCCACTTCTTGGACTGAAGTGCTGCATATACTGTAATGTGCGTCTTAGCTAGACGGTTCTGGTATCTGGGCAAGGCTGATGTCGTGAGGCCCAGGGCCAGGCACAGAGCATCACCGAAGAAAGCTGGCATGCTGCTGACAACCACAGTGCAACGGCTGAGCGAGAGCCATGCATACCGGCGGGTCCAGACCTGCCAGCCTGCCACACGTGCTGCCTTGATTCTGCAGATCTTCGGCCCTAAACATCGCCATCTATGTAAGCATAAGCACCAACGCCGCAAGGATGGTTTGACAGCTGCACGTTCCAGGCGAACAAAGCCAGCGAACCTGGGCAACCGGGGCCGCGCAACTCCTACGCAACCATGCATCACATCCCTGGCCTGGGGTCCTCCTTCCAGGTTCTCAAAATGTGGACACACTCGTCGTTTTCGCGAGGCGATGAGGGAATTCGGTGACAGGCGTTGCGATCTGTGGCATCGAGGAAAAGTCCCGCTCGCTTACACAGTTATCAGATCTCAGAATCCGAAGGGGTTGCAACAGTTTATAAGGATGTCGTTCCACATTGTGGCTTGAGGTCGATCTCCCAGGGGCCGGCCAGGGTTTGTTGGATGTCGAACGAATGACAAGTCTCCGATGCGCAGGTCCTCCTTCGTTCTCGACCATCGGGCATACTACCCTGGAACCCCTACCCAAATGATATATCACTGCTCTGACGTACAACCTTGCGCGAGGCTGATGGTTGCTGAGCCGAGGGCCTTCCATCTCCGCCACAATCACGATCCTCGAGGCTTGCAGCCTCACTCGATGTCGGTCTACCTAGTTTTATGCCCTCATCACCATATTTGCAACACCAGTTTCGTGTTGGCCTCAATCCCAATGCGTGGGGTTGCATACGCGATGACGAAGGAGCCTATCTTTCAACACCCCTGGGTGCTGCACACTGCACATGGGGGTGGTCGAAATTTAAAGATTGCCCTGGAGCTGAATGCGGCTGACAAGGCTCGGGCGACTCCGACTTGACATGACTTGACATGGTCCATGAAGGAAGCGGACGACACTGACTGATGAAACTTGACAGCAGTCTAGCCTCTCTCACCCGGGAGTGAGCCTGGCAGGCCTGGGTGGGCGGCCGACAATCCCAGTCGTCGATCATCGGGACCTACGGTCTTTATTCCCTGTCCTCGCGCCTCGACAGCTGCCTCGTCCATCTCAACGAAGAATGTGGGCTGCCAAGCTGCCCAAGATAGCTATCACCGCCGTGGGCTCCATTAGACAGAACCTCCCTGTCAGTCTGTCGCAAGCTCTTCCTTTCTAGTCGAAGCGAAGTGCCCACATTCTATCAAACAGAGCCCCGTCCCGAGTGTCTTTTCACATTCCGATGTCCGCGAAATGGGATTATCTCGAAGTAGCAGTCGACTTGTCAGTCGAGCCAGCGCTGTGTCATTCTCGTTGAACGTACCTAGTATACCCACTATTGCAGAGCTCAGCCCGCGTTTCCCAGCGAAAGCTCTCATAAGGTGCTTTGCTTGTCATTGGCCCTTGGAAACCGGTACGTACTTGTCACCCGGTACTGTGGTACAAAATGTCGCTCTCGCTCCACGGATACCTTCAAGTCCTGTGCAACGAGTGCCCCGCGGGTCCTCGGCAAGCCTCTCGTTACTCGATCTGATGGCGCTTGGGTCCACATCTGACCCCATACATGACTGCGAGTTACAGTATGAAGCACCTGGGAAAACCTTTCTTCATCCGGCATCAGGAGCATGCCCCTGACGGGCGATGGACGTTGGAACTCAATTCAAGTGTCATCGAATTAAAGTTGAAGCTAACTCCCTGCTGCTCCGGTCCCCATCTTTTGCAAGAGTTGGCTGCCGGTCAGCCTGTCAGTTCAGGGGTCCAGAGCGTTTGTTTCGCGGGCGAATGAAGGAGACCGCTGCGGATCACCCTGTCTAGCCTGCCGGTCTGCGAGTCTGCGAGTCTGCCCAGTTCTGCTCCTTTCACAGATAGCACACGGCTCGAGGCAATGCCGTCCTCGATGAACCATGCCCGACGAACCCTGTCCCACCAATGCTGTGCGTGGCAGCTGCCGCGATCACAGATGTGGTACACAGTTCGAGGAGATTGTACTGAACCCCAGCCCCGCGGTACGCACGTAACCAGAGAGCTGGGATCCATATGGCACTTGGGTCCGTCCCACGGGAGGAGACGGGCCAGGGGTGGTACGCCAGCTGCACGGGAGCTTGTCTCCACGCCCAGAAATTGCTGGGTGGTTTCTCGGGCTAGCACGGATGCAATTGTCGACCCGCCTCCGTCGTCTGGAGAAGCTCCCCTGTCACCTCGTCAACAGCAGGGTCCGGGGCTCAAACAGCAATGCAAGCAATATTGGCGCTGAGGGACCTTTTGTTGTGAGGTGACGGAATTACTTCCTGAGACATATAAACCGCGTCAAGTCCTCTGTCCGCACGACGCCACCATGACATGTTGGCCATCCCGCCCTACACACCTTTTCAAGCATCTTCCCTGAACAAGAGGACTAGGATCACTCCCTCCCGTCTCGGTTCGACCCATGCGCAAACACTCAAACGAAGCAGCAGCAGCCAGCCATTTTGGGCCTGCCTGCTAGATACTCGAGGACAAATATCAGCCCTCGTTTCTCCCTTCGCATTCTAGTCTGTCCATTGCTTATCATCCTGACTCTACGACAGCCTTTGGGCACCTGATCAAGCCGTCGAGGACGAGCCACACCCTGCTTCAAAAGTGCAGAGCCTTCTCCGACTCTATTACCTGTCTCAGCGCTGCTCAATCCTCTGTTAGCCCCAAATATTTGGTCGCGCTTCTGTAGCTCTTTGCTGAAGCGACAAGATAACAAATCGGCACTGCAACCTTGCCAGCTGTCTCTCGTACAAGAGGTTTGACAGACCAGAGTATCGACACACACGTCCTCGCCAGACAGTCTTGCAGACTGCCGTCCCTAAATCCACCCAACGCTCCCGGTTTATCAGAGCCAGTGAGACTTGACGAGCTCCACGACAGCATCTGTGTCCTACAAGAGCTCGGTTAGCGAGCAGTGGCAGATCGCCGCACCGTTGCATGACAAGCACAAGACATAACACAAGCCATCCACGTGTGTCACCAACGGCGCCAGTCGACTCTTCTTTCAGTATCCCCAGGTTTCAACAGTTGCACGTCCCGGTCCTTCCACTGTAACGGTTGCGCCGCATCCTCCCGGGGTCATCCAGGCTCGCGGGGACACTCGACTAGACTAGTCCGCCCGTGTCTCAACTGGCGCGTTTTCGAGAGTTAGTTCATCAACAAGCTCTCATATCATCCCATGTTGCCTCGACAAAGGCATATGGAGACACCATACTAGTCCAGCTCGAAGGAAAAAGAAGGCAGCTACCGGGCACGGTAGGCCGAGATATTAGTCTCAATGGAGCATACTTTCATGACCATTCACAGTAAGTCTGCCGCAATTCACGGCCTCATGTTGTCGAAGTCCCGTCATCCATGCGCGAAACCCCGCCCCTGTGGGCACCTGAAAGTAGTTGAGACCTTGGACTGATGTTTCCAATGCTAGACCTCACCCCGGACTGCAACATCCTCTTTGCCTCGGATTCTATCACCGATATACTGGGCTGGCGGCCCGAGGAAGTGCACGGAAGATCAGTCTTCAGCTACTTTCACCCTGACGAAGTCCCATTTGCAAGATCAATCCACAGCCGTGGTATCCTACTAGACAAGGCTGCCAGTCTCCACTATGCGAGGTTGGTGACAAGGGACGGTCAGTGGGCTAGCTGTGAATGCTGCTTCACAGTTGTCCACGATGTACTGGTAGCATGCACCAGCATCTACCGTCGGGACCAGAAGAGCGAAAGTAGGTGCCTCATTGATGCAGGATCTTGCTCTGGACTGGGCTGACAAATAGTGCAGGGCGAGCAATCGAGGGTGCTCAAGTTCGAAGGATCTTTTCTTCGTCCCCCAGAGACCCGCGTTACCACATGCTTGAGCACCTCTCGCCCAAGTTCAAGATGCCGCCCGTGGAGCGTGAGCCCCGAGCGGCACTCATCCTGAACCGGTTCACCAGAAATTTGTCAATCATGTTCGCCACCAACGCCGTAGCCTCTGTCCTCGGGCTGCCCCCCGATCAGGTCAAGGACAAGAGCTTCTACCGATGCATCCAGGAGAGGTGCCTGCCGGATGCAATAAAGTGCCTTGAAGGAGCAAAGGCCAACGACTCCATCGCCTACCTGCGTTTCTGGTCTCGTGACCCCAGAGAAGCAGATGATTTCGAAGACGACAACGATGGAGTTGACGGAGAAGATCATCCAATGGCTGACGAGGACCGACACAGCAGCACCAGTGACTCCGAGGGCGGCGGTGCTGAGTTGGACAGCCGCATGGCCCTGGACGAGGACGACACAACTGTCCGCGGAGGCATAAAACAAGAGGAAGAAGATGAACCCATGGACTCTGTGCCTTCGGCAAGCAGTAGTTCAGCTCATGAGTCGGCTGGAAACGCCGCCTCGAGTTCACGACCTGGCAATTCTAACCGAGCCCCACGAAGCCAACGATCTTCAGCGGGCAACGCAGTCCAAGGTCGGCGGTCATGGCGAAGACAGCCGAGGCGACCTGACCATCGTCAGCCATTGCCGGCGGTCGAGCTTGAGGCTGTCGTCTCCTGCACCTCCGACGGTCTCGTCGTGGTGCTGAGGAGGGCCAGACCAGCGATCCCACCCGCCCATCCTCCACTTGCCCTGCCGTGGGACTTCGAAAATGGACTCTTCGCTGCGCCGTGGGCGCCTCAGCCAGTGCGCCCATACATACCACCTGAAATGATCTACACCTTCCGGCCACCACTGATGCCACAGTACATGCCCCTCCAGGACCACGTCAGGGAGGCCGGCGGACCGCCCAACGATCAGTTGATGCACTCCATCCGTGAAGTCGGTGTCTTCGCCTGGGGTCTATGTGGTATCAACGGCAACCTCCACGCGTTCTCTCACGGCATGCCCAGGGACGAGGCGGTGCCTCCTGACGGGCTACCGGTTTGGGACCCAGCCGCCACAAATAGTCCGTACCAGCCACCAGAGAACCAGGCGGCCGCGAAGTGGGCGGCCATGGTGGCCCAAACGAGCCCGTTTGGATCGTCCGTCAGCTCGGGGACGCGCCAGCAGCAGATGCGCAGCCCGATGCATCACAGCTTCACATCAGCGTCAGGGGGGAGCGAACCGCAGTCGGGGTCCTCCGACCCGCACGCGCCTTCTTCTGGGCCATCAGCTGGCCACACTACGCAGGCTTCCAGCCAGGGCCAGTCGCCACCGTGAGAGCTGAGAAGTGCGATGCTGCCTCCAGGTCTACACTATTACCCTTTTACGCTAGGATGTGTCGTGTCTGTGCGGAGAAGCCGCAAGTTTTCAAAATTTCAAGACCGCAATTTCTTTCACGATGGCTTCAACGCGGTCAAAATTCAGGCTGCACCGAAGCCTTTCTCTACGAAAGTAACCAGGCAGGCAGGGCAGGGCTGCCTGGGACGGAAAATATTATGGGAGGCGTACTGGTCTGTTCTTGGTATTTCTTTTTGGGCCACTACGTTGAGAGGAATGAGGCAGGATCAACGACGAGTTGGACCGCCTAAGCGCGTATTACTGGGTATGAAGGTCAAGAAATTTGAACAAGCATACACGATGTCGCCTTATTAGAGGCTGACCGGCCGGGGAGCAAGAGCCGTTGAGTGCACACGTCTTGGGAGCATTGCTGGTCATTGATTGTACTTCTGAGATACCCCACGAGTGTATGCTGATTTGAGTCTTGACTCATACCTTGAATTCAGGGTTGTCTGCGAGCGATTGTTTATGTAGGGCCGAGGAGGCTTTAATATGTATGTTGACTTGGGCTACACTGCCGTGATAATTGTCTTGACTCACCAAGGAGTATGGAAGTAAAAAAGAAATAAGAGAGGCAGGATGATCAGAACGGGTAAGGAGGCTGGATTCCTGGCCTGCCATCACAGCATCCAACTATCCATACAGATGCAGTAGGCGGAAATTTGTACGATAGCAGTGCACCATGCCAAAAACTGAACTACTGTATGCAGGTTCCAAGGTGTCCTGACTTTCAAGGAGCATCTCATTCCTGAAGCCATGCATTGAAGACATGGGCAGCAATTTACTGATAAATCATTCCATTATAAATATCATGGGAATAGGTACATAACTTTATGCTCCGAACGTCTATAAGCCAACTAGAACGGGTGCAAACAGATGACTTCTTTAAAGGTACGTACCTGTCAACTCGTGCTCTAATTGGTAGGTGTGTCTGATCAGGGGTGCCTAGCTATGGGAGCTCGGCTGCGTAACTCCAAAGCTTCAGGACAACTAACAGCAGAGCTGTCGCAGCCCTCGTCAACCTCGAACAATTACAGGACCAGCCGACCCGACTTACACACACCAATTTCAACCACCAACTTTCTCACATTGACACAGACCACAGGCCCATTCGACAGCATACTATCGTTCATACGACACCCAACCAGGACACTTCCAAAGCGCAACGCAACCCCCACAGACAATGGCTTCCGCAAGCCGGAGAGAATACCAACAACCGTCCCTTGAGGACAACGACATGATAGATCCCGATGATGGTGAGCGCTCCCGCCCAGTCCCTAGCCTCAAACCCTCTCCCCCTTCCGCGGAGGAGTCTCAGCTAACCGTCCGCGCCGTCCCCACCAGCCGACCTCAACGACTTCGACGACCCCCTCCAGCCATCCTCCTCCCGCGCCCCACTGACAGGCAACATCGGGCAGTCATCGTCATCGTCCCAGCAGCAGGGCGGGGGCGGCCTCAGCCAGGACTACCTGACGTCGCGGATAGGCGGGGAGGACCGGCGCGCGCCGCAGAACACCATCGACGAGAGCGTGTGGGACACGCTGCGGCGCGACCTGCTGGCGGTCTGGAGCAAGATGCGCGAGGTGCTGTGGCCGCGGTACCTGCTGGGCGGGACCATGTTCGAGTCGGCCGAGGGCCTGCGCGGCGCGTACGCGAACCTCCGGGGGGGCCGGGATATCGGGCGCCCGCGACGAGCTGGCCGGGCTCGCGGGCCGCGTCATGGACACCGAGGCCCTGCTGCAGAACAACATGACGCCCGGGCTGCGCGACTGGGACCTCTGGGGCCCGCTCATCTTCTGCCTGCTGCTGAGCATGCTGCTCAGCTTCAATGCCGGGGTCGACCAGCGGGACGAGGTGTTCAGTGGGGTGTTTGCTATGGTGTGGATCGGGGAGGCGGTTGTGACGCTGCAGATCAAGCTGCTGGGTGGGAATATGTGAGCTCTCTCCCTCTCCCTCTCTTTCCCCGCCACCTTGAAGTTTCGTTGTGGGCTACGTATGTGTGCGGGACTACGAAAACGCCGTTGACTGACACTGGTGGTGGGCACAGCTCATTCGCGCAGAGCGTCTGCATCATCGGGTACACACTCTTCCCGATTGCCATCGCCGCCCTCCTGTCCGCGCTGCACCTGCCGCAGATCCCCCGGATCCCGGTCTACCTGGTGCTCGTCGCCTGGTCGATGGCGGCCGGCGTTAGCATCCTCGGCGGCAGCGGTGTTGTGAAGAACCGGGTCGGGCTTGCGGTATACCCCCTGTTCGTCTTCTACCTGGGCCTGGGCTGCCTGTGCTTCATCAGCTAGACGGAGGGATACTTGGGCTGCTGGCGGCAGGGCGAGGACAAAACCCGGTGGGAGCTTTTAGAGAAAACGTGATGGCAGGTCGCACTGGGGTTCCACGGTTCATTGCATTGAAGCTGGCGCAGGCAGGATGAACGGGTTTTCTTTTCTGGTCGTTGAGTGACGATTGTACTTCTAGATATCCAGGTATGGTGACAGGGCCCGCTGAAAGCACATCTCAGAGAGGCCGTCTTGTTGCTTCAACTAAACTTGGTGTATTCTTGCTCACGATGGTGTCCTCGGCCACGGGCGGAATAAGTGGAATATTCTTTCTTCTGAGCGGAGCCTATTGTCTCCCCCCCTCCAATCTAGTCTGTTGTTCTATTCTCCAAACGTGTATGTACATATCGACACATGATGTATCTATGACCCTCCCCAACGCCGGCCAGTGTTTTTATGTGCCTTCCCCCTGTCTATATGCCAAGCCGTCATTCCGTACTCATACAACAAACTGATCAATGCTTCATCACTGTCTTGTCAGGTGCTCTGGGTATCTAATCCTCTCGACATGAAATCTTCGCCAGACAACAAAAGCCTGCAATCATGGTGATCAAACTGCCGTTTCTGGCTGCTCGACGGGCATCCAGACGTCGAGCTTGCGCATGATGATCTGGTACAGGAACAGCATGCAACCGCTCTGGATACTGGTCCACACGACGCGCGGGCCGACGCCCCTGAACCATCCGCCGATGCCCTCATGCTTATATATCATCCTCAGCCCGACGAACACGGACGACGTGTCGAGCGGTGCTACTCCAGGCTTTGGCCTGTGTGTTGATGGGGACGAGGTGGAGATGAGTCGTTTTGATGCTTTTTTTATCCTCCTGCCCTCGGTTGCGTGTGAGATGTGAGGGTCCACCGCGGCACCCTGCTTTGCCTTGGCCGCCTGCGCACCATGTCCGGGGTTGACCTGGGTCTGCAGGCGCGTTTTGACTACGTCGAGCGGGCAGGTCATGGCTCCTGCGAGGCCGCCTGCTGAGGCGCCGGTCAGGAACTCCAGTGGTGTTCCAATCTCCCTGCTGCTCTTCCACTGATGTGCCCAGTCTTTAAACTGCTCCCAGAACATGAATTGCAGCGCCGAGAATGGCAGGTCACGGTACAGTGTCGCCTGGTAGCCGTAGAAGAGCGCAGAGAAACCCTCGGTACGCACTATCGTTGTCGCAGCATCAAGAGTGCCGCGGTAATTGTACCCGGAGTTGAAGTGGGGGTTCTTGTATCGTCCCTGGAGCTGTAATCGGGTCTTGAGGACTTCGGAGGGAACGTATACGATAGACGCGGCGAGGTCTCCAAGAAAGCCTGCGGCAGAAAAGTGTCAGACGAGCTATCCCGGCGTTTCCTAGAGACGTGACGGGGGATCGCACGTACCACCTGTGAGATATGCAACGTGTGGCTGGATGCCATAGTCAAGCAAGTGACGTTTTGAGAACTCGTATGTGCCGAAGAACATTACGGTGCCAGGGAAAGACCCCAGGAGAGCCGGAAACCAGCCGCCATACAGGCCCCTTCTTATTCCTTCCTGGCGGAAGATTGTGTAGTACGAGGAGCCGAGGGAGTTGTATTTCGGGGGTACGTGAGGGTCGCCCTGCTGCCGCGTCTTGACTGTATCAAGAGAATGCATGAGCATGTCACCAGTGGTTCCTCCGAGGCCACCGGCGATCATGGACTGGGGAAGGAGGCAGATATCAGCATCTTCCCAAGGTACGGGCGACAGCAGTTACGGTTTTGGTTTTCATACATGGATGTAGGGCTGGCGGCCCTCATATTCGTTGATTTCGTCGGCCATTGCGCCGCCGCGGCGTGCGATGTCCTTCGGAAACTGACTCTCGAGGGCTGGGCTATCGCCGCATGGTTGGCGAGCACCAAGCGGCAGGGGAGCTTTGCGCCGTGAGGAAGTCTGTGCCGGGACTGGCTGGGAAATGTCCAATTGGTAGGTGGTTACGAGGAACAGGAGGGCTGGAGGCCGCAGTTGAGGCGGGAAGCCCGGGAGAGGGTTGTCGCGTGCTGTGTTGGCGGGCTTGTTGAGGGCACGAACGGGACTCGATGAGATCAGTCAAAATTTCCAGCTTGGTGACGGCCGCCGGACCGCCCAGCAATTTTCGGAGCCGACCCTGTTGCTGTTGACTTGGCCTGTGCACCGAGGAACTTATAGACCCCCTGCGTCTGTCTTTACGGTGTGCATGCTTCTATTCTATGCGAGAAAATACCTAGTTCCTCTCGTTTCTGTTCTTTCCCTTCTACATGCTAACGCACACATAATCGACTCTTGACCATCTTGGAGTGTTATTCCTGCAAGATATGGAGCGGGCATGTGGTCTCCCGGCGCCGAACCCCACCAATGTCCGAGTACTGTTGACATCGGGTCAGCCGGTATGCCGACTTGGTCCCTTTCAACCTCCAGCTAGGACGTCGCATCATCACTGCACTGCACTGCATTGCACTGTGGTATGACGATGCTATGACATATTTCTCATAGAGCATTCGCAATGGCAGCCTGGAATGTTGGTGCGGAGCCACTTTTGCTTTTCCAAATCTGAGAGCCTTCTACCTCACTACCTCGTGGCAGCGAGACGGTCAGTAAGCCGATGCTCCCACCACTTGACCCTCTCCGCCTTGCGGAACGGCCACAAGATATGGGTGACCTGTCCCTCGACCAGCCGGATCGAAATTGGCCCATACGTGTTGCTGTCCAGCGACTTGGTGCCGTCTCCTTCCACCCAGATGTGATTCGGAGGCACGCGGATGTAAGGCGTAGGGAATGGTGCCTTGGTGTGAATCATGTCGCCAGGGAGGCCGATGATGCGCTTGACAGTCATGGTCTCAGGCCTCATCGGGTTGCTATGTCGCAAGTGGCGTCAGTCCCCCAGACATCTTGTAGGGCGTAGACGTGTTTTTGGCCAGGCAAGACATGCGGACAGACTCACTAGAAGGTCACGATCTTGCCCCTCTGCAGATTCTGCTGGGCATAGAGCTTCCAGGTCAGGCAGACGTAGCCGAACCTGGTCTCATTGTAGTTCTCGTTCAGGTAGGGATACATGGACGGTCCTCGGACCCTGGTCGTCCCCACGACATGGCTTTCGACAAAGTAGCACACCGGATACCAGGCTGCGCATATGATGAGGTACCGCGCCGTGTCTCCCGTGAAAGGAGCGACCTTTGCTCTAAGCCACGGCCATGCCGCACCGAAGGCCATGGGGAGATGCGCACAGGCTATGGGCTTCTCATCGGAAGCAAGGAGGGGAATATCACGGCGAGATGATCAATCTGGTCTAGGTATGTTGCGCGGCTGTGAACTGTTTTCAAGGGTCCAAGATTCTTCTGGGAAGTCCAGACGAGGCTCTGCTCGGTTTGCTACAGTCCCTAGCCTACCTAGGTACCCGCCCGTGGTACCACAGCACCGCCGTCAGGCTGCGCCAAGCCGCGACTGCCAGCGACCAGCGGCTTCCCTGCGGCCGGCAAAAATATTGGAATCTAGCCGTCAACGACGACCTAGTGGGTCCTGTTCTTCATCAGTCCACTTCTTTTGAACATTCAGACAAGCCGACCACCGTCCACAGACAAATGCGACTCGAGGCTGCTCTGCTCTGCCCTCTTCGTCCACGTCGGATCCTCCGAGCGTCATTGTTGGCATGCTGATTGCTCCTTCACCCGCGCCGCTGTCCAGTCGACAACCGAGACGAAATGTCGATCGATAGGCCATGTCCTCCTTGCTGCTCCGTGTGCCAAAGAAGGCAGCCCTGACAGCCCTGCGCGGCCTGATAGCCGGAACCTCATGCACCCTCCTCCTGGTCACCGAGGACCGCCGTCGCCGCATCAATCAAGCCCGCAGTGCCATAGAAAACGCCGAGAAGCTCTGCTTGGTGAAGCAGTACCATGCGACAAGGTCCGCGCTCCATCAAGAGCCTGCGCACCTCTCCGCCCTCGAGAGCCTGGAAGAGGCTGCGTACAAGGAGCCAAAATGGAGCAGTCACAAGAGCTTGAAATCTCGCCACAAAAACGCACCGGAAGACGACTGGGAGGGAATAACCCCAACAATCGGACAAAGCAATCAAAGTGGGCATCCGAGTGACGTGCGTGGCCAGCCTCGTCGCCACTACCGTCCCAAAGCAGGCCAGTTCAGCCGCATGAGGAAATCGACAGCAGCATTGCGCCCGGTCCCCGTTCATCCAGAACCCGCCAGTCAAACCGTCACTTTCCCCAAGCTAGGTGTCGACGAGAATGTCAGGCGAATAAGAGAAGCGGTCATACTAGGCGATGCTCGAAGCCTTGAGGCTGCCGTTGGTATCCTGCAGAAGACCGTTCAAAGAATCGGCCTCACGGATCTCGACAAGACCATGCTCGTCGATGCAGCTGCACCACTTTGCCAGAAATGCCAGGAAGTAGGCATGTCGGATCATTGTGAGGAAATACTACTGTGTGCTGTTGCGCTTGGGCCCATGTCTGGGGACCAGTACTATGCATTCAACCCGCAGCCCATGATCGAATCGGCTGTTGCTGCTACAGAATCCACATTGAGCAGAAGCGAGGCTTCCGGTACCGAGGACAAGGCTCGCCGTGCCGCAAAGCAGAAGCTCAACCGAGCTTTGTCTTTGTTCATGCCGCGCTTCAGAGACAAGACTTATGCCAGCCCTCGCTCGAGCGATTGGCAGCAGAATGCCGAGAAACTGATGCAACTGGCTTTCGATCTCGACTTGACTGACCAGGCCGCAGACGTATTCTGGCGCATCCAATTTTACGGCGGGGACGCGGATGCCTCGGTGACATGGCAGTTTCTGACGCGTCTTTCCGAAAAGAAAGACTTCAACCGCGTCGTCAACACCTTCAGTTTGACGCGCCACAAGCTCCCCCATTGTTCCAGCCAGTTATGGTACGACATTGGCAGTCTTGTGACTGATGCTGTCGAAGCTGCCCCCAAGCAGAAACCGTCGAAGGTGCTGCTACAATTACTGGGACAGTGCCCAAAGGATTACCATGTTCGGACGACATGGGCCACCAAACTCCTTTATTGCCACTGGAAGCGGGGCCAGGACTTCGAGGCAACACGAGGTCTGTTTCGCGAATTCGAGAATATCCACGCAGGCAGATTGGGATTCAGGTTAGTCCGTTTTCCGGATGGCGTTTACCGCGTCATGCTGCAAATTGCCGTGGAGGCAGAACAATGGCAGACCGTGGATGAACTTCTCGCCCGACTGCAGCAGATAAAGCCGTCGTCGTGTAAGGATGCTCGCATACTCGGCCTCCTCGCCTTGGCAAAGGCCAAGGTCGGCGACTGGAACGGGGTATGGGCAGATTTCAAGAACATGGAAGTGAAGGATCGCATTGACGACGTCTTCGTTCCTGTTCTCAAGGAGTTCATCAAGACACACACAATCAGTGAAACGGAAGAGTTCATGAAAGCCTACATAGCCGACTTGAAGGTGCCGGTCTGTCGGTATATGGTCAACGTGGTCGCCAACCAGTATGGCGCGATCCGCAATGTTGAACTTTTCGTCAACTGGCTTGACTACTGTAGTCAGGCCGGCTTCGAGGTCGACGCCGCCTTCAGCAACGCCATCCTCGTCAATTGCAAACGCAGATGGGACTTTAGCTTTGAGGAACTGAGAGTTGTCTATTGCAAACTGAAGCTGCTCAGCCGGAACTTTGTCGACAGTTGGACTGAAAACACTATGGTCATCGCAGCGATGAAAGTCAGGCATCATACCAGGTCGGCATACCGCAGGAACATCACGCTTTTGGGCATGAAGAGTCGAGGCGTCTCTTCTGTGACGAAAGGCACAACGCCGGAAGACGTGCGGATCGAAATGAAGGAAGCTATGACTCTACGCACCTATAGGACGGTTTGTGGGATCTACAAGGCAGCCCTTGCTCGAGGACTCACGCTCGACGGTGGCCATGTGCGGCTGGCTGTCAAAGCCCAGCTCAAAGTCGACCGAGGGAATCCACAAACGGTTTTCGACATAATCGCTGCGGCAAAAGCGAGAGGGGTGGATGTTAGCACGACAATATCACCAGTGTTCTTCGGTCTGTTGCGACAAGTCTCGCGAGGGGAGAAGGTAGACAGAAACGACTGTCTGCGCCAGGTTCAGAACCTGATCGGCCGATTTGAGTCAAACGGACTCAGCCTCCCACCCGCAGCTTTCACGCGCGCCGCGCACGTCTGCATGGGAGCGCGCCACTTCCAGGGTGCGATATCGCTTGCCATGTCCGGTCTAGAGCGCAAGGGTGTGTTGTACCCTTGGGACGGCCCGACCTTCTCGCTCTTCTTGCTGGCCTTCACGCACATGGTTGATCTCAAGGGCATGAAGTGGACCATTACAGGGGCGTGGCAGGAGCCTTACTTCCATAAGAAGACCGTGCTGAGAGCGCTCAAGGATTCACGTGGCTTGTTGGCCAAGTCTATCCAGACGAATGATGTTCAGAAGGCGGTTGGGGTGCTCGACATGGCCCTGGACCTGGTGTTGCGAGTGCGTGATGCTCTGGCCACAGAGCGCAAGAACCTGGAGAAAGACACGATGGAGATTATGAGGCAGGCGGCGCTAGAAGCCAACCAGCGGGCGCTGAATGGCCAAGGCCCAGAAGGAGGTGGCGGCGGTGGCGTTGACCCAGAGTTCGCCAGAAAACGGGATGAGCTCCTACGGGAGTTCGATGAACAGCAAAGGCGCGAGGAGGAGGCCGAGAGGCTGCAGCTCGCTGCAAGGGAGGCTGAGATGAGGGACAGGGCCCTGGCTTCCGAGAGGTTCGAATTCGAGCAGGCTGAAGAGGCCGAAGAGATGGAAAGGATGATGACGGAGAAGAAGTACGATATCGCCGGGGGATTCTGAGGGAGCGCACATACACTTGGGTGCACCTCGCATCTCTTGTGTTCTACATGTATACGTAACTATACTGCCAATACCCAATTCCGTAACTACATATATAAAGACGAAGTGCCCAAGCACGCCAATCCAAATATTCAACCCCGTACTATAGACCTGGCCGCGAAGGCTAAGGGACAGTGACTATTTACAATGTTACGAACTGAACTGAACTGGCAGAGTTGGAGCCTCAAGATTGGAGAGATCTTGGGGAGCAAATCGGAAGAAAAGAATATCAAAAAAATCACGACTCAAGGCGTACGGTCTGTCAGCTGCTGTCAGCCTTGCATCGTAAGGTTTTCTCGATCCTTTGGCCCAGTAGGACGAGTTGCATTTTTTCCAGCCTGTCTGCTACTCGTCCATACTTGTAGACCATCACTGCCCATGAGGCCACACGCCTCGAAATGCCCAACAAAAACGGACGACATGTGAAATTTGGCGGTCAAGTGCCACACACTGTCATTGGCCAATCACAGGCGGCGATGGCCGCATGGCATGACTTCTTGGGCCAATCGAGCAGAATTTACAGGGCCCTCCACAGGGGTCCAGGGCGCCGAATCTGGTCGCTTGCTGCAGGGGCAGCCGGGCTCCCAATTGCACCTCCCAGCGCCACCCTTCCTGGGAACTCGCAGTGGGCTGTGGATCTCGGTCGGCCGTCTTCTCCCACTTTTGCTTGTGATTATCACCATATCGACCAACGGCCAGGACGAGGACGGAACGGACAGGTCACTTTCTGCATTTGGGATCTGATCAATCCTCTTGTACTTACATCCGCCACACTGTCCCCCGTGGTCCCCGCGTCACAGCTCCCTCGCGTCTTTCAACAAGCGTCGCACAGCCCAGCAGCAATTGGCCGCCGTCATTGACCAGACCAGCGGTATCGCCACTCCAAGTCGGTACCTGCAGCAAGGACAACCTTGGGAACCAACCCCCTTTACGGGCCCGATCTCTGCACCGACTCAACGGTAGCTCGTGCGACTGTCCCTTCCTGTTGGTGTATCGAGTCTCTGTCACCCAATATATTGCCTACTATACTCGTCGAATCCATTCACAAATCCGCACACATGGCTACAACACTTGAAGTCGAAGCAGCCTCTCTCCAAAGGGAGCGCCGCCAGCGCTTCCACGAGGCCGATGTCGTTGTCGTCGGCGCCGGTGTCTTCGGCTGCGCCGTCGCTTACGCCCTTGCCAACCAGGGCCGCAGCGTCATCCTCCTCGAGCGATGGATGCACGAGCCGGACAGGATAGTCGGCGAGCTACTGCAGCCCGGCGGGTGCGCGGCGCTGCGCAAGCTGGGGCTCGGACACTGCCTCGAGGGCATCGACGCGGTTCCATGCTACGGTTACCACATTCTCTTCCACGGTGACGAGGTCGTATTCCCGTACCCTGCGACAAATGAACAGGGAGAGGTAGTGTTGGCGGAGAAGAAAAAGGCCGGTGAGGAATACAAGAAGCCGGAGGGGAGGGGCTTCCACCATGGACGGTTTATAATGCAGCTGCGGAAGAGCTGCCTCGGCCACCCCAATATTTCCGTCTTCGAGACGGACGTCACGAGCACCATTGTCGGCGAGCACGGCCCGGAGGTTCTTGGGGTGGAGAGCAGGACGACCGACCCCGCGACGGGCGAGAAGAAGCCCGACTGCTACTTTGGCAAGCTGACCATCATCGCCGACGGCTACGCCTCCAAGTTCCGCAAGCAGTACGTCGGCAAGACACCCCAGATCAAGTCCAAGTTCTACGCCCTCGAGCTGATCGACTGCCCCGTCTCGCCCTCTGGCTACGGCCACGTCGTCATCGGGAAGGCCTTCCCCGTGCTCCTCTACGCCATCGGCAGCCACGAGACGCGCGCGCTGATTGACGTCCCCGTCGACCTGCCGGCCGCCTCGGTCGAGAAGGGCGGCGTGCGAGGCTACATCAAGAACGTCGTGCTCCCCACCCTCCCCAAGGAGCTGCACCCGTGCTTTGAGGCCGCGCTGGCGGACGGCAAGATCCCCAAGAGCATGCCCAACAGCTGGCTGCCGCCGTCGCAGCAGTCCACCAACCCGGGCGTGCTGGTGCTGGGCGACGCCATGAACATGCGGCACCCGCTGACGGGCGGCGGCATGACGGTGGCGTTCAACGACGTGGTGGTGCTGTCGGATCTGCTGTCGGGCGTGCACGACCTGGGCAACGGAGAGGCGGTTAGCGGCGCCATGAAGCAGTTCCACTGGCGGCGCAAGAACCTGTCGTCCATCATCAACGTGCTGGCCATGGCGCTGTACAGCCTCTTCGCCGCCGACAGCCCACAGCTACGCGCCCTGCGCATGGGCTGCTTCGCCTACTTCCAGCGCGGCGTCACCGAGGAGCCCACGGGCCTGCTCGGCGGGCTCATCCACCGCCCCTGGGTCCTCATCAGCCACTTCTTCACCGTCGCCTTCCTCGCCATCTGGCTCAACGCCCGCGATGTCATGGGCGGGGGACCGCTCGGATTCCTCAAGTTCCCTATTGCCATGCTCGACGCCGTCTTGATTCTCTGGAAGGCGTGCGTGGTGTTCCTTCCGATTATGTATCGGGAGGCGCTCTAGATGCGGACTGACGGACAGTCGGGTGGGAATGCTCTTGAGAGCAGTCTTGCATTGCGGGAAGGAGATGAGGATGCGAACGATGTCCTTGCGACTTGAGCTTCGGGAGCGGGCATACTAGATGAGGACAGACAGACGAGCCTTCCTGGAATGGTTCAGACATCTAGAAGACGATTTAAGATGAGAAAAAAAGCATGCAGAGCGAATTTGCGCTTCGGATTGACGCGTTCAACGCCCTTCACGAAACGGAGGAAGGCGGTTTCGATGTACGTATTTAGGTCCTTGCTTCGAGGGCACATCTCCCCTCCGAGCGAAAGAGACATACAGATATCAAATCTAATTAATTTTAATGACCGTGAGAACGCACACCACTCAATCTGTATCATCTGTCTGTTGGGCCTTCTGCCATTTGAGAGATCCTGAGGCTGTTTGGCGAACAAGCACTGTCCTGATTCTACTCCGAGTCCGATTGCGTGAAGTTCTGGTCAAACCGAGAGCAATTTGTAAATTAAGCGTGCATGCCATTGACATCTAGTATGCGGTCCCTGTGGGCCGGCCTCTATGATCTTTCTTGCCCTCCTGACGAATTCTCATTGTACAGTATCGACTCAGGTATCGACCCAAGTCCACGAGTTTTGGGGTTCCGCCCAACGCCGTTTCCAAAATGCTGGTGATTGCAAGTGCCCATACACAGAGCGTGAAGGCCTGATCGCAGTATTTTCAGGCAAAGATAAAATCAAATAGAAATTAGAAAACAGAAGAAAGCAATAAAAAAGCTCATGTGATGCGCCGCCGGTAGACGCCAAACATCCAACTACCGCGCAGGATGACCATGCCCAGGGCCATGCCGATGCTGTCCTTGATAATGTTCATCTTGGTGCCCTCGACCTCGTGCCAGTCGATGGGGACCTCGGCGACGCGGATGCCCGGGGCCAGGCCGATGACGGAGCCGTCGCTGGCGACGACGGGGGTGGGCGGCGCGGACTCTGCGAGCATGAGCATCTCGATGTCGAAGATCCAGCCCTCCATGTGCATGTAGGGGACGATGTGGGGCAAGGCGGCGCGCGAGAAGAGCTTGAAGCCGCACTGGGTGTCGCGGATGCGCGAGGTCGCCGGCGGCGTGAGGATCATGAGCACGAAGTGGAACGACTTCATGAGGAAGTTGCGCAGCGCCGACCGCTGCACCACCTGCTCGCTGCCCACGAGGTGGCCCCGCGACCCGATGGCCACCCCGCGGTTGCTCGCGTCCACGACGTCCTCGCACCCCTCCACCAGCCGGCCCAGGTCGCTGAACTTGGACGCGCCGTCCGCGTCTGCGAAAACGACGTACTGGCCGCGCACGTGCCGGAACCCGTGCGTCACCGCCCCGCCCTTGCCGCGGTTCTTCTCGAGGTTGACCACACGCAGGATGTCGTGGAGCCCGTGCCGGCGGCTGAAGTCGAGGGCGACGTCGACTGTCTTGTCGCGGCTGCCGTCGTTGACGATGATGATCTCGTAGCCGGCGGCGGGCTCCCCGTCCCGGGCGGCGTCCGCCCTGGTCCGCCTGAACACCTGCCGGTGGTGAGGGGTGGTAAGGGGGCTGGCGATGCGCTTCTTCCCGTCGTCGCCGGTGGGGCGGCCGAACCTGGCGTCGAGGTACACGACCGCCTCCTCGAGGGCCGGGAGGATGCGCTTCTCCTCGTTGTAGGCCGGGATCACGACCGACACCTCGACGTCTGCGGGCTCGACCGATCCGGTGTCTGGGACGTCGAAGGCATTCTTGCTGGCTGCGGCGGCCTCGCTCAGCTTGCGCTCGGCATCCCATCGGTCGAACCAGCACGGTAGGGGCCGGGACGTGACGCCATCGGGAGTGGTGGTGATGTATGTCTTTTCGGAAGGGAATGGGGCGCGTGGCTTGGGTGCGATGATGTGGAGGCCGATGAAGAACTTGCAGAGGTATCATTAGCACACCATCAGATCGTGGACGTTGACTTCCAGCCGTTATTTCCCAGCCATCGAGGTAGATATGGCGTGCAGTCTGATTTGGGCAGTTCTTGGGTGAGACCTGTACCCAATGGGCCACTGGCAGGTGCGAGGGCAGTGCCGGGAGCGTCAAGCAGCTTGGGCAGACATAGGGACCAAACTTACAGCCAACAGGGCCAGGCTGGCGAAGGCGATCAGGATGAGAGGGAGGATCGTAAACGGGAACTCCCTCGCGACCATGTAGGTAGACCAGACAAGCTGCTCTGCCCCGGTGAGCAGGCGCGCAGGGAGAGACAAGTCCGCCATACTTTTGACATGTGACAGAGAGGAGCCACCGACGAACACACGCAGAACAATTTGCTGGAAGGAAAGGCAGGGCCGCAATCAATTGCGGCTGGAATAGGGGTGCATCTGGTGTCCTACGGCCATTGAACGAGGGGTACACAAGCCTGCGGTTTGCCTGGTGAGAGGTGAGACAAGGTATGCGACGGACGGCGAGCGTGGTGGAGGTTGTTCGAGAAACAGACTCCCCCGTCCGGCTGCAAGTCTGCGGTTTGATGTGCCGGAACCGGGTTGAGGCCACGAGGCACCTGCGAGGCGGCGACGGCATAAGGGGGGGGGGCGTGTGCGACGGCGGGGGAGCTTGCCTAGGTCCCCTGGGCTCTCTTGCTGCACGCCCTGTGGTCCCTGTCGATCCGCTGTGGGGGTACCCGAGATGCCCATTAAACTCCACACGGGTGGAGGAAGGAGAGGTCTCACCTGCGGCAGTGAACCGGCAGACCCTTGTCTGGGCAGGTACAAGATGATCAGCCAAGCACCTCATAGTTAGACTCCAGCCATTTGACTACCGTCAACTCTTCTCCCTCTGGTCTCTGCTAACAGTTATGTCTGTTCTGTGTCACCTTGAGACTCAAACATTACTCAGGTGGACTCGCTATCTGATACTATTACTGCCTACTCTGCGGACATGAGGATATTAGATCGTTGCCATTCCTCCCTATCGTTCTATTATGAAGACATCGAATCCGCCACCCAGATGACGCAGCGCCCAAGCAGCCCCCAGCGTTATCAGATTCTAATGTTTCTCTCAGGCAGGGAAGTACAGACTTTGACCCACATAAAAACTGTTGCCGACGAGGCTGTCCTTCAGATCATCGGCGTCACGCCTGTCATTGACACACGGTCCGGACCGGCCATGCTCTGTAGACGCGCTCATATGTACCATCTCGTGTGTACAGTATGACAATGCAGAGGGCCGGCCCTGGCAAGTCAGATCGGAGTCCCGTCCGGGCTCTCGCTGCCATCGTGGTCGCTTCCTCCCGGCTTCGATCTAGATCCAATTCCCGGACGAATTGTTGGCAGGCCTCAGCGTGGTTGGCGTGGTGGCCGCGGAAAAGCCAAAGTCCCAGTCAGCCATGAGGCTGTACGATGGCATCTCCAAAGGTTCCCTCCTGTTGTTCGGCGGGCTCGACCCCGCGACGGTCGCGTTGGACACAGCGCTCATGGATCCGGGGCGCTTGGGCGCCTTGGTACTTCGGCGTCTGCGGGAGTTGCTCGAGTACTTGGCCGTCGAGGCGGGGTCCACCAGGTGGCTGAACTCATCCAGTGACGCATAACATGGCTCGTCCTTTGCCATTGGGGCTTGACGCTCTTGGGGGTCAACAGCCGGGGGCAGCTCGTCTCTCTCCTCCGCCGTGCGGGCGGCGACGCGTGCCCAGTGGTTGGCCCAGTCGTAGCGGTCCACCCCACCAACCCCTTGGGATCCGTTTTTGATCGAGGTCGACGTTGGCGGGGTGAGTTCGTCGACCGTTTCGGATACTCCGGAGCACAGCGACTTCAAGGCGTCGGATGAACTGTTTCTGCTCTCGAAGACAGGTTTCATGCTGAAGTTGGGCACCGAGGCTGGTGCTGCGCCGCCGAGTGTCTTTGAACTGGAGTCATTCTGTGCTGGTGGTTTGGTCTGGACGGAGGGATGGCCCAGAAGGTTTCGTTCGTTCTGCGTACCTCTCTGCTTTCCCTCAAGCTCTCTTACCCTCCTCCTGAGACGCTTCAACTCGGCTTCGCTACCTGCTTCCGCAGCTTGATCTTGCTGAGATTGCTTCGTCTCGGGCTCGTGAGATGGGCCCTTGGCCGAGCTGGCCAGCTCACGAGGAGGCTTTCCCGTGCTGTTTCGGCTGGGGCCAGATGCATATCCTATCTCAGTGTGAACAATGAGTGCTACATATGAAGTGTACACAGACTCGACTTACCTTCGTCTGTTGGTGTTTGCGACTGCTGCTTAGCCGCCGAGGCTACGGGTAGCTCAACCTTCTTTCCTTTGAGAGAAGGACTGGACAAGGCCAACTTGCGCAATTTGGCCGGGGTAGGAGCCTTGAACTGGGCGGGCAGAGGTTGGCCCTGCCAGTACTTGGCCGGTATGTTGGTGACGTTGGTGTCGGAACCGGCGGCGAGGGCAGAGGCTTCCTTCTCCAGACGCTGCTGGTGAGCCTGCTTCAGCCTCTGCTTGTCTGTGCCCCTATAGGCATGTGGGACACTTAAGAGTGAGTCGTTCAAGGCGTGAGTCGGGGTATGAACGTAAGGTGGCGGCACTGCTTTCGCCTTCTTCTGTTGTTCCTCTCGCTCTTGTGTCCTGCGGGCCTTGGCCTCCTCGTTCTTGGTGAAGAGGCCCATTCTGGCGGGTAAGTAACGACTTGATGGAGGGAAGTCAAAATTAAATCTTATGAAGTGCTTGAAGCCACTATAATGGGGGTAGTACTGGGGTTTCAAGGGGATGTCCGGGTACCCGCAGGCCTGAATTTGTGCAGGATTCGAGGACCTGGACGAAGTTCCACGGGTGAAACTTTTCAGGCTTCGTTGTTTTCCCTAGGCTGGGAGGATGTGGACTGGAGGTGGGATGAGCTTGGTAACGAAGTACTGGGGAGTGGCCCAACGGGATGCACTGCCTTGGGTACGGTCCTATGATGTTCTAAGTTATATCTAGCATAGCCTAAGAAGGTCGTAAGGCTCGTTAGAGATGCATGCTAGCCTGGCTAGTCACCTCCCAAAGTATTTAAAAATAAATGCAGCAGGAGCAAACCGTCCGTAGTATTTCTTTTGCCTATGCTGAGCGACTGATTGTGCATAGTGATTAGTGGTGTTGAGGCCCGCTGGCCTATATCCCAAGCATCCGTGCGGCCACGACCACGAAGCTCTAATGCATGAGCTCCGAACAGGTTCAAGACGGCCTGTAAAAGACAGTGGCCTAGTACCCGGGCTAAACACTTATGGGCCTGAGGCTCAAACCCGGAGGAGCAAAATGTGAGAGGAACAGGAATAGTGCCCGTCGATCCGGCTTCCCACAATTCTAGCTGCCCATACCGTGCGCTCACGCACTCGAAACGCGAACTCCAAGCCAGAACTACATACATGCAAAACTGGAAGGGCTATGCAGAGTCCCATGGCTCTCCCTGAATCTGCTTACTCGTATTGGGAGGAGCCAAAATCGCATCAGTAATCCATCTCGCCTCTTTCCGGGTGTCCTTCTTCTCTGCTCTAAGCAAAGGCAAACGCACTGAAATCAAACCGAGAAATTTGATTTTGACGTAAACATTGATATATGGCGCGAGGTTCCCACTGCGGATCCGTAAATATGCAGGCCTTTGGATCCTTCACAATGAATTCTGGTTCAAATAACCAAGCTTTTGGGTGCATGATCCTGATGCTGACAAGGAATCTGCAGGAAACACACAGCAGGGCCTGCTGTATATAGTTCCAGTATACCTCTGTCTACTTTGGGTATTAATCTTACCCAGCGAAGTTCAGCAGGGGCAAGTAGAGCAGATCTTTATAGATGAAGTCTACCGCATGTATAAATCGATGGGGTTGGGTGGGCAATAACCAGGATGCACACATGTACTAAGCTTACTAGGCATCTCTCTGCCGGCAGGTCTTGAGCTACTGCACCTAAGTGTCATCTGCACGACATCGGTTCTCGGGCCCTTTATCCGGGATCCTTAGCTTATGTAGACTATGCGCTGGTTGACAGGGGTTGAAGTGCCGTCATAAAGCCACCATGTTATTACTTGGGTCAACTCAAGACGACTCCTGCTTGGACCCTCTTGGACTACTGCTCTACACGTACCTGATCCGCCAGGGAGAATTTTTAGCCACAACCCAGGGATTGTACCTGGACCAGGTAGTTCTCGGACAATCCTGTGTTTGTACATATGTAATTGCTCTTCGGCGTTGGGGGTAAGAGAAGACTCATTACAACCAGGACCGCTGAAGCTCCGGCTTTGCAGTCAGCAAAATGGGTAGCATGTTGCTTAATCGGCAGTCGAGGACTCAAGTATTACTTTACCCTGTGGCGTGGAATGGCCTCTAAGGAGTTTGTAGTAACACCAGCTGTCAACCCAGCCATGCCGTGAGACACGTACTTTGTTGAGCCATTGAACGCCACGTTCCATGTGACGGCATTGTACGCGTTGGCCGTGGTGTACTTGTCAGGCTCTATCGCGCATGACGGGTCCTGCTGCTGGGCGCCGTCTGATCAGGGAGGACTCGCCCCCAACCTCTATTTGGTAGCGGCAGGGTCCGGCATTGGCCCATGTGGATGCTTTCCGAACTCAACGTCAACTATCAAAATGCAATAGCCGTCTCCGTTCCGTCAGGAGAAGATTGGGGAGTAGCTTGAGAAGAGCTTGCGTGGTCTGCTAGTGTTCTTCAAGCCTGACTCGTTTGGTCATCGGAGGATAGTGATGGATACGGGTGTGATGCTAGCCGTTGTCAATTCCATTTCCGAAGCTGACGACATCCATCCCTGTGGGGTCCAGCTGGAAAGGTTTGAGAAGCACGGGCTAATTATGCAGGCATCTGAAACCTTTCCCAGAATATCGGTCGTTGATATCGAAAGCCACGCCGGCAGACGGGGAATGCGGGTGTGGTGTGGGCCTGTTCCATTGCGGATGGGGCTTCCGAGCCCTGGGGCTGCCGATCCGCCACGCCTGTACGCGGGCCGAGGCAAGTAAAAGACGCGGAGGACTGGGGAGGTCCCTTGAACCCAAAGTTGGACCCCAATTGATCGGCTCGTCTGTTCTAGAAGCTAAACTGACAAGCCTGGCAGGCGCATGCCCCGTAACTTGCATTGGTGGACAACTTTAATCAACGGAAACGGCTGGCTTGGTTTGATCTGCAGAACAAGACATTGACAGGCGAATGTGACTGGCCCTTTGTGCAGTACTCCGAGCCGAGCCTTGATTTGGATGTATGCTTGATAGTATGGCCTCCTTCTCATATATCCAGCCTGGGAGGGCAAGTCGGCAGATACGTCCAGTCGCGGGTTTTCCGTATTCATTTTCGATACTGGGTGGTCGCTGAGGAAGTTTGAAACATGTTGAATCATATTGGATTGTCCCAGGCCTCTCGGTACCGCAATGTCAGAATCCAAAAAAGGTTCAGCAAGACCCGGGTACTTCAGGGCCACCGAGTGGCATCAATCAGATAGCTAGATTCCAACAAAGGCGACAAAGTTGGGATGAAAATGGCATGGCCACCACATGCACGGAAAATCCCGACCTGCAAGACAAAAAGAGGAAGGGAGGAAAAGGAAGTGGGTCCTGATCCAGCAAGGCGATGGGGACCCCAGCCAAATTTAGGTTGGGCGGGAGCTCACACACGGGGAGGGTAGGTGCAGGCAGGCAGGCAAGGTGGAGTTCAGGTTGCGTTGCGTGAGGAGTTTGGGGGACTTGGGAGGGATTTGCCATCCACCATCAGCCGGGCACACCTCTAAAACAGGAGAGGCTAGACTCGACTTGTCCCGACTTGTCCTCACCCACGCAGGCCAACGCGCTGCACCCTACCCTGTCACCCTGTCACCTTGCCCGCCCGCCTACCCGCCTGCCTGCCTACCCAAGATCTGCCCGTCGGGTGGCCAAGGTCGAGCTTTTCAATCCACAGCATCACCATCCCAACCCCAAGCCGGTCCAGACTGAATCCCATCCCATCGCAGGGTCCACAGGCTGCCGATTGCACGTTTATTGCACTTCGACCTGCCGCCGACACACCGTGATCTCCTACCGTTGAGAGAGCTCTGCGGGACATTCTCGACCACCCTCGTTTCGCTCTCCGCCTCTGCCCGAAATCTGCCTGACCGATGGCTTCCTGAGCACGAGCACGACAACTGGTGTCATAGCCCGCCACCCCAATCCACCACACCCACCGACCCAACACCGCCCGCCCCCAACTATCGCCCAACCCCGATCTAGCCACCCAGTGACGCACCACATAATACCCCAGCCAAAAGAAGAATCAACACAGAGACAGGCGCGCTGACCTCTGCTGTGTCAATCGTCGCTTCTCGCATCGCATCGCGTCGCCTGGTCGCTGGGTCGCCTGGCCTGGCTCCTTGCCTCCCCCGTTTCCACCCCGCGCGCATCCGTTGTCGCGCGACCACCACCCTCCAAAGTGGCGGCGCTTACCCTCCTCAGCTCCTCCGAGACCGAATTATCGCTCCAGCAGCACCTCAACATCGCCCCCGACCTCCTCGCAAACTACAGGCGCATTGCCACGGACCCCGGGGACCAAGAGCCGTTGATGATGGCACAGTCCGTGCCTCATCAAACGACCGACAGGAGGCGCGTCAAAGTCTACGAGCTCCGTGACAACGACTGGTTCGACCGCGGTACCGGCTTCTGCACCGCAGCATGGACCGAAGTATGTCTTCCGCATGGAACTCTACCTTTTCCTTGATTCCTTGATTGATTGATTGTGTCACATGTGTTGCGATGTCTGTGTCTGTGTGGTGTCTTATCCTGTCTGCGCAACACTGATTTATCGCCATGTCCGCATCAACTCATCAACCTCCCCGCCATCCCATCACTCATCTGCTTCTGTCACCCGGACTAACCTGGTCGCGCGCACTTACAGACTGAAGAGGGAAGGGCCAAAGAGCCCCGCGTAATTGTCGACTCCGAAGACGAACCATTACGGACATTGCTAGAAACCAGGATCTGTAAGGAAGATGGCTTCCAAAAGCAACAAGGCATGCTATAACCTCAAGGTGATGTCACATGTTGTGTGTACATCTGCTGACGCCACACATAGAAACCCTCATCGTCTGGACAGAGCCGAGCACCATGATCGATATGGCCTTGAGTTTCCAAGAAGCTGATGGCTGTGCCCAGATATGGTATGTGTGATTACGGAGCCTTTATGGTACCAGGAGCAGACGATGGACAAGGGGCTGACAATCCGTTCAAGGAAATTCGTCAATGATGTCCAACGAACACTACAGGGAGACATCGCAGGTCCAGGTATGCAGCTTTTTCTGCCCATCGCATGCGTGCATCAACAAGCTAATAACCCCCCAGTGGATGACAGCCTATCGGACGACCTGGCCATAGACGTTCCCCCCTCTATCCAACTCCCTCCTGCCGAACTGGGCAGTCTCCCAGACCTCGAAACCACAATACGAGTGATCAGCAGCTCCGCAAATGGCCGTGACACTCTTGCCAAGCTGATCATGCACGAGGACTACATCGGCAAACTGATTCCCTTGGTCGAGATGGCCGAGGACCTCGAGAGCCTCCAGGACTTGCATCGGCTTTGCAACATCATGAAGACAATCCTCCTGCTTAATGACACGACGATTATTGAACATGCGGTCTCTGACGAATGCATCCTGGGCGTCGTTGGGGCTCTGGAGTACGATCCCGATTTCCCGCAACACAAGGCGAACCACCGGCAATGGTTGAAAGATCAGTCAAGGTACAAGGAGGTGGTTCGGATCGAGGATGATCAGGTCAGGCGCAGGATCCACCAGACGTACCGCCTGCAATACATGAAAGATGTTGTGCTGGCCCGGATCCTGGACGATCCCACCTTTTCGGTGCTGAACTCGATGATCTTCTTCAACCAGGTGGAAATAGTTCAGCATCTTCAGTCCAACGGGGCCTTCCTGCGCGACCTCTTCTCCATCTTCAACCCAGAAGAGAAGACAGAGCAGCTCAGGAAAAAGCAGGCGGTCTTGTTCATACAGCAGTGCTGTGCCATCGCCAAGAACCTGCAGATCCAAAGCCGGCAGGGCTTTTACAGCAGCTTGCTGAACCACGGCCTGCTTGCTGTCATCAACTTTGGCCTCCGCAACTTTGATGTTTCCGTCCGGGTAGGAGCCACGGACATCTTGGTTTCTATGATCGACCATGACCCCCATATGATCCGCCACACACTCCTCCGGCAGATCCTGGCAAAGCAGTTACCACTGACGGACACTCTAATTGACCTGCTCTTGGTCGAGGTGGATCTGGGTGTGAAGTCTCAGATCTCAGACGCGCTCAAAGTTCTTCTCGATACTATACCCACTAACCAGGGGCAGGATGGCGGAATTAAGCTGGTGAATGGAGAATTGCAGTCACGGCCACGACCGATGAATCAGATCAATAGCCTGGAGGGCCAGCAGCAGACCATTCTCGAGGATTTCTACGGAAGATCAGCCGCGCGACTGTTCAAGCCTCTGCTCGATCTGGAGGGACGCACGGAACTAAAGTTCTCTGTGCACAACGACGGCATCTTCAGCTACCTCAACGATATCCTATGCTTCTTTGCGCGGCAACACCACAACCTCTGCAAGAAGTTTATCAGAGACCACAACATTGCATCGCGATTTGCCCAGTTGCTGTCTTGTAAGGAAAAGCATCTGCAGCTCGGTAAGTGACCCATTTAAGGATGCATCCACTGTGCCATACTAATATGAAACTAGTGGCAATCCGATTCTTCCGTCACCTTGTCAATCACGTCTCCGATGAGTTCTACGTGAGACTTGTCGCTGAGAAACAGGTCCTCGGGCCGATTCTGGATGTCCTTCTGCTCACTCTCCCACGTGACAATCTTCTCAGTTCTGCGTGCCTCGATATCTTTGAGTACATCCGCAAGGAGAATATCAAAGATCTGGTCAAGCATCTAGTCGAGAATTACAGAGAAAAGATGACCGCTCTCGGCTATCTTGATACCTTCAGAGATCTTGTTGTCAATTACGAGCAGAGCAGAGGTTTTGCTGGGAACATGGACACGTACTTCATGGAGTCCGAGGACGAGATGGGCCGGCGGCCAACTCATGTGAATGGACGCATGATGGAGCAGATCAGTGTGGACCCGATGGAGGAGGAGTACTGGAACACTTCAGACGACGAAGACGAGAACCAGTCAAAGCTGGCTCCCAGAGGTTCTTTGGGCCCCAGCCCCGGTCCGCTCAGCGCCCTCGTCGACTACCACTCAGATGAGGAGTCGGACGAGAATGGTGGCGACGTGGTCATGGCCCAATCCGATTCAGAGATCAGCAAGGAAGTAAAAGGCGAGAAGCCCGAAGGAGAGCCTCTGACTCCGAATAGTGCGGACACCGCAACCCCATCCTTGAGTTCAACCCCGCCCGAGCGACTTAGTGAGAAGCGTCGACGAGAGGAAGAGGACGACGATGAGTTGGGCAAGATGATGCAGCAGAACAAGCGACGCAACAGTACGTCTGCGGTGCAAAATGCTAGTGGTGCTGCGGCGACGCTGCGCAAGAAGAAGCCTTTTGGGGGATCACCAAGTACTGGTTCTGCCGGAGTCAAAAAGATTGACATCAGGCTACCCCCTACCGTCCAGAGTTCCGTTGGACAGGGCTCGCCAGGACAAGATGATTCGTCATGAACTGCGATACCACGTGGCCTTCCCTGGTTTTGAATATGGCCGGGACTAAATGTTCACCGTTACAACGGACGACCACAACGGGCAGAGGTCAATGGGGATCTGGTGGCGTCTTTATCTCTTACTCGAGGCTTGACGCGGCATGCGAATTTTGGAACCCTTGGTTTTTTGGACCCACGAGTTTTGCTCGCGTCTGCATAGACTCGGATAAGATGAGATACTGCAGCTGGCATAGGATCTGAGACTAGAATCCCGAACCTGGTGTCGAGGATATCTGAGATGATGAGCCTGCCATTCCTGCCAGGCGTTCTGTGCTCACACTGTTTGCCAGCAAGACAAATGAGTCCACACATTAAAAGGACGTAGGTATTGCGAGCGATGTTTGCATTTGTATCATATATAGGGGCTGGCTGGAACGGATTTCGGGGGGCAAGGCGTTGAAGCTGCTTCGTTGGGTTTGGCATGGAAACCAGAGCCTGCCCTGCGTCATTGATTCCCCTATGCGACTTTGATGAGGAAACATCAAAAAATGAAAAATGGCTCTACCGCTCCCTTTTTGGATCTACAGAAGACATTGCTCCCAGAACCATGAGGCTGTGAGGTGCTCTTTATTATGTGCTGACTCACGACCGCTACAGTCCACGCAGTTCGGCCCTGAATGGCATCGAGTATTTCTTGGGCGACAGCCCTCCGGATGGGGATGATGTCAGCCGTAATATTTACTAAACCTTCCCCATACTACTCCGCATTAGGTGGACCGAGTCATGGGGGATCGACAACTAGCCCGTGCCGAGAAGCGACCACTCCCGACACTACTGCGGGCTATTTTTCGGCGAAAGTATCGGGGAGGCTGCCGGGCCGACGACGGACGACTCAGGAAGCGACGATGTTTCTGCCCCGGCACATCTCACGATGTAGATAAACCGTTGCCACTACTTACTGACTACAGTTCTGGAGCTGAACGTCCCCTTTCCCTCTTCGTACAAGATCTCCCCCAAGATTCACAGCGTCACGCACTTCGCTCCCGCCCAGCTCAGCAGTCCATCACCATGGCTTCAGCCCAGTCAAACTCGTACTCTACCCCGAAGTGGTGGAAGGAGTCGGTCGTCTACCAGGTGTACCCATCGTCCTTCCAGTCCTCGCCGGGGGCCAAGCTGCCGGGATGGGGCACTGTCAAGGGCATCACCTCGCGGCTGGACTACCTCAAGTCGCTGGGCGTCGACGTGCTCTGGACCAGCCCGATCTACAAGTCGCCACAGGCGGACATGGGCTACGACATTGCCTCGTACAAGGAGATCGACCCGCGGTACGGCTCGCTGGAGGACGTGGACGAGCTCATCGCCGAGCTGAAGAAGCGCGGCATGCGGCTCATGATGGACCTGGTGGCCAACCACACCTCGGACGAGAACGAGTGGTTCCTCGAGAGCCGCAGCAGCAGGGACAGCCCCAAGCGGGCGTGGTACCACTGGCAGCCGCCCAAGGGCCACGACAGCGAGGGGAGGCCCATCCCGCCCAACAACTGGGCGCAGATCCTGGGCGAGGCAAACTCGGCGTGGACGTGGGACGAGAAGACGGGCGAGTTCTACCTCAGCCTGTTCACGCCCGAGCAGCCGGACCTCAACTGGGAGAACCCCGAGGTCCGGGAGGCCGTGTGGGACGTGATGCGCTTCTGGCTCGACCGCGGGGCGTGCGGGTTCCGCATGGACGTGATTAATATGATCTCCAAGGTCCCCGGTTACCCGGACGCCGACGAGGTGCTTGGGCCTGGCCACAGGTACCAGCCTGCGTGGAAGTATACTGTTAACGGGCCGCGGCTGCACGAGTTCCTCAGGGAGATGCACGACACCGTGCTGAGCAAGTACGACACCATCACCGTGGGTGAAATGCCCGGCATCAGCGATGATGATGAGATCCTGCGGACGGTCGGGGCGAACTCGGGGGAGCTCAACATGATCTTCATCTTCGACGTGGTCGACATCGACAGGTACGACGTCAGGATGACCCTGCGCCCGTGGACGGTGAAGGAGATGAAGGGCATTATTAGCCGGTGGCAGAATGTCATGATCGAGAAGGACGGGTGGAACTCGGTCTTTATCGAGAACCACGACAACCCACGGTCCATCTCGAGGTACGCGAGTGACAGTGATGAGAACAGGGACAACTCGGCGCGACTGCTGGCGCTGATGCAGACGACGCTCGGCGGCACGGTGTTTGTCTACCAGGGGGAGGAGATTGGAATGCGGAACTGCCCCAAGGACTGGCCCATCGACGAGTTCAAGGACATCGAGACCATTAACTACTGGGAGAAAACCAACACTATTTACAAGGGCCAGCCGGCCAAGATCGCAGAGGGGAGGGAAATCATCGACGCGTGAGTATCTACCCCTGCCACGGTTCCTCTTTCAATTCTTGAAAGCGACGGACTAACACACCCAACAGAAAAGCAAGAGACCACGCCCGCACGCCAATGCAATGGGACGCCTCCCCCAACGCAGGCTTCTGCCAACCAGACGTCAAGCCCTGGATGCGCGTCATCGACGACTACAAGACGGTCAACGCCGCGGCGCAGGTGGGCCTCAAGTCGGACTCGGAGCTCTCGCCCTGGCAGTGGTGGCAGCGGGCGCTGGCGGACCGCAAGGAGCACAAGGACGTCTTCGTCTACGGCGGCTTCGAGGACCTGTCGGCGGACCACGAGGCCGTGTACGCGTACGCGCGGACGAGCAGCACCACCAAGGGGGAGAAGTGGGTCGTGGCGCTCAACTTCTCGGGCGCCGAGCAGAGCTGGTCGCTGCCTGCGGGCGTCGAGGTCGACTTCTGGGCGGCCACGACGTATGGAAAGGGCAGGGCCGAGGGGAGGGCCGTGTCTGGGAAGGTCACGCTGAAGCCTTGGGAGGGGCTTCTTGGGAAGTGCAAGGCTTAGTTGGGAGGATTCCTTGTTGTCTCCTGGGCCAGGATATGGCCTTGGTTGAGGAAATTAGATGAAGGCATTCTGATGTCAGCCTGCATGATAAAACATTATATGGTAGAGATTAAATGAAAGATATTTAGATCCACCTAGCAAAGAGTAAAGACACTTAAGACTGCTGATCATTTGCTAGCCATGTGAATTTACTCTGCTTAGTTACCAATCATTAATTGCCTCTCAAGGTCCGTGAACAGCACCGCACATATTCGCCAAGTGTGTCTTTCCAATTGAGAATCCCATCGGAAGGGAAAGCAGCCTTATGGAAACACGGGAACTAAAAGTCGAGTAGGAAGGATCTTAGAAAAAAGCAATCCTCTCTGCGAGGCTGCAGCTGGTGGGGGCCGCTGGCTGGGGGCGGCCGCCCTTGGACCCCTAATAAGAGCTCGGATTCTTCAAGACATTCTTCAAGGCACTTAGCCCCCACCAGAATAGTTGCACAAAGGTAATTGGAGGCGAGGCGATGGCTCATGCTGCTGTGATACCTTGCCAAGGTTAGCTGATGGGAGAGGTAAGACTTGTTGGGGAGAGTAAAAGAAGGTCACATCCCTTGATTTAAATAAAGGGAGTCCGAGTACTGCCTGACGGCATCTCTCTCTTCAACTCCCAGTAACAAACGAAAAATTGCAGCAAAACCACTGCCTCGTCTTAGAAGCCTTCGCCCATTATCGACAGGACTATTGCAATGTTCCTAGAGCCTGGCCAGGAGTGGAGCCCAAGTACCTCGTGGGTACCACCTCCTTTGGATCGTCTCAACTGGTCAGACTGCTACGCCATCGGGAACTTCGTCGCGGCCGCCGGTCTGGAGCAGAGATTTGATCGGATACCTGTCAACACGACCGTCCCGTTCGCGAGGTCGCTCGTGCCCGCAGACTGGCCGGACTCGCCCCCGTCCCCAGCGACGCTCCTGATCTGGGCCTGGAGCTGGCAGAACACAACCAGTCCCGAAAACGCCATCACAGGGACGGCATGGAGCATGGCGCCCACTTGCATTCATCAGGTTTGTGCACAGCTTAAAGTCGAGGGGGACCCTGACTTGGCGGGCATAGGTGTGAGTTGGGACTCTCATATTCAGCGAGAAAACTACTTCTAAATCGAGACCTTGCACAGATGATGTTCACCTATTATCTGATAGCCACAATGGCGACCGCATACCCTCTCATACTGGGCTCGGCCGCGGTAGGACTGTTCAACAGAACCTCCCGGCTGGCTAGGATCGTGGGCTGGTTCCGGGAGACCATCAGCGGGTTTCTCGACGCCTCCCTCATCTTCGCCGTGGCCCTCGTCGTCGCGGCAACGTACCGCTTCAGCTCGGCCCTGAGGTACCCGGATCAGCTAGACAACGCCTTTTCCCCGTCGCTCTGGAACGCCATCATAGTGGCCCTCCTCTCGGTCTCTCCCCCGCTGATACTGCAGTGCGCCAGCGGTGATACGCTGCGGAGGAAGGGCCTCCGGCTCCTCCTGTGGTCTCTTGTGGTGGTGTTCACAACCACGTCGAGTATCCTTTTTTTCTTCTGGTACAGATCGTTGAAGTTTTCCGGGCTCCCTACTAGTACAAGGACTACAAGTATCCAGTATCTGTGGAATCTCTGCACCAAGAATCTTCCAAAGCGAGTTCACCAAAACCTGGGCTTCGTCGTTGCTGCGCAGACACAGTTGTTACTAAATCTTATCCTTTGGGCCTACACAAAACTATCAAAATCGGGTTCAGCGCCAGATAGAAGAACGACTACGACGGGGTATGGTGGGGTTCAGAAGACTCAGGCCAGGGCCATAAACAGCCACGGGAGCCCCAGACTGATGTCGGTCTTCCAGTTGAGAGCACTGCAGGCCTTCTCGGCACAACTGATGATGTGGCTATTACTCGGCCGCCTCACGTCCCTCACGCTCAGCGACGGCGTGAACGCCGGAGACTCGTTCAAGAACGTGAAGTGGAGCGTGGGCCAGGTGCTGGGACTGGCCCAGTTCGTGCCAGTGGTTATTGACCTGGTTGTGGCTGGTACATGTGAGTATTCTTTTCGATTGTCCGAGTCGTTGCTGTGCGAATGACTGGCGCGCTCTTTTTAGATGGGCCCAAGGCGGCGTGGGAGGAGAAGATGTCAAAGCGGCTTTCAGTCGTTGACGCACCGCCCGCGTCTGGCGACAGTGGAGGAGGCGATGCTACGAATAAGCTTGCCAAGTCTACCACGATGTAATTTCAGGAGGGTTAGATTTTGATCTTCTTGCTTTCTAATAATCCTATATTTGATGACCATGACATGCTTAAGTACTTCTGGCACATTGCGGCCCACAGCCAAAATACCTCTATGATATAGAGACAATTTGTATTCTTGGATTTCCTCTGCTAAGCTGGAACGTCAATGATTGTCGTAGTGGGAAATGAAAGAATGCACCCTCTATTATGTAATATAACATTCCCTGAACCATCGACGCAGCATCGTCGATATGATCATAGCGCCATTTCGTCGGTCATTTTCCCGTTGATGATAAGCTGCAACCCGTTAACCTCGGATTGTCTCTCCTGAAGCTTCAAATGTCTCGAGAGGTTATGATTCAGGTAAGCGGCGAAGGGCGCCGGCGTAGATGGTTTCGGCATTGACTAGACAAGGTCATATGTGGCAAATGCTATCTACAGCTAGATAATTTAAGATGTCCTTGAGATTTCCTTGATTTCCGAATGAGATTCTATGTTTGCAGGACATTCTCAAGACTCTAATATGACCAGAGATTCTCAGGCAGGGAAGTTGTGTTAAATATCATTACGCCCATACATTTAGCACTTCACCCCTAGATGGGCATGCCAGATATGAGACGTATTCTTACAAAAGCCCAATGCAGTCCAATTTACAGGTCTCCACGGATGAGTCCACAATATTCACTACAAAATTTTGAGCAGTAGAGTTGAAGTCTTTGGCTTACTTGTTGTACACATGTATATATCGAGCAAGTCTGACGCCAGGGTAGCGTGACCCGAGTCAAAACAGTTCACCCGCCCCGGTTCCTTCCCCCTCCATGTACAAAAGTCCAAAGTCCAGCAAAAAACGCCGTGTTCAAGATGCAAAACTCCGTTGGATCGGCCAGACGCCGGTGGCGAGATCTCTCTTCCAGCCCTGGCGAGGGCAAATGCTGTCGTGGCTTCATCAAAAGTACTGATGACAATAATGATACACTAATCCCTCCCCAGGCCCGGCCAGGTTCCTGGGGGCCGTCCCGAGACTCCGGAAGAATGATGAAAAAGAGGCAGAATTGTTGTATATATGAGCAGAAGAATGACGCTTGAAACATGCAGTCAACGTGAAGTCGGTCCTTCGAGCCCGCGCCGGGAGCACGTGGCGAGGTCCAGTTCAAAAATGGAGAAGAAGCAAAATCATGCATGGAGCCGAACATCGGATCCGGGGTCCAGACTCCACACATGATTGCCGTAATAGATGGAAAAGCGTAGGTAAGCCCGGCACGGCCCGAACTAAAACCAAACAGCCGGGAGTGGACAACGGTCGTGGATGCAGAAGGGAGACTTTCCCGGCAACTTTTTTCGGAGCAGCGGGGTGTAGGGTCCCCGAGCAGCTACACTGTCAAGAGGCGACCGACATTTATCCACGTATGCCGGCGGAACCCTCGCGCCTTCTCGATGACCCAGAAAGGTCAATTTCATCATCAGAGTCCGACGATGAAGCCTCCGCTGCCACGCGGTCCAACATTGCGTCAAGGTCCTCATATGACCTAATTCTAGGCTTGGGTCGCGTGGGCCTGCCGGATGCCGAGGTGAGCGGCACCGCAAATTTTCCGTGTGGCGGCAACGTCTCTGCTGCTGTGCCATTTGGTTTCCGTGGTGGGACAGCCGGACGCGCATAACCGGCGTGACGGCGAGGACTCGTTGGGTCGTCGATCTCCATCTCACTCATCGTGCTATGAGATCTCCCGAAGCCCACGCGCTTCTTGGGCGAGTGCGCCGAGGGCAGTGGTTGTGAGCTATGGGTAGGACGGCCGTTTGGCAGGCTCTTCCTCTTCGGTGCTGAAGTAGGCAAGGCGGTCCTTTGTGATGTGAACGCGGCGGACGCACCATTGCGGACACGCTCAAATGGCTGAGCTGGTCTCGGGAATTGCTTGAGGTTCGCAGAGTTGCCCGGGCTGCTCATGAAAAGTAGGGCTTCCATGGCATCCTTCTCACGGTTGTTGTGAGTGGGAGAGACCACCATTGGGTCCCCGGCAGCTTGCAAACCCCTGGGACCGGGCGACAAATTCAAAGAGGCCAGGGAAGGTGTGCGCGGACTGGCATGGTGCGGTTGTGACGGTGGGAAGTTGGGGGTGTGCTTTGGATTCGGATTGCGCCGAGGATTGCCCTCGCTGTGATGTGGTTGTATCGATACTGGAGGGGCGAGAGAGGGAACGTCCAAGAGCTGGGGATTTGCGTGTTGGGATGCTGGACTGGTTGGAGCGCCTCGCGAGGTGTTGTTCTCAGGGGCTGGGATGGGTAATGAGGTGGCGTGTGGAGTCAGAGGCGCTGGGGCATGTGAAGTCTGAATGCGCGGGCTGGCTGACGATCTTGGCGCGCCGGGAATTGTAGAGTTGCTAGACGCCGGGGAACCGCCCCTCGATGCCAAATTCTCGACCTGGTTGATGTTCCGCGATTCCCAGCCGTTGTTGACTTTGAGCAGGGCGTAGGAGAGGCGTGTTTTCAGCTCGGAGGACAGCTGCGAGCATGACGCGTCAGTATCTGCTTACGAGTTCACGGCAGTGCCGAGGACAGCGGGAGAAGATGTCGAGAGCCAACTTACCTCGGTGACGCGACTGCTAGCAGTAGAGGCAGCGCTCACGGCACTCGTGTTCCTGGAATGGCTGGCGGTCCGGCCAGGGGAGGCCGTGGGAGAGAAGCGTGGGTCCTTGATGGTGCCGTCGGCGGTCCTCTTGACGGCAGAGCGGACGGACGGGGCATGACCGGGAAGCTTGTCCTGGGCAGCAGCCAGCTGCGACAGCTGGAGCAGTTGCGACTCCTGGCTGGACCCTTGGCCGCTGCCGGGGCCTCCATCGCTGGCGGCGGGCTCGATCATGGGCGGGGAGAAGACGCGGTTCGAGTCGTCGGAGGAGAGGTTGGTGGCCTGCGAGTCGCTGTTGGACGACGAGCGCTTTTGTAATGGGCGCGATCGGTTGGGTTCGAAGTGATCTTCGTCCTGGGGACGGGGAGCGGAATGGGGAGTGATGGTGTCGCGAGAGAGAAGCGGGTTGGCTGTGGCATTGGAGGCACTGTTGTCACCGAGTCCTGCCTGACTCGGCAAGCCGTCAGCAGGCCGCGACATGGTCAACAATGGGGCGCTGTGCTGAGGTCCAGGTCCAGGTCCGAGTCCGGGTCCTCCAACAATGGCGATGGCGTCGAGACCGAGTTGTGGTGGTGGCGCATGCGCGCGATGGGCGAGTGCAGACGGTGCGGGTCGGGGGGTGGTGGACTCGGCGGGGAATTGCAACAGGGTGGGTGGTTGACGGTGACGGTGACGGTGACGGTGACTGGCGACGGTGCGGGCGACGGGAGGCGGGACGGAACACACACACAGACAGGCTGGTGGGCGGACGGGCGAGGTGGTTGCGACGCGCAGCGCGCGGTAAACCGATAGGTGCTGGCACTTGGTGGGTGATCCCTGCCTAGCAGCGGTAGCAGCAGCAACGCAACACCTACACAAAGATTGATTGCTCGGGCTCTGCACGGCACGAGACAAGTCACCTTTCTTTGACAGATACCGAGTGGGGTTATGTTCGTGGGTGTCCAAATGGCAAATGTTTTCACATCAATTTAATCAATCAACCAGTCAACCAAGCAGTCGGTCGGTTGGTCGCATGCCCGTCGCATTTATTTGCAGTCACCAGGCGACGCGGTTCGCGGGCAAGCGGGCGGGCGTGGGCTGCGTGTGGGCTACGTTTCGTTGGCGGGGCCCCTTGTGGGCAGGTCGACGGTACACGGCACTGGCATCCATCCAAGCGCACAGTTAGCGTAGTGGGGTCGGCCCGGGCTTCTCGATCGCTGGCTGCCACTGAGCGAACCACTGCGACGACAGGGCCATTCCCAGTCCGTCCATCTTGTCGCCTCCCAGCCACCCACTTCTCCAACCTCGCTTCGCTTTGATCGATCCAATGGTCATTACAGCACCTAACCTACGACGCAACTAATAAAGGTTCGCGTGTACGGCCGCGCGGGTCCATCTTTGCCCTGGTTTGAAAGGTTCTGACCTGGCGCCTCTCGTCCGGTGCCTGGATCTCAGCGGCCACAAGATGACTCGGAAATCCCATCCAAAGGTAGGGAGTGAAGAAGAATGCTGTTGTTCCCTGTGCTTCGCCGCGCCAAGTCCCAGCCGCGATTTCACGTGACCTACATCACAAGCCTGGCATGTGAGCAACGGCATCTTTGAAACCCCAAGCGGATGAGAAGACAGCCTTGGGATTGATTAGTCTACTATAAGTCAGCGCAATTCAGTCTTTCTTAGATTGACCTCGAATGTTCTGTCATTCTTTTTGCTATGCATTTATCAAGGACGGCGCTATCTGTGTCCTATAGACCTGGTCCTCGTACCACCGCATCAACCACTCTCGCCGTTTGTGTTAATGAGATCAACAACACTGCCGATCACAGCTGGTATCGCTGCAAACACATGGGTACGCACATCGGATGGTGCAACAGCAGGACACTTTATATTACACATGCGAGCATACGGTGTTGCGGTAAACATTGTCCGGAAATACGAGACAAGCAGTCTAGACCGTCTGGAGAATCCCCAAAATACCAATAAGTCTACAGATGTGCTTCTTGCAACAGCCGATTCAGAGAACACGTCAAGTTGTGGTCGGTGAACCCGGGCCCCCGATCAATTTTCCAGCATGGCATCCGAGATCTCACCCTCAGGTTCCCCCATCAAAACACGTGCTTTCAGCCATACCCTTGAGATCTCATCGTAGTCCCTCCCGTCCTCCGTCCCGAATGCAACGATCGCTGGCTGCACAACCATCAGCATACGCCGCCCATGGTAGTCTTCTGGCGCCTCTGATCTCTGGGACTGGTGCGGCTCCATCAACTCCGAACAATGCACGTATTTGCCCAGATCGTGGCGGTGGAACATTTGGAGGTCCACGGCATCCACACGTGATCGCTGGGCCCAAAGCTGGAGGGAAAATTCAAGGGCCCTGCTGATTTCGTCCTTGAGGAAATTCGTCCTCTCGCATGCTCTCCATTCAGCCTCTTGCTTCAGACAAAACCTCGCTGCGCTGTTCAAAAATTTGTCGGTGAGCGCGTCGGCGTAGCGGGCTTTGCACGTAGCCAGGGTGGGATTCTCGCCTGCCATGGCAAATATTCGCAGTAGCTGCGCACGCCACTGATGTGCATTCTTGGTGTTCACTTGGGTGTATCAGTACAGTCGAAGAAAACAGTTGCCCTGAAATTATGCATGGTCACTACTCACATTGCAGCAGTACCTCATTGAGTTCTGCAACTGCCTGTTGCATGCCAGTCGGTATGCCTCCACTCTCATCCCCCGCTGGAAGAGCATCGAGAATCCAGAAAGGGTTCTTGAAGATTTCAGTGCAGATAAAATTGGCCACAATGCCGTGAAGTAACGGGTAAGGAAGTCTCTTGGGCTTTGTTTTCCAGAGCTCTTCAGGGATATCTCCGTCCTGTTCGACAACGAAATTCTTTAAATGCGCATGGATCTCCTCGTACTTCTCGTGGACCAGTTCGAAATCTCGGTGCGCAGCCTCTTTGGCCCACTCATACCAGCTCCTGGCCCGGGTGTTGAGCCACCTAGATACTTCGTCGTCCGACAATGTGAAGGACCTATTCTGCTCCAGGATTAGACTTGCTGCGGCTTTGGCCGATTCGACAGTCTCATGTTGCTCGTAGAGCCGTCGCTCGAGGCTCCCGATCTTGGCTCCATACTCTGCTTCCTTTTCCGACCATGCTTCAGCGTATTCTTGCGCGATTTCCCGCAGTCTTGTGGAGATTGCAGTGTTTCGTTCTCTCAGAATCTGATTCGTTGCAAGCAAAGATATCTCGCTGTCGGATGCACGACTGGTTGAAGATGTGAGATTTGTAATTTCTCGAAACTAAAGCCGCAGGTGCATCTTCCTCCGTAGCTCTCGATGGGCTCTGGAGGGTGAGCCCCCGTGACTCTGTCTTTTGCAGATCATCAGTCTCATGGCGCTCTGACTTATTCACTTTACGAACGCCTTTCCTTCTCAGAGTCGCAGGTGAATATTTTGACTATGATCACCATGGCTCAGCTGGAAGAAATGAATAGGCCAGTGGAAAATGAGACCGTCAACATACGCTTCGCGTGGCTAATTTTGATCGCCTGATACCATCGGGAGAAGGGTCGCTCCTCTTGAGATTCCTTGCGTCGTCCGATTTGATAGTACTTGACTGGGACAGCTCGAAACTGGAATCACGATGATCCGTGTCGCAAGAAATCCCGACCTGTGATGAGAGAGTTCCAATGAGCTCTTCGAGGTCCATTTCTCTTGGTTGAGTTGCTTCCGCCACTTCTTCTTCAGCCTGGCAGGCCTTCCCGAGAGTCGTCCCACAATTCTCTTCGAGAGATTTTGACATTTCAGAAAGGAATCTGTAAACAATATATGTCTTCATGAGAGCTAATAGTCATAAAGCAAAGGCAACCAATGCTGAATGGCATGAGATATAATCAAGATAACCGTTGAAGTCCGGATTAAAATTAGTTGCTGTGGTAACTTATTCTTTCCGGGAATCCGTATGCTTGACTGTGCGAATCCAAGAAAGTGAGTGCCGGTCAACTCCGTATTGATTCCTTCATGCATCACAGCGTAGGACACTGTCGGCAATGAGTTCATATTGGTTGCAAGCAACGGAAACGGCCTCATGCTTCCGTCCTCGTCCGGAATCCAATCTCGTGTTGCTCAAACAAGAATTTTCAATGAAAGCCCACTCTCGTCCTCATTCTCTCATCACTTGCACTACATATGGTACTACAGCACGTTCATGAGTTGGCAATGGCACCACGGCACTGCAGCTGGCCGTGGACTGCAATCATATTGTATGACATGCGTTACGATGTACACCCCTACTGCAAGCACAGGTTTTCGTGAGCAAACATGCGGAAACGCTGTGTCTAGTGTGCATTTCAGATTGTAGACTTCGTGGTCGTACACTTCAGTACCCATTGGAAGGAAACCACGTCTCAGTGATTCATCAGACCGAAGTGTACTGGTCCCCACCATGAGAAAGACGATTCGGTGAAGGCTGGGAAGGATCTTTCCTACCTCTCCCCTTTCAGGCGCCAACAAGTGCCCACAGTCCGAGACGTCGAAAAGCTCGCGGCGTTTGGGTTCTTTTTGGCATAACCTCTCGCTTTGATCTTTCATTTGAGCGCGGGAAGTGAAAGGAAACTGCCAAAGATGGCCTACCAAAGCAGAAGACTCATTGTGGGTGTAGACTACGGGACCACATTCTCTGGTGCGTCGCCTCCAAATGTGATGTGAGCCTGAACAGTGATGAGGCTCTTGCTGACCCTGACTCAAGGGGTCAGTTATGTCTTCTCTGACAAGACAAGTGTCGACGACATTGACATCCTCGACCAGTGGGGTTCGGGGAGCAAACCAGAAGCAAGTTCCGTCGAGAATCGCTTACCATCCTACTTTGGCCTGGGGATATGAGGTTGAACCAGGTCAAGTTGCGTACTGTTGGACGAAACTGTTGCTGGACCAAAATGCCCCCGCCACATACCATGACGATGAGAAGCTTCGGAAAGCCTATGGATCAGGCTACAAGGCCACCGTCGATGGGAAGTCCGCGGAAGATATTGCGGCAGACTATTTGTCGCTGATGTACAATCATGTTATGCGCGAACTGGAACGCAAGATTTCGGCCCCTATTCTGTACGTCACCCCCATCAGCTTCTGGTTCACACACCCGGCTTTGTGGTAGCTCCGAGCGCAGACTTCCACCGTGAACGCCGCTGCGAAGGCAGGGTTTGGAAGCAGACCGCAAGATGAGATACACCTCATAAAAGAGCCAGAAGCTGCAGCAATATTCTGCTTGAGTGATGAAGTTTCAAAGGGACCAAGCCCTCTTATGGAGGTTAGTAAGGTCTTTACCCGCGCATGATTCACATCGGGCTTTTTGCCGCTAATAAATTTGGAAATCACACAGGTAGGGAAGGCAGTCTTGGTATGCGATTGTGGCGGTGGTACAGTGGTGAGTGATTACACCTCCAATTCGACGCTGTGCGTTAAATACATCTCGACGGTCTAATACACGGGAATCTCAGGATCTCGCCTCCTACAAGATCGCCAGAGATTTTCCAAGGTTGGAATTGAACCAGGCATGCGTCAGTGAAGGTACGATGACTGCTTCCACTACATGATGAACCAATCTTGTTCTAGAACACAACTTACGGAACAAGGACATCAATCTATTTGAGCTCAAACTGACACATCTCTATGTGACGGTAGGCGGCAAGTGTGGCTCGACCGCGATCGACCGTGCATTCATTTCATTGATGGAGACCTGGTTCGGCACCGCCTACACGAACCTGCCATCCGGGAAACGACATGTGAATTCGAAGTTCATGAAAGATTTCGAGTTGGTCAAGCAGGGCTTCAATGGCTCAGGCTCTTTCCAAACGCATCGTCTGGGGCTCAAGATGACCACCCAGGCTTCTGGGCATTATGATCATGATGAGGATGAAGTTTTGCTAAAAATGTAGGTCGACGCCCCAGGAGGACCCATTTGAACAGATTTCTGACCATTCTGATAACAGGTGGGAATTGAAATCCTTGTTCGATCCAGTTGTTGGAAAGATCATGCATCTCATCGAAGAACAGGTTCGAGCGACTGAGCAAGAAGGCTTGCGTATAGGGGTATGCTGCCATCTCTAATTTCCCTGATGATATACCATATAATGATATCTTTTCGAACAGGCAATCATGCTCGTCGGTGGATTCGGTGAGTCTCGCTACCTTTTCGAAAAGGTGGACTATATGTGGAGACCGAAGGGCATCAAGGTCATCAACCCTAAGAAGTCGTAAGTTGAACCTATACGCTGCCAGACTGGCACCCAGTCTTATTAACTAAATTGTGAAGATGGGAAGCGGTGTGCCTTGGGGCAGCGCTCCGTGGCCTCAATGGAGCAATTGTGAGCAAGAAGAAAAGCCGCTCGCATCTAGGGCATCATCTCTTGTTCCCTTTCCGTGAGGGATTTGACTCCGAAGAAGAGGCCTATTATTGCGCTTGGGATGGCCTTAAAAAAACCCAGACCAGCGTCGACTGGTTCATTCAAAAAGTTCGTGAAGGGTCCGGGAACTGATACCGTTGTTTGAGCCTTTTTAGGACGCGTTGCAGAAGTAATTGCAAGATGCTGACTTCAGGATGCAACACAGGGCGAGGAAATTACTTCGATGACCACAAAGCATCTGAATTGCGACGCTCTCTATTTTGAAAGATCGACTAAGATCTGGGGATACCCTATATTCGAGAGCAGAAGCTTTCTTGCACCAGAGAGATTGAATCATCACTGTGAGATTACAGCATCCTCAGCTTGTCAGGTCGGATCAACTTTTAACAACATTTTCTTGCAGCTGTTGTTCAAGTGGGAACCATCGAACAGGACTTCACGTCGGTAGATTTCAGCTTGTTCCAGTACAAGTGGCTTCCAGATAGGTCCCTCGTCTATCGAGTCGAGTACACGCTTGTAGTCATACCTGAGGATGATCTGGGTTGGATGCATTTTCGCATTGAGTGTCAAGGCCAAATGGTCGGGGAGGCGACATTGAAGTTAGATGGCGAATGAGGAGGGATTTGCTCATGGTGAAAATCGGTCTATAGATCATAATCTCCATTCATTCCGATTTTGCACGAGCTTGACCATTGACCTCCAGGTTCCAAGTTTCTCCTGCTAAGCACTCTGGCTCGAACTGCAACACAGGTCTGTCTTGAAATAGGTAATACCAGCAGACATGGCCCTGCGAGCGGGAATGAGGGTTCTTGTAGACCACTACCTAGTCTCCCTTGCTTTTGAAACTTTCATGGTCGTATTGGTTTTGGGAAAGAATACCTTGGATTGGGCCAAGCTAGACATCCCTGAGTATCTCGAGCCTCGCTCTTCCTTTCTTCAAAGTCCAGGCCCAGAGCCCATCAACGATCGCGATGTCAACGAAACTGAAGACTAAGCTGCCACCAAAGATAAGAGAATGATAGGTCCATGCGTTCGCCTCGTCCAGTCGCTTGACCTGGCACACAATCGCCCACGGCAAGACATAGAGTATATTACTTGCCAGGCTTTGGTACAGATACCACTTTGGCCGGGTCGCCAGCAAGATAGTAGCCATCATGGTGGACATAGCGTAAAAGATGTAGCACCAGTCAATGGTCCTCCACATCCTTTCCGTTACATCTGCTACCTCTTCAGAGCCGCTAAGGTAATATGCGAAAGGCCATGCGCCAAATCTTGAGAGGAAAATGGCGAGTGGTACTTCGAATATGAGAGCTAGAGCCATCGATCGCCAGGCTGGTTTCACCAAGCGGTAGAGAATTGGCCATGACGCCCTGGGTCGTCTTGTCGAAGGTCCGATGTCCCTTCGCCACTGTCCTATTCGAAGCAGGGGGTCAGTCCTGTCCTCGTCGAGTATCAAGTTCGGAGGGAGCTGGCATACCCCATCGGTGACCGATGAAAGCAAGGGATGTAGCTTCCAAGGCTTGAACTGGTACCATCACAAGTCCTACAACAGAAGCCGGTGAGCATATGGCACACTTTGGGAGGACTGATTCACTCACCCCACCGTATGGTGTTGAAGATGCCCCAAGCTGTAGCATACGTTGTTCCAAGCGCGACGATGGTCGTGACGAGCCAGAGGTATAGGGCGTTGCGAATCGCCGACTCGGCGAAGGTGATGAAGCCAGGGCGGAGCAAGACCTTCAGCGCAGAGAGGCTTGGTCTCAAAGATACCTGGCTCTCATCCAGATGCTGGGAAGAATAAGTACTTTGGGATACGTTCAAAGAATTTGCGTAGAGGAAGTACCCCAGGCCGACAAAAGCGGATGCGAGGTTACAGGCCAGCTGGATGGCCGCTTGTGTGTTGACCGTTGGTGTGATTCCCCGGACGTGGAACTTGGATATGACTATCAGGTCAAGTACGATATTGATCGCGAACTTGACCGAGCTGATGATCAAAGGTACATCAGGCTTGTCCAGCGCTCTGGTGGCAGCTGCCACGGACGTCTCGATAGTGCCGCTGAGGGCCGAGAAGGCGCTGATCCTCACATACGTCAAGCTAGCCTGTCGGACCTCGATGGGAACAAAGCCTTTGGCAAACGTCGATGCACCTGAGACGAAGGCGACGCTTAGGATGAGACCAAGAGCTGCCTGAAAGAGGATGAGCGTGTGGGTGAGTTGGAGCCGCTGGACGAGGCCTCGGGACGCCTTGTCGCCGATGATGACCCATGCGGTCCTGGGGAGGCCCTCGTTCAAAACCTCGGAGACGGTGCCCATGTACGTATACACGTCGCTGGTGACCACCATTGAGGAATCGATGTTTGCGATCCAGAGTTTGGAGAGGGTACTGTACAGCGCAGGGAGGATGAAGGCGGCGAGGTTGAAGAGGAGCGCACCGAAATACCGGTTGCGACGCCACCAGGCTCTTTTCGCAGACGTGTTCTGGATGGCATGTTCTGTAGCCGGCGACAACGGAGGAGAAATGACATGCGTCGGTCCGTGGGGACTCGATTCAATGAGAGGATCATCCTTGGGCAACATCCTGTACAGCCAGCGCGAGGGACGAAAATTGGGCATGTCGAAAGGAGCAGAAAACGGACGCACAAACGTGATATATCCTTCTCGGGCCGCAGCGATCTGGAATCGGCGATTTGCTGTAGGCTAAACCAACCGCAAGACAGTGTTGCTCACGCCTATGCAAACAATCTGCGTAGGTAGGGTGCCAAGCCTCCGCCAGAGGATGGTGGTGTGCAATGTGACGCAATCAAACATTGGTCGTAGTATTATCAAGCCTCACGGATCGTGGACACGAGAGGCGCCTCAGGCTTAGTTGAGCAAGGACCCAGGATACTTGGGCCGACCCGAACAATGGTTAGTCGAATTGAGACTGAAATGGTTGTAACGTACCAGGCATGAAGGTTGATCACATGGACCGTTAAAGAAACAACCCCTCTCGGTAGGCCTCCCGCAATCACGCGAGCGACCGGTTGCAGTACGGCTGAGAGCTGCATGAGCAAATGGGAACTCCTGTCGCAAGTTTGGGGTATCCATCTCCGTCTCTCAACAGCCTGAGACTCTAGACTTCACTAATGTGACAAATCTGGACTCCACATCAACTTTAAAGCCTCCGCACTAATACTGGAATCGCCACCTGGGGTCATCGTCGCCGAGGGTCCAGTCGTCCAGCTGGCCCACCTCCTTGACCTCCTCAGCAATCGCTTCCCTCTTTGTGTTCTCCTTCTTCAGGATCCAGTACAGAAGACCAGACACTATAACATTTGCCAAGAGGTAGCCCAATGCAAAGCTGTGTCCGACGATATAACGCGGCCCGTCGTTGGCACGGTAGAGCTGCGTGCCCAAAACTGCACCGCAGTTTCCGATCGAAATCTGCATGGCATTCGCGATGGCTCGCTTGGTCTGACCCGAGACGTTGATAGCCGGCCAGGACAGGGCCAAGGCGGTAGCTGGGTAGATTCCACCGGCCGCGAAGAATGTCCCGAGATAGTGAAATTCCGGGTCGGCCGACGGGATCGGTGTTTGCGAGCAGGATGATGTAGCCGATCGCTCCAAAGGCGGCTGACCCGGCCACGAAGATGGCGCGCTTGTTGAGTTTCTCGGAGAGGACTGCCACTGCCAGGGTGGTGATGAAAGCGAAAGCGTACGGGGGGATGGTCAGAAGTTGGGCTCTAGCTGCTGTGTATCCAAGTGACTTGATGATACTTGGCTGTAATCATGATCAGCAAAGCGACCAGGTGACAATAAGAAAGAGAAACTGTTTTACGTACCAGGAAGAGAGAGTACGTGTATAGGGGCAGACTCATCGTGTGGAACGCAAAGCCATAGAGCCAACACTTGGGGTCCTTGAGAGCTTTGGTAACGTTCCCCCAGGTGAACACCTCATTGTGCGTTGAGTCACTGTCCGCGGAGAGCCTGGTCTGGATCACAACTCGTTCTTTCTCGGTCAAGAAACCGGCGGTGTCTGGGTAGTTGTATATGAACCAGTATGCAGCGACGGCGACTACAATGGTTGCGAGACCCTCCTGTTACAGCAACATTATTTAGCAAAAGTGCTGATGCGGCCATCTCAAATGCAATATAGTTCAACTTACGAGGATGAAGATCCATCGCCAGCCATTAGACCAGACAACTCCGGCCATGAAGCTGATTCCCTGAATGCATTATCAGTACTGAGTCTGTCCTTATCGTGTAAGTATTTCGGTTCAACTTACATAGGCCAGAATTCCGCCAAAGGACCCTGCAAGAGCTGCGGCAGAGAAGAAGAGTGATATCCGGTATTGCCTTTCACGTCGCTTATACCACATTGAGAAGTAGTACACAACTACATTCCGTCCTGTCAGCCCCAACTGGAGGTGAATACATCAGGTTAGAGCGCCACAATTCACTCACCACCTGGAAACAGGCCAGATTCAGTTACACCTAGGAAGAAGCGGGCGACGAAGAACCCAGCAAGATTATGGACGACTCCAAGCAGCGTGGCAACGATTCCCCACGCGATCGTAAGCGTAGGTAGCCACAGCCGTGGTGAGGTTCTCTTGAGAATGATGTTGCAAGGTATCTCGAACAGGACGTAACCGATGAAGTACAGTGTCAAGCCAGTCAGATATTGGTTGCCGGTCATCCCCAAGTCGTCGGCGAGACCCTCGATCCGGGCGTTGGCGACATTGCTTCGGTCCAAGAAGGAGAGCAAGTACAGAATTCCAACGGCTGGCAGGAGGCGGATGTCGAGCTTCCGGAGAAGAGCGTTCTCGTTGATGTTGGCAGTGCCGGCTTCTTCCTTGTCGGACGAGGAGCCCGGGCTCGCTGTCTGCTTCTCCTCCACCTTTTCGTCGCGATACTGCACGCCTTGTTCCGCCATATTTGCGGGGAAGGATGGCCACTAAGCTCCGGACGTGAATCTGAGCAGAACACACCGACCCTCTCGGAAAGGAGGTGGTGTATTTCAGAAGGGCGAGGTGCGACGTTGGACAGGAGCTTGGTTTCAATCATGCAGGTGAAGGAAGCAGGTCCAGGATTTATTAAGTTGATAGCCCATCGTCCCGGCACTTCAAGCGGCCGACCCAGTCGCCTGGGACTGTGGGAGGACCCTAGGCGAGCACGCACCCGCCTGCCTACTTGGTATGCGAGTTAAGTTATCCATCATCGTTAGGGGCGATGGCGACATTTGTGGATGATGTAGTGCTATAGGAACTGTAATATGTGATTGGACGGGCCTGACCATGCCGCCGTTGCGTGCTCGATTGACAGGGGGGGCTCGAGCGCAGATCAGAATCGGAGAAAGCAGTAGTGACGAGCCTGAAACCCCAATGCCCGCGGAAGTGTGCACCGAATCTTGGACAATTTTCCTGTCATCAAGATTGCGAGCCTCGCCGGTGGATGAGCTAGTCTTGCTTGCTGCACACCATTTCCGACATTTGTGTGACGAGTGTTGACGTCCCGGCCACGTGGGAAGGTTTTTCAGAGGTCGGTCACAACATTGCCGCTTGCTCTTGTCATCTGTCGGAGACTTTGCACAAATCCAGCACGAGCCGCAGTCTTATTACGCTAGGCTCGTCCCTCTTGGCTCTCGGGGTAGCTTGATCTCTGTCAAACCTTTCCTCCGTCACCTTCACCTCCCTGGCAGCCTCGCCATCTCAACCTTGAATGCCGCCTTCAACACCATGTTAATGATGAAGCAATGAAGCAAACGATAGTTGATTGTTGTGTTGAGGAGAGAAGTCTCCCGCTATCGAACGCTCAGAAGGAGCCTATTTGTAGGCTAGCGTTAGCGCATTGGCATACGACCCTCGTACCTTCCAACAGTTAACCTTGGTTCTAGGTGGAATTTGGGTCCTTCTGAGCCAGTGACGTTCATCGATTTTTTATGCGAGCTCCACGAGGTCATGTTCATGATTGATTCTCTCGATCATGCCAGCGATGGTTTCCTTTTGTGCAATGGCCGACAGTAATGAATCGTTGGCACATAGCCCACGACGCGATAAGCAGCGGCTAGTTGCCTATGGAATGAGGCACGCGAGGTACAAAACAGACTCATAGGCGAGCAACGGCGATGAAGCGCTCCCGGGAGGACCCTTGCCCGTGCTGGGGTTTTCGTTTTCCGTTTGCTTGTCCTTGCAGAGCTTCCCATTGACCGGCTGAGATATTTGAGCCCTCGATAGCGCATGTCTGGGCTGAGATGTCATTATTGGCATTGCTTGATGGGAACAGGCCTGAGGAGAATTCCTTTGGTGCCCCGAGCTACTCGTTTTGTGCTGAGGCTATCTTACCAGCAGGCTTTCTTCGATCATGATAACCCTGGTGGAGCAAAGGTGGTTCTCAAAACTCATGGGCTCTAGGTTTCGTGGCTTAATCCCTCTTTTCACGATTTTCCTCTCTAGATCATTTGGACCATCCCAGGAGCATCACAGGCCTGGCATTGAGTCGCATGACTGAAAATCCATGAGGGCACACAATTTGCACGTGCCTTCCCCAATGAGAACGGATATTCACACAGAAAAAAATGGATGGTACACAGATACATACCACGCCTAGTACACTCACACCCAACACATCCAACGTACCCATACCCAACACACCCACACCCAATTCACACAACCGCTACAATTCACATACTATTCCCAATTATCATGCGAAAGCCTGAAATACGATGAAACAAGATACGAAGCCACCAGATCAGCAGAGCGCTGGGACTAATCCAGAACAGGCAGGTTTCATGGTGTAGACGGTAGTATTAGAGCACTGCTCATTGTGGCACTGACGACAGCGTTAATATTCCGAGAAGAGGGCAAAGACACGGGTCCAGCAAACACAAGTTCAGCTGATTTGATGCGGCTGTGAACTTGTGAATGTGTAGACCTCATGATTTGCCTAATATACTAAATTAAATGCAAAGGAAAGCTAGGTTTGTCACCCCAGAGCTGCTCTGCTAACCTCTGTAGGTATGATGGCGGACTGAGGTGGCCAGCACCATCCAGACTTGTGGTCAAATTCAATCTTGTCAAAGAGGAAGCACAAGCCATCCAAAGGTTGGTGGTCGAAGCAGATGCAGATCTTTCACTCAGGGGATGTATGGACAAGGTCGGCATAAAGGAATCAGTAGGGTAGGAGGACAAGCTAAAGAGGCTGAGTGGTTGATGATAACTGAAGCAAGAAGAGGTCTTTTCGTCTGTTGGTCTCAGCAGAGGATGATTTTGGTCTGTGCCTCAGAGTGAAGTCCACAAAATTGAGAGTCAGATGTTTCAATGATGGCAGGGGAGCAGACAATGTCTTGGCATAGACATACTCAGATGCAGGAGATGGGTGTGGCTGTCAAACAAAGTGTACACGGCAGAAACCACATTGTCCTGTCTGGGCCCGAGACGAGGGCCCGTTTGCTGGTACGGTGTGTTCGGCAACTCCCGAAACCCGGGTACCTTGTTGAAGGTTTCTCGCCCCCCGGGGACGAACAGTGGGGAACATGATCAGGACAGGTTCAAAGAAACAGGGGTCTCGGCCCTCTCTCTCCAGCGCGTTGTGGAGGGTCGCAGGCTGGGAGGAACTCCAAAGAGCTTGGTGCTGTCGCTGGCCTGTGCGGGGATGTTTTCGACTACATGCAGCTCGCGCCTCTACATCAAGGGACAAACCACCACCGCATGGACAAGTCCCCAGGCCAGCTCACCGCACCAAGCATCTTTGTCTGATTGACACAAGCGACAACAGGGCCCGCACCCTTCTTGCGACCCGACGGCCACCCATCTCCGACCAGTATTTAAGCTACTCCTCGACAAGAAAGCTGTCTCTATATAAGTACCTGCCCCGACGCGGTGCCTCGACTTCGGACCCTTGTCTCCCGCATCCCAAGCGCGTTCACCGCTGACAGCGACGACAACAACCACGGTGACCAGAACACCCAACCCGACTAGCATATCATTTTCTGTGGCTCTGGTGTCCCAATTGAATTCGCTCCATCTTCTTTTGGCCCTTGTCCCGCCAGTTCCTCACCGTTTGGAACTATATCGGTTGGGCCGAGTCCCTGGAACGGAAACAGCCTCGAGCTTCAATACCAGATCACCCACGTCACGGTCGACCGCGAGCCTCCCCGAGCACTACGCAACGATCGGATCACCCTCGCGAAGGAATTGAGTCGCTGGCGGCCTCTTTGGCTACCAGTCACTGCGGCCCTTGGCGCAAGCCGCCAGGCGAGACTCCGTGGCGTGATACCTCCACTGCCGGCAAGACAAAAACCGCTGATTGGGGTGAAGGATACTCACCAAGATACCCGTATTGCCGCTGCGGTGGCCTTCGCTTCCTGCTGAAGCTACGACGGTCTGCACTCTGAGGCCACAGCACATGCTGGTCCGACCGGGAGCGCGTTTAAAACCACGGATGGACGAGACGGGCATACAGAGCAGCCACATAGAGATTCTTGCTGGGCAACTGGGAGGACCAAAGGATACAGCCCTGGACCATTCCCTGGGTCAGGGCCGTCCCTGTCAACTAGGGACTGTGGGAGACAGGCCACCAGGCCGTGGCGGTGTCTGCCCCGGCGGCGCTCCAAGCCCTGATCTTCTCTAACCAGTGTCGGGCTTGCCGTTGCAAAGACTCTGTACTAGCCCAAAATGCCCACGATCCACGTCCAGGCTGGATCAGCAGCCCACCTCCAGGAAATTGCCGACTCGCTGTGGAAGGCAAAGAAAGTTGTGGTCGTAACAGGGGCCGGTATCAGCACCAATTCCGGAATTCCTGTGAGTGTTTTCGCTTGCACACATGCACCCTTCGCATGCGCTCCGCTGACGGTATTGCAGGATTTTCGCTCAGAAAATGGCTTGTATTCCATGATTCAAAGCCAATTCGATGCTGCTGCCAGATTAGATGGATCCAAGAACCGCGCAAATGGGGTTTCATCAGACGACAGTGGTGACGAGCTGCGTCCCAAGAAGCGCAGAAAGACATCATTAGTCGGTGATACCATCGAGGTCGGTGTTCCAAACTTGGACAGGGAACCGACAGTTGAAGGCGACAGCATCAAGGTCTTGAGTCCAGACGACAGTCAGATCTCAGACGCGAGCGAAGGCGGAAATCCTGGGGACCCAGCACACAAAGATGATGCGAGGCCAAGCGAAGGGACCGATCCCGAACATGAGCGGAGAGACCCAGGAGAGGAAGAGGTTGACCTGCTCACCGAGAAATCAGTGCTGGCAAGGGAATCTACCCCCCTCGAACGGGATGCACAAGAGAACTCTCAGCACGAGTCCAACGGTCGAGGCCTATGCAGCAAAGATGCGGACAATAACAGGGAAGATAAGAGTGACCCTCACGAGGATTTACGAGTCCAAGCCCAACCTGTTCCAACAGCTGCATCCTCGAGACGGTCGTCGCGGCGCAGCTCTCCGGCACTCGAGACACGATCCTCGCACCAGCAGCAACGAGATCCAGCATGCTATGGGCGCAATGCACCAAAATCCCCGAAATGCTCTTCAGATCCACGTAATGCCTCATCGTCTGGATCTTCGACTCCCAAGCAAACATCCTCTGACTCTGGGGCCCAAACAAACACATATAGCTCTCCCCTGTCTTCACCTCCGCCAATCCTTTCCGATCCTTATGAGGAAGCATTCCATCAATCACCCACATCCAGCAGCAGGTGTACTTCACCAGAGTCTTCGTCTGAGGCAGAGGATTCGCCGCCCTCCTCACGACCCTTCAATTACTCTCAGACCTTCAAGCGCGCAAGCCTTTCAACTATGAAGGGGCGTGATCTTTTCGACGCCTCCATATGGTCAGACCCCGTCAAAACCTCTGTCTTCTATACCTTCGCCACCAACCTTCGCCAGAAATCCAGAGAGGCTTATCCCACCGGATCTCATCACTTTATCAGTCATCTTCGAGACTCTGGCAGGATGGTTCGATGTTACACTCAAAATATCGACCTTCTAGAGGATAAAGTGGGTTTGTCCACTCGCCTGCTGCTCGGGCCAGGTAGCAGGTCGCGATTCTCTGTAAAAGCTTCACGAGCAGCGGCTGCCGCTGCATTGGCGACGGCGACGGCGGCAGCTGCTGCAGCAACAGCGACCACAGCTGCTCCGATCGCCTCCCTCCCATCTGATGGCGCTGACCGCCCAGAGCCGGTTGCTGAGACCTTGCCAACCGACGGGCGCCACGAAGAGGAGGAGAAGGACGGCGCAAACGACACGGCGCAGCCCATTGCCACAGACGGAGCAAAAGATCAATGCCGACAAGGAGGCACCCAGACGGCTCCCTCCTCGCCCGAACCAGACCGAGGGGTAGAGTGCGTCTATCTCCACGGCTCGCTGCGTTCACTTCGCTGCTTCCAGTGCAGAGGCGTAATCGACTGGGACGAAGGCGATCGAGAGTTGCAGACCATGTCAGGTCATCAGCCACCCTGTCCTCGCTGTGAGGATGCGACTACCGCCAGACAAGAAAAGGGCAAACGTGCGCTTGGCGTTGGAAAGCTGCGACCGGACATTGTCCTTTATGGCGAAGAACATCCCGAGTCGCAGCGGATATCTGATATCATTCAGCATGACCTGTCCCTTGCGCCAGATTTGCTGATTATCATGGGCACTAGTCTCAAAGTTCATGGCCTCAAGACCGTCGTCAAGGAGTTTGCAAAAGCAATACATAACAAGAAGGACGGCAAAGTTATTTTCGTAAACTACACGAAGCCTGCTGACAGCGTTTGGGCGGACACAATTGATTTCTGGGTAGAAATGGACTGTGACGCTTGGGTACACGACCTGAAAGAAAAGAAGCCTATCATTTGGTCGCCACCCGGTACCATTGACGAGGAATCTCGAAGCACAAAGAGAAGACGCCGAACCAACGTCGACTCAGAAAAGGCAGTGGCCAAGAGAGATAGTCAGGGCGAAGGTGCTGACGAAACACCTGTGAGCGAACTCAAGACCATGGCAAAAAAGGCCGAGAAGAAATGTTCACAGGCGGCAACGAAACCCTGTCCTGTTCCCAAGCCTGCACCCAAGCGGCCAGTTTCTGAGCGAGAGCACAAGGATAACGGGGCGTATTGGACAACCAGAATTATGGCAAATCTGGCCTTGATCAGTGGTCGTGAGGTGAAGAAGTACTCAACGCTGTCGACGACACCTGCATCAGCGAGGAAACCTCTGGGGGCTGGGCAAGCTGTTTCGAAACCTGCAGAACCGGTCGCGCCGAAACAAGCACTGAGGAAGGGCCGAGGCCCACGCCTTAAGAATGCGAGGACCAGGAAGCCGGTTCCAGCAGTCGCCACGTCTGAGGGTGATGCTGTTGGTTCAAATGCTGTCCAGGATCTAGCCAGTCGTCAAACCGGCCACGCAGAGGATCAGAAGCCCGGCGCTGGTTCATTATGTGCAGAACGCCCCGATCACCAGAAACGGGTCACATCTAGTGGCGAGCCTCCTGCTTCTGTTGTCACGATGGAGCCAAAGGCGGACCCAGATGTGAAAGTTGCAGACAAAGTGTCTTCTCAAGGCTCAGGAGATGACACGAGTCCTACAGCACAAGTCGGCCAAGAGGCCTCAGTGGTGGACTCGCGTGGCAGTCCTGATAGCATGGTTGAAAGCAACTCTATCCTTGCGGCGGTCAAGTCACATCACAGGATCAGAAAGCCCAAAGCCATTTTCGAGCCGAAGCCCATGTCTTTCTCAAAATCAGGGCGCGGCACGCCAGCCTCGTCAGCGGGCAACGCGAAATCCAGGGCGAAGCCAGCGTCACAGGCGAGGAAAGGCAGAGGCTCGGGCAAGGTCGTCAAGACTGAACCTGCTACGGCCACTCGGGTAGAGAAGAGTGCTATCCTCCCGCCCCCGATACCTGTTCGTCGTCCGGTCTCGCAGTCCAACACGGGCAAGCCTACCGAATCAAGGCGACACGGTACTCCTGATGAAGCCTATAGACTGGCACCTCTCCACCCAGAGAATCTCGAGAGCTACAAGTATCAAGGCCAACACAGTGATCGACCATACCCTCTGGCCAAGCCACTCGAACCAATTGTTGTTGTGGAAGGCCCGCCCTCAGATATGTCGCCAACATCGCCTCAACATTGGCAAAACCGTGCCTTCCTTTACAGAGATCCACAGTCAAAGAATTTCGAAGGCCCTTGCCGAGGTCTTGACTTTGTCGGTATGACCCCGGCAGCGCAGCCAGATGGCCAGGCGGCAATGACGGGTACACCCTCGGCCCCTCCGCCACCGTCCCAGCTAGCCACCCAGCTGGCTATGATAACGGCGCCTCCGTCATACAGCTCGTCCGCGTTTGCCAGCGCGCCGGTTATGTTGCCCCAAAACCCAAGGACTGTGGACTCCCAGCTGCCGCCCCACGCTCAATCAGTCCACGACAGCCCGAGCCGGCAGCTCCACCAGGAAGAGGCCCTCGAGGCCGCCGCGGCTCTGAGCCAATTGAGAAGCCCGCCCATCTTCGACGAGAGGCGCTTCAGGATCTGAATGGCGGCATCGGAAAATAAGTACAAAAGTATGAGACCTTACAAATGATTTAGAACTGTCGTCCTTTTCAAACGAAGACGTATATGATGCATGGTCATAGCGGGGAGTAGGAGTTGGACCGGCATTCAATTGGTTCATGGGGCCTTCAGGATAGAATCATACCAAGGAAATCCATAGTGTCCAAGCATTCTTACAATGAAGAGATTCAAATATAAATTCGACTGCTGTCAATTAGTAGTAACTGGATTTCGAGGTTCCACCGAGTTACGGCACAAGTTGCAAAGTATAGAGGGGATTGTTCATCCCTGTGTGCACCACTTGAGAAATCAGAAGGGTGTGGATGGATGCTGGAAGGGACGTTGAGCCCCAAACCTTAATTTATGCAGCTCTACTCGAATTCTCTCGTGGCACAATGGCGTGCAGCAAGGGCCGGCCCGACGGGTCACATTCCAATCAAAAAACAGTCGTGATTTTTCCAGACTTGCTGCAGCTCGTCACTGAATATGGGTTGTTGAGAATTTACATAGCATATCTGTTTTAGCCTAACTAAATCTGTTATCCAACGAAAAAAAAAAAATGTTGTTTTCAATGCAAGTCTGAGTGAGGTTATCTCTGGGGGATGCTCTGCCCTTTTCGTGATTCCACAAAGCAGCAAGCTCTTCATTCAGCGACTGGGTGAGTACGCCGACCAGTCCACGGCGTGCGATTTTGGAGAATGGATACACTGATAAGAGAGACCGCCGTCCCTCTAGCCACAGAGATAATAATGGCTTGCCATAGGTATACCTTCGACGTCCTCGGTGAGCTCTATTATGGCGAGATGTTTGGATTCATGAAGGACAGGGAGGACCACAATAACTGGATTTGGGCTCTCGACAAGATGATCCCCTTTGTCTGTTTTGCGGGAGTAACGTGAGCGATTCGACGGGCGCGTCTCACCCGAGAGACAAGACATGGCACACCAGATCTTCCAGATTTACAAGGAGAAGGGAGAAAAGGTCGACTTCGGATGGGCCGATGTCCAGCAGGAGTCTTTCGGGGCTCTCTTTGCCGGCAGCGACACAACTGCCATCTCCTTCCGCTCACTGTTCTACCACCTGATGCACACACCGGCTGCCTACGAAAAGCTGCAGGCTGAGATTGCTCAGCCCGCTCATCGTCCGCAGCTTCGGGCTCGAGTTCTGGGACGCCGGCAGGACGCGGTGGCACACCAGGAACACCTTCTTTGCGCGCCAGGAGGGGATCATTACTCGGCTTACGCGGAGGAATTAATGATGCGCCACGCCACGCCATTCCTTGAGACCAAAGTATGCCTGTGTTTGACGTCCTTTAGACTATTTGCGTAATTAGATTTCACATCTTTGTACAACATCTTAGAGATTTAAACTTTAGAATAGATTAGATACTTAGAAAATAGATTTTTATTAGAAATATCAGTGTCCAGTGTGCCTATGGCAATGTCTGTAGCCACAGCCTTGAAAGCGCCCCCCCCCCCCCCAACTCCGGAGCTCGCTCCCGCCCAAGCTCCCGAGCGGCGCCACAGCACGCCGGGGACGGCCAGCAGACCAAGGCGGTGTCCTTCTCGTTTGGAGCAGACATCATTTCGACGCTGCCGTTCACAACCCTCACCCCCCTCCTCTTTTGGTCTTTTTCATGGGCACCTTCACCTTTCTTGCCCCCAATATCTCACTGGGACCATGGATTCGTCACCTCTGCAAACGGCCCGAACCTCTAGTAGACCCGAACCGCTAGGAGCTGCGTGATTCCCGATGAAGGAAGAGAAGGAAAAGAAAATTATATGCAGTCCCATCCAGTATTTAGAAAGGCCAATCAGCATTGCCGAATGCAGTTTACCAACATGGGCAAAAGAAACTGAAAGTGTGGCAAAATTGAGGGCTTGGCACTTGATTATATCCAAGGTTGGTCACCTAAGAATTCTCCATAAGTTTAGCAGTCAAGGGTCTTTGATTGTGTCCTGGCTTGTCAAGGGTAAGGTTTATGAGGCTGGGCGAACCACCATATATCCACCCGCATTGAACGGTGGGAGACCTCAGCTCTATGGATCTATTGCTTCAAGTTATTTGACTATATTCAATGACAGCTGCCCGTATGTCCAATTCAAAGCATATTCCTCGCTTCATTGAAACCTTGACACCTGGAACTCGACGCCTTACTCGAGTGAGAACCACGGTCAATTGCGTGAGGGTAGTTGAAAGCACATGGTAAAAAAAAAAACATGTGTAGAATCCCCGGTATCGGACCTTCTCCGACGTCGAATCGCACAAGAAGAGTTTCCGTAGTTTTCTCGTCGAAACCAATTGATTGTTTCCTACCAATTACCGGACGTTGTTGTGCGCTCGGATTCCAAACACTCTCAAATCAGGGTCTAACTTCAATTATCGAAGATTACCACCCATCGTGTGCACTGTCATCACAAACGGAACAGATGGCGGAATCACAAGTCACGCTCTCGGCCTTCTACGGTATCTCTTCGCCGTGGGCCTACCTAGGTGCAGAACGCATGGTAGCCATCGCAAAGAAGCATGGCGTGAAGCTCATCCATCGCCCAATTCGTGTCATTCAGGCAAATGGAGGAATTCCGCTTAGAACTCGACCTGACAGCCGGCAACAATACCATGAAGCCGAGCTCGATCGCTGGAGGAAATACCTTGACATCCCTCTGAATCTCAAACCAAAGTTTTGTAGGTACACTCCGGCAGCTCGTTTCACCTTGGTCGGTGTGCATGGTTTCTGCCCATGCTGTTGGGGTGACACTGCTTAATCATTTTGCCACGCGGCCAGTCACCAGTCACTAACATCAATCATCGATAGATCCTTGCCGCACTATCGAAACCTCAGCGCAAGCCATCATAGCGCTTCAAAAGGCCGGTTATGATGTCTCGGGATTTTCTTTCGCGGTTCAGCGCGCTCTCTGGGCGGAAGACCGCGACATTGCGGACTTGGCCACGCTCAAGGAAATTGCAGCGGCCACCCTAGGTCCAGAAGCCGCCGAGCTGGTTCTTGAGCCCCAGAAACCAGACATAGTGGCGGAGTGGGAAACCAACCTTGCCGAAGCTGAGAGAAGGGGGATCTTTGGTACGCCTACTTATGTAGTCGACGATGAGCTCTTCTGGGGACAGGACCGGTTGGGCTTTGTTGATCGAGCACTAGTCTCTGCTAAAGCTAGGCGGCAGGTTGAGGAGAAGTGATTCGGGAGAATCGGACTCCGCTTGAGCCTATTCTCGCGAGGACTTGTGGCATCCAACGGGTCAATCTACGAGCCGCACAAGTTTGCTCTAACTTTGAGCAAGGCATTCAACTCCTGGGTAATGACATACTCCCCGGAGACGAGCGAAAGGGGCCTGTTTCAAATTGACTAGATATTGAGCTCCAAGGCCGAGCACATTGGACTCGAATATGCAGATTTACTACAGAATAATGTGCAGAGCCGAAAATATCCCCAAGCATCAACTAGGAGACCGTCTAACAAGTGAAAATAGCTGGACCAGGGACCGTGTATGTTGTCGCTGCGAGATGTTAGCCAGAACATTTCCAGAGCAGTCTGGTGTCTGCCTGCTTGTACTCACCCTTGTAAGAGTCGTATGTGATGCCCGCATCACTGCCCTTGTAGGCACCGGGGAAGGCAACGAGGTTGCTCGGGGTGGTCGAGCCGCCGCCGGTGACCTTGAGCTGATGGCATCCAGGGTAGAATTGCGCACCGGGATAAGCATATGCCGAGTGCAAGGCGATGATCTCGTGGCGCACGAGGTAGTAGCCTGCCTTAAGGCAGGAGGGGATGGTGTACTTGACTCCGGCATTGCCAGCAACCATCAGGGAAGACTACAAGCTAGTCAGCATGGCCGTCTCCTGATTTAATCAAAATTGGATGCTTACATCGGCCCACGTGTTTGAGGTTCCAGTGCGGCCTCCCTGAGCAATCTTGAACCAGACGGCGCTGTGGAGATTTGACATGTTATTAGTCGACATGGGAACTCTCAACAGTAAGGTCTGCAGTGGAGATGCAAATCCAAAGCCGCCTACCTTGTGCCGGGTTGATAACTCTGGCACCCAGCATCGGGGCAGCGTGCCATGTACGTGACCACGGGTCCTACGTGCGAGTCTGGCCATAGCGTCCAGTAGAGCGTGGACGTCGAGCCCGCAGCGGCCGTCGCGTGGAGCGGAGCAGGCTGGCTTCCGACGATGCCGCCATCTGTGTACCCGCCGCACTGGAGATCAGCGTAAGTGACATCGGTCACAGGGCCGTTGCCTTGAATAGCACGCGAGATCCTTTGAGGCTGGACGAGATGAATATCGGTAAGTAGTAAACATAGATGATTGAGGGCAGATACTAACCGATGGTGAAGAGTATGGATCAGTGTAGGCTTGTCGCTCACGTCAATATCAGACATTCAAACAGTCACGGGAAAGTCTTGCTTGAGCCGACTCACGTTGGTAAAACTAGTAGAAATGTCAGTAACTCTGTCCCAAGCCGCACCGCAGGGCTTGTGCCCATACCTGATAGTAGGTTCCCCCGATAGTTCCATTATCGACGTATCCATGAGCAGCCACCGAAGCGGCAAAGCTCAAAAGAAATGCGATGGCCTTCATGATGCGATAGTCGGTCTCTGAATTGCTGAACCAGGATTTGCGATGGAGTAACGATTTGCGCAGATCACCAGGCGATAAATCTGATAGCAGCGAACATCTACAAGTATTTAAGTATTGGCATCGCCATCCTTGCAAAGCCAGCATCCATGACCGAATCGTATCATTGCTTCTGAGTGGCCGCCTGCCCTGGTGTTGCCATTGCGGACGCCATGTTCCGTAGGGACGAACATGGCTCTTGGCGCGAGACGGGCGGGCCGTCGAAGGCCTGGGAGCGTTGTCCACCTGGACGGTCGAGCCTCGCGAGATGGGGCGCGGAGGGTCCGTTATATATTGTTTAAGACTAGGCGCCGTGCGCCGCCACAGATGTTCCGCCAATTATGCGGCGCAGGGAGGACTTGTCCCACAAACACCTCCACCAATTGTTGCCAAGATCAATTGGTAAGGCTGCTTACCACCAGTATCTCAACGACCATTTCTCTGAGCCTCTGTATCTTTCATCCCTTCTCGTAATCATGTTGCGTGATACTGCACTGCATGACTGAGATACCTGAGATTATCACAGGACCTCTTACACGGGTAGGCGGCATCCTGTCACAGCACACAGGAGGTTATCCCAGAGGAGGTCATCTCATGGGAGCTTACCATACAGGAGATTATCCTACAGGAGGTGATCTTATAGGAGATAATTCCACAGTAGGTCACCCCAGAGGAGGTTATCTGATAATCCTACAAGAGGTTATCTCACAGAAGATTATGAAAGGTGTCCCTCAGGTGGGAGTTACGATTCCTTACTTCATTCACAAGTCGCTGTGATACCAGAAATTTGTGAGACGGTTTACTGATCCTGTCTCATACCCGCTGTCAGGATGTTGTGAAGTTCTCCGTTGTTTGCAAGAGCCAAACCGCAGCTCATGTAAGCTACTTAGGTATCTAGATGCTCAGGTGGTTGAATGGGTTTGGGTCGAGATATGCGAAAGGATCATTGAAACCAAGCCAAGAGGCAGTCAGCCACAAACCCACCCCCGTCTCCCCCTCCCCCCAAAGGCACATGGGAATTTTCCTTGCACGTATGTTGGCCCATCAATGGGTCTCACAGCTGGTCAACAGAGCTGCGACTTGTGCTGTTCCCAGAGTTCCTTGACACCACCGCCGGGCGCCTCTCTATGCGCCTTCCACATTCGATTGATACTCATAGCTTGCCCATTTCGGGTCTTGAGGCGAGCGACAAGCACCCAGCCCGTGATAAGTCCTAACCGTGACCGTCCAGCCGCGCTCCGTATCTGCCCACCCGATGTTGACTTCCCAGTCGGTCTCACAATTCTGACACCATCCCGAATCCTGGTGTTTGGTAGTTCCTATTACGTCCTTAGGAAGTCCTTTGCCTCGGAACCCACCGACATCTGTGTGAGTGCATATTTCGATGCTATCTGCGTGTGCATTGCAAAAGCGCTGCAGGGCGCCTGCATTGGCTTCTTTGTGAGAAATTGTGTGTATGCAGGACAGGAATAGTTCTCCGTGGATCACATTGGCTGCCCATACTTCATTCTCGCAGATTCCTTCAGCCCAATGAGACTGATACTTGTGAGTGCTTGCCAAGTACGAAGCTGGAATACAGTGCCGCGGCCCGAGTAGTTGGTGATTCGTCACCATACGCGCGATGCAGTAGTCAAGCATGAACATGCCGACGCTGAAAAAAGGTACCCTCTGTAGGTTCGTGGTAGACTTGTAGAAGTGGGTGCAACACCAAATCGGCTCATTGGGAGGGGGGACCTGGGCAGGCCGGAGTTTCTGATCTACGAAGCAGTAGGTAAACTCTGCAGTGTCCCTTTCCAGGCGGCAGAGTAGCATATCCGTGGCATCTTCGTCGAGTCGCGTCCCAAATATCCGATAATTGTGAGCCATTTCGTGCATATGCTTGCACGTCAATGCAAGACAAAGGGCGTCCTCAACGGGGAGGAGTTCGGAGATGAGGAGGACCAGTTCAGTTGGGAACGTTGTTAAGCTTGGCGGTCCAGTTTGTTGTGATTCTCGAGAATCCAACATTTCCTTGGCCTCTGATGCTGGACCAACGGTCGGGGAGTCACATCTGGACGAGAAGAGCATCAAGGATTGGTTCTGCTTGCTCTGAGACCCAGGCATGATAACCAACTCCACACCATTCTATCACCAGCAGAGAATGCCTCGAGAATCGAAGCCACGTGCCCGCCACGCAATCCAAGTTGTCGGCCTGGATGAAATATATGGCGAGACTTGCTCCAGAATCCGTGAAGTCTTGTTGAACTTGTTGAAAATGAGGGGGTTCGTTGGTATAGGTATAGTAGGGGAATTTGGAAATGAAAGTGTTCTTTATGAAATCATTGATTTGTTGAATGGCACTGCTATGGCTTGGACTGAAGTTCATTAGTGTGGCCGTGCACAGCCGCCAGTCGATTAGAGGGCAGTCGTTCCGTGGGCAGCCCAGAACTGCACACCTAGAATGGAGTCAAAGGGCAACTAAGTACCTAGTGCATCGACTAGGGCTGTAAGGTGCAATGAGGAGCTCCCAATGGCATGGCGTGACTTGTATCAAACTGGAGTACGGTAGTCAAGGACTTGGTAGGTATGGAGCCCATACTACCTTCATAAAGTTGATGCGGTTGGGCCGTTCCCTATTGTTTCCAAGCCCACCTTGATATTCCTTGTCCTGGCGGTCTGCTGATTCATTCTGTCTTGATTGGGTGTGATGTGGTACGGTGCTATGCGCGATGCCTGTTGGGAAAGATCTATTACCTTGGGGGGGGGGGGGGAGGTTGCCGAGTGTTGTCTGTTCTGTGGCCCTCGCTGAAAAGCCAGTGTCTGTTCGCACCCAGCAAAAGCTGTCGTCTGATCGCAGAATGTTGTGGTGCTGGGAAGGGACGATCGGTTTAGAACAGAGTGTTAGAGAGTCAACTTTTTAGCAACTGGAAGGGAGAGTTCTCTTTCTGGACACATCAATACAACGGGCTGAGCCCACAACCGTCATCAGCCTATCCTCAACGTCCATTTAAACTGTGGGATGAGCTCATTCAACACACGCACGACGATCACTATGTCGACACGTACATAGTGGCTGTGATGTTGGGTTATTCCGGTGACAGGACCGAGGGGAAGAACCACCTGCAGCCGTTTCGGGCTGTAGGTAGTGGCGAGGGAACGAATGCGGATAGGCGGTCGCGCCCTCATGTAAGGCTTCAAACCCACAACCCTTCTCCCTCCCTTCTCCTAGAAGATGGAGCAGAGCAGCGCAGAGCAGAAGGGATATGGGTGACCTGTAAGAAGGCTTGACGCCACGCGAAAGGTTTAGGGTAAGGCGGCTAGGAACCGGGTTCTAGCTCTCGTCCCTTCCTCTGGCACAGCAGTGCCAAAGGTGAGCGGATTCCAGGACAATAGTTGAACCCATTCACATCGCACCTCCATTTCCGGAATTTTCTGTCTCCCTATATGTAAGCGAATGCCTGTCAAGCACCGTGCATAGGTCATGGCTTGTCAGATATGCTTAGCGGCGAGCGATCGCCGGTCACTTTGGCCATGGTCTAGCCAGTCAATTACAGTACAAGCACCGGTAGAGCAAAACCTTGTTGTGGACTCCAAAGCTAGTCTTCTAGTAATAATGGGAAGCAGTCGTCTTGAAGATGAGAATGGGAGAAGAGCATTAAGTGACGGGTGATGCCGGCTATGGAGCTCCGGCACCAGGTCCGCTTCCAGCGCCGGGGCCACCCCCGGGTGCACCGCCGCTGCCGCCGCCACCTCCCATCAAATTCCGTGCCCTGAGATGATGTTAGTTGATGTGTTGTATCTGGAGGAGGGTGGTCGAGCTTACATCTCCGCAATGTTAGGATCATTCATCAGAGCTGACATGTCGGGCATGCCCCCACCTCCGCCGCCGCCGCCGCCGCCGCCGAACGAGTTGGCCATTTCACGCAGCCTAGGGTTGCTCATGAGGTTTTGCATGAGATCCGGGTTGCTCATGAGGTTCTGAGCCATGGAAGCGAACATGGGGTTGTTCATGATGGACCCGAGATCCGGCATGCCGCCGCCACCGCCTCCTTGCCCTCCACCACCACCAAACATGCTCGCCAGGTCATTCAGGTTGGGAGCGCCGCCGGCGGGACCACCGGCACCTCTTGATGCGACCTCGGCGTCGTCGGACTCTTCCTCGACCCGCTTCTTGGCGGTCTCGAAGCCCTTCTTCATGGCGTCACTGCCACCATTACCCTCGTGCTCAATACCCTTCTGGTATGCCTCCATGGAGCCCTTGGCGTCACCCAGGGCAAACCGGGCGAGGCCCAGGCGACTCCATGCCTTGGTGTATTTTGGGTCTATCGTAACGGCGGCCTCGGCGTCAGCCTGGGCGCTCTCGTGATCCTTCGCGGCACTGTATGCAGCGGCACGGTTCGACAGGAAGATGGCGTTGCCGGGGTGCAGGCTCAGGGCCTGGGTGTACAGGTCGATGGCCTTGGGGTAGTCCTTCTGGGCCATGGCAGCGTTGCCCTTGGACTTGAGCGCCTCGGCCTCCTTCTTGGCATCTTCGCTGACTGGTCCTGCTTGCGACGGTGCGGCAGATGAGGAAGTGTCGGCGGCAGGCTTGGAAGAGTTCTTCAACTTCTCGTAGACGCCATATATTTTCAGGAGGTTCTGGTCGCCGATGGCTTCCGACACGGCGGCCTTGTTGGAGGGATCGACCTTGAAGGACTCGGCGATGCAGTTGACAGCAACATCGATGGATTCTTGCTCATCTGCTGGGAGTGTGCCATCGGTGACAGAGGAGGACAGGAAGTCGCAGATAGCCAGCGCAAGGCGCTGCTTGGATGTAGTTGCCTGTGAACAGAGATCAGCGGGACAATTCATTCTTGCTCGAGTTGCGGGTTCTCAGGAATCAGCATAGCATAGCGCATAGCAGAGCAAAGTACATACCATAGCACGGTGAATCTCTCGCACAGGCAGAAAGGGTTTGGTTGGGTATCTGTAGGGGAGGATAAAGATTGGTGAAATTCAGAAGGGTGGGGGGACTGTGAAGCTCCAGGATGTGGCTCGCCTAATAAACAAAGATGAAATCGAGGGGATGTTCTAGAAGAGGAGCAGACTGTGGGGCCTGGGCCTGCCGGGTTCACTACGCACCTACAGAAGTGCCTGAGTATGAGGGGATCTGGCTAAGCAGCTCTAACAGATCAGCACTACCTAGGTACAAACATACTGCCATTTGGGCATCAACCCAAACACTCAGGGTTGGGGCTGTTCCACATGGCCCCTCCCCCTCACCCCTGGCCTCCACACATAACCCTGGGCGTTTCTGATGTCACCTCAAACAATCACCACTCACTTGTTTCCGCCCCAATGGTACAGCTCCTTCCGCCCACCCCCTTTCAACTTGACTACTTGATCTCTCCTCGGTTGTGATTCCGTGTCCTTATTGCTCTTCTCGCGACGATGAAAGAATAGGAGCGACCAAAGCTGGCCACTGCACAAGTCGAAACACCATATCTCAGACAGCGCCGGAATTGCCGAATCAACAACCTCCTCGGTCGGGCTGACTGCCCAGGCAGCGGCCACCTCCTGGCTAACGTCTTCCTTCTGCTTTCGAAGGATAGACCTCAGCAAGTACAAACACGAAACGCCAACCTATTCGAAAGCTTGACAGGGCGAGGCTCCTCCTCCCACCCGCAGGGCCGGTGCGATTCTTTCAGCCATGGCGCCCGAGCCCAACGAGCCAGTCGCCGACCTCAGTTCTCCCCCCGACCAGCCCAGCATGTCCTCCGCCGACGAGACCGATGCTGCTCCCGCAGCGGCCCCAACGACTCCTCAGCTTCAGCGGACCCAGACTGACCCCAGCCTTCGGAGCTGCTTCATCTGTTTGCAAACGCCTGCCGAGACACCGAAGGCCGCCTGGGTTAACGCATGTCCGTGTTCTCTCGAGGCGCATGAGGACTGCATGCTTCGATGGATTTCGGAGCACGAGCGCGAGAGCACCAAAACGTTACGATGTCCCGCTTGCAAGGGAAAGATACAGACCACCGAGCCCAAGGACAGCTTCGTTGGCCTCCGGGACCGGTTGCACAAGATGTACAGTCGCATCACCCCTGCGATATTATTAGGCGTCGTCACAGGCTGCAGCAGTAGGTGCCTCCCGCCCCCACCCCGTTTCTGTCGGATCTGTGTGGCCGACCAGGCGATCTCTCTTGAAGATGGTTTGCAGTGGCTTGGGTTTATAACCGGCGTTTCTACGCTTTTGTACACTGTCTATGGACGACGCGTCCATTGTCAAGCAGCAGAAGTTGCTAACTGCGTGTTTTGCCCCAAGTAGTGGCGTCCTCGAGCTATTATGGAATGTTATCCATGTGCGTCTTTGCGGGCCCCGGGCCGGCGATGGGATGGCTGGGCCTCGGACGCGCCCTGGCAGATCGGAGGATAAATCCAGGCGTACCTTGGTACAGGTGGAAAGCTGGATGGGAATTCTGCTTCAGGTTCTGGATGCTGAACTTCATCGCGCCCGCGTTGATGATTCAAAAAGCCCTGCCGTCGCAGTTAGTAGACATGCTGACTTTGCCGGCTTCCATCCTGGTGAGTTGACAGCTATCGGCCATTGAACTCGCTCGAGCCTAACAAGCGTAATAGTACGGCGCTTCGCTGGTCCTTCGCGACGAGATGCCTACATGGCCCCCGTCGCCAGCCTGGGTCATGACGATGATGCCATGGGTCAGCTTCTCGTACAACCGGATCTACTACGATATCCTTGGAGGTTATGAGCGGCGCCTTAACAAGGCCCTCCGAGGTCGTGGTCTTCCCAACGAGCAGCTTCCTGCCGCAGAAAATGCTGACGGCGGCCAACAAGCCAACGCCGCAGCAGAGAACCCCGCCCCAGCTGAGGAAGATGATGAGGGCTACTTTGCGCAGGCGATGAGGGTTGGAAACGCTGTGCTTAACCTGATGGGTGACGAGAACAACCAAGAAGAGGTTGTGGCCGAGATCGAGCTCCACATAGGCCCCGACGAAGATGAGGCTGCCGCAATACAGGAGCTTCAGGATGAGCTGAACGATCAGGGTATCGTTGTGGTCGAGGAGGGGCGCGGTGATGATGCTGGCGCAGAAGCAGCTGAGCAGCCACAGGAGCAAAACGAGAGCGAAGGAGGGGACCAGGATGCCGCCGAACCACCACCGCCTATCAGAATCGAGCCTCAGGGCAATGGCGAGCAGAATCCTCCGCCCAACGGTAACAACAATAACAACAACAACAACAACCAAGCACAGGAAGAGGTGATCCGGGAGCGGAATGGTGGTCCTTCGACAACCCTTACTGACCTCGTCAATGGCGTCGTCACCGCCATCACCTTCCCGCTCGTGTGCTGGGGTGCAGGCGAGATCCTGCGCCACGCTTTGCCCGATAACTGGATCACGCGGACCCAACCCCGCGCTGCCACGGGCCTGCTTCAGGAGCAATGGGGACGTAGCTTGGTCGGCGGGATGGTCTTCATCGTCGCGAGGGACGCGGTGAATTTGTACACTAAGCACAGGAGGGTCGAAGTGAGAAAGCATCGGAGAGTGAGGAACGTCCCGCGGCGGAAGTCGAAGCCAACGCAAACGCAACAGGCAGATGAGACTACATAGCGTGTGTCAAGGGTGCGCAAGTGGCTCCGAGAGAGGTCGGAGATGTTCATACCCCCTTTTTAGCTGAGAACAATCTACCATACTCCGGCACGGAGCTGGCAAAGGTGTGCAGGGTTGGCTGTCAACCTGTGAGAGACTGAAGCAAAAGACCCCCCCAGCTTTCTAATCACGTACGAGGGCGGCTCGCTTCGCTTGTTTTGCCCAAATGGCAGCAGAGATTCTCGATCCCAAGCGACGGCGATACATCAGCCGAACAGCTCCTGGATACTTCATTGGTCACACACAACCCCTTACGAAGTGACTTATACATAGGTGTGCTTGTCCACGTAACCACCCCCCCCCCAGGACGCTAGCCACCAACATCTTCCAAATTCAGCACAACGGGGTTCGAAACCGCGAAGTTTCGAAGTCAGCTGCATATAGGGTTGCAGAGGTCCGGCGCCGCGAGAGATTGGAATTCGGGCCATCATGACTTGTCCCCTGGGCACAAGCCAGCCCCGCCGAATCAAAGCGCGGTCTTCCCCATCTTCTCCACGCCCCGGTTCCCCAACTCGCCTGAGGAATGACTTCATGTCCTTCCCGCCTTGCCAGGCGCGGGACGGGTATTCTAGCCCTTTTACTCCAGCCTGGGAAAGTTTCCGCCCATTTTTGCCTCGAGCTGGAGCTTGGGTGTGCGTTCTTCCGATGTGCGCTGGCTATGAATATAAGGGGTGTCGGCGAAGGGTCCCAGTAGGTATGCACAAGGCATATAGCCCAGACCTAGTTTCCTTCCTATGACACCAGAAAGCATCACATTTGTGGCCTACCTGTGAACATCATCATCTCATCACTTTCCTACCCTCCAGCCAAGTCATCATGCCTCACGCAGAATCACCTCCACCTTCCCTCAACGGGGTCAGCCTCCACGTGAACGATGGCCCCTTCTTGCCCTCAGAGGTTGCACAGATGCGAGTGTCTCGCGCAGACGAGCCTCTCGACGTCCTGCGGCAGCGTTACCAGGAGGACGGCCATGTCTTCGTGAAGGGCCTTCTGCCCCGCGAAGACGTCCTGAAGGCCCGCGAGGCCTACTTCGCCAGCCTGGCACACACGGGCGTCCTCAAGCCCGGCACCGCACACGTCGAGGGCATCTTCGACGGCGCCAAGCCGGCGACTGACTACCCGGGCATCGGCGCGGGCCAGGACGCTCTCGAGAGGTCCCCCGTGGCGGCCCAGTTCGTGGACGGGGCGCTGGCGCAGCACACGGCGCGGTGGTACTGGAACGAGGAGGGGAAGGGGTTCACGCAGCACCCGGCGCTGAGGGAGTTTGTGGAGCGGTTCACGGGCTGGGGCGACAAGACGCTTCCCGTGAAGAGGACGCTGCTGCGCAACAACACCCCCCGGCAACAAGGCCATCGGCGTGCACTACGACCAGAGCTTCCTGCGGTACGGCGAGCCGACGGCGCTGACGGCGTGGGTGCCGATGGGGGACATCAGCCTCGAGGGCGGCGGGCTGATCTATCTCGAGGACGGGGTGAGGCTGGGCGAGGAGATCGAGAACGACTTCTCGAGGAAGGCCAAGGAGGCCGGCATGAGCGACGAGGAGATGCGGAATGCCTTCAACTCCAACATGATGAGCACCGGGTTCCTCTGCGACGGGCCGCTGGAGTTTGGGCGAAAGTACGGTCGGAGGTGGCTTGCTACTGCGTATGAGGCCGGCGACGTGGTCTTCCACAAGTCACATGCTGTGAGATAAAACCTCCTTTTGCCTCTGTGGGCACCTTCACGTTACCCTCTGCTGACTTTAGATGTCCTTGGTTATTAGATCCATGCTTCCACGATAAACAATGATCCTGAAGGGAGGATCAGAGTCGGGACTGATCTGCGGTTTGTGGACTCGTCCAGGCCGTGGGACAAGGTAAGTTGGACACCACCTTGCAGACGCTGTTGTGTCGCTTTCCTCGTTTATGAATGCTGACTCCCGTGACATAGCGCTGGGACAAGCATTATGAAATGGGCGACGGGGTGTGATGGTATCAACAGTCTCGGCATTTCTGCAGCGGCCCCTGAGATGTGTGCAACGGTGTCACAAGAAGGATTTCTCATGTACATGTCCGTTCATGTCTGGCTTTGGTAACCCCGACAGTCGTAGTTTGAACAATCCAGCCGGACTCCTTTGCGCAGGCGAGAATATTTGCGATGCCCTCGTGGAACATGATTGCCACCAGGATGAGAGCTCTACCAAGTACGACATGAATTGTTCCGGCCGGGGAAGTCCGGACCGAATCGTCAGTCTACAAAGTCGTTAGTATGGGTCGCGTGAGGTGCCCCAGACCCGCGGTGGATCGCCTTTTTTTTAGTGGCATGGGCGTGGAGAGAAGCGAGGTCTAGAGAGCAGCACACGAGAATTTATCAATGTGGTTGTTGTGTGTCTGCGGCACCAATGAATGCAGCTGAAGCACCGTCCCCAAACATTTGGTCATTGAGGACGGCCAAGAGGGGTTGATGTGGGCAAGTAGGGATTCCTTGCGTTGAACCAGAAGAAGCTTGAGTGGATCGCGGGGCAATTGTGGGATGGATGGGGAAGCGAAGTGGGCTGCGGGACCACAGCAGCTCCAAAGCTCCAAGCAGCTCCCGCACCCAGGCGGCCCTGCCAGGGCTTGCCCAGGTGCGGCTCAATCCTCGGCGCAAATGTGGGAGATCACCAGGCTAACAGATCATGAAATCACCTCACCTGGTCTCACATGTCCTTCTTCCTGCTTCTCCTCCTCCTCCAGTAAATATATCTCATAGCCTCCTGCTCCTTGCTGAAGTGTCCCGTGCTGGAGACACCCACTTGCCATCCACACCCTCCCACACGTCTCCCCCACCATCGTCACACTGCGCACACTGCGGGGCATTTTCCCCCCTCCAAGTTACACCTTCACAATGGCCGGCCCAGTGCCCTTCGCAAAGTCGTTGGACCAGATCTACCCAGAAAATGCCCTCCCTTCTCAGGGCAAGCGGTGGAATAACCTCCTGAACCAATTCCAGTCCACCTATGGCCAGCCTGCCGAGTTTGTCGCCCGCTCCCCGGGCCGTGTCAACATCATCGGCGAGCACATCGACTACTCACTCTACTCGGTGCTGCCCATGGCCATCACCGCCGACTGCCTGATCGCCGTCTCCACCAAGCTCGATGCCGCCTCTGTAAAGCAGGGGACCTACAAGATCAAGATCGCAAACGTGCAGAGCCAGAAGTTCCCCAGTCACGAGTTTGACATCCCCTTTGATGCCATCGAGATCGACGCCACGGTCCACGAGTGGACCAACTACTTCAAGTCCGGGCTGAAGGGCGCCCTGGAGCTGCTCAGGAAGAAGCACGGCGCCGCCTACAAGCCCGTCTCCATGCAGATCCTCATGGACGGCACCGTGCCCGCGGGCGGCGGCCTGAGCTCCAGCGCCGCCTTCACGAGCACGTCCGCGCTGGCCGTCATGGTCGCCAACGGCGAGAAGACGGTCGACAAGACCGCGCTCACGGAGCTGGCCATCGTGTCGGAGCGCGAGGTCGGCGTCAACTCGGGCGGCATGGACCAGTCGGCGTCGGTCTTCTCCGAGCGCGGCTCGGCCCTCTACGTCTCCTTCTCGCCCAGCCTCACCGCGCGGCCGGTCCACTTCCCCAGGACGAACCCGGAGCTGTGCTTCCTGATCGCGCAGTCCTTCGTCGCCGCCGACAAGCACGTCACGGGGCCGATCCACTACAACCTGCGCGTGGTCGAGTGCAGCCTGGCGGCCGCCTACCTGAGCGCGGTGCTGAACCCCGAGGGGACCCACCTGCCCGCCGACGCGGCGCCGCTGGGCGTCTCGCTCAGGGGCTTCCACGACGCCTACTACGCGGCCCACCCGGACAAGGCGGGCAAGCCCGTCAAGGACCAGCTGCGCGAGCTGGTCTCGCTGACGGAGACGACCCTGTCGCAGGCCGAGGGCTACACGCGCGAGGAGGTCGCGGCGAGGCTGGGCGTCAGCGTGGACCAGCTCGACGCGCGCTTCACGTCCAAGTTCCCCGTGCGCGCCGACAGGTTCAAGCTGCGCCAGCGCGCGCTGCACGTGTTCCGCGAGGCCCTGCGCGTGCTCGACTTCATGTCGCTGCTCGAGGACCCGGCCAACCACCCGGACAACGGCGGCGGCGCGGACACGACCGCCTACAACCAGGAGCTGGGCGCCCTGATGAACGCCACGCAGGACAGCTGCCGCGACGACTACGAGTGCAGCTGCCCCGAGATCGACGACATCTGCAGCATCGCGCGGAGGGCGGGCAGCTACGGCAGCCGCCTGACCGGCGCCGGGTGGGGCGGGTGCAGCGTCCACCTCGTCCCGGCGGACAAGGTCGAGGCCGTGAGGGAGGCGTGGGAGAGGGAGTACTACAGCAAGAGGGAGCTAACACCAGAGCAGAGGGAGGGGGCTGTCGTCGAGAGCCGGCCGGGAAGCGGCAGCGCGGTCTACGTCGTGGCCGACGGCTCGTTGTAGTGTGGTAGCTTGGGTGCAGAAGGCGGTGGAAGGAAAAGAAGCCTCGTCATGTATATAATTACCCAATGTAAGGCTAGCCCTAGCCGGTCAACACCCTGTTGAATTAAGAGCACCGCACCGTGAGCGAGAGGACCCTTCAGATGACGATTTTCTCCTGGGGGCCCCAGGTGAGACCTGGCCCAGACATTAGAGAGAAAACTAACCAGCCGCACCTATATTCGTGCCGTCATATGTGCGTTCATCCGAAGCGCAGAAGACGACGGGGTGAGGCAAGAGGAGCCAGGGGGGAACGGGAACTAACTGTGCCGTCGGGACCCTTTCAACAAAGATCTGGGTTCATGCCGAAACAGCCCCAGCGCAATCTTCGAACGAACCTCACACCAGCCCGGTTCCCGGCTACGACAGGGCCGTTGAGGCTACCGGTGTCGCCTCGGTTGGGGCGAGCGAACCCGCGTCTCTCCCTCAGGAATTATCAGACGGTTGCCCCGACATCAGACGAGGAGAGGAAGGGGGAGAGAGGCCCGGTGGGGATCCTTTGGGAACGCCCCCACAGGGTCGCACCGGCTGAAGTCCCTGACGACTGATCCCACAGGGGCAGGAAAGACTGTGCTTGGGTTGTTCCGCTCGGGTAGAGGAGATTTTTGGTAAGTTTGTCGTCGTCCAAATACCCATACAGAATTGCACCAGAGATCCGGATGAGGGAAGCGGGATGGGGTCGGACAAGAGCTTGCCGGAGGCCGAGTGCCACGCCGCGTCCGTCGGACAGATGCGAGTGGCCCGTTACAGGCGAGAGAAAAGAACGAACGAGATGGGCATCCCACGTGTACGTATCACAGTAGAAAGAAGGATGCAAATTGAAGGGCTTCTAGTACCACCGTACTATAATCCCAACATTGCTTATTCCTCCCTGCCATTGCCTGCCTGCCTGGCCGACCTCTTGACTCTCGCAGCCCACTGCCTCTCCCGGCGCCGCATCAATTTAGAATTTCCTCCTCACCGAGAACCCCCGTCTTTTCGAGGTGTGACAAAAGAGGACATCACACGCATCGGGAGCACGGGTCGGCATATAGAAGGGCATCACACAAGAAGGGAAAGCCCACCCCCCTTCCCATTCTCGTATTGTGACAGCGTAATCAGTCAGCATCGCCTCGCTCCCGAAACTAATAAAGCGGAGTCCCCCAAGGGGCGCGGGTTCGGGAAGCCGGCAATCTATTTGACGACCGCGTGGGCAGTTTCGCAAGCAGAAGCAAGCTTTTGTGTGTGCGTGTGCATTTGGCATGTAGGGTCTGGCTTGCGGTGGGTGTGGACACCCGCAATCACCATTTCGGCAGGTTTAAGAGAGGGCCGATGGGGGACGCGGGCTGCTTTTTGCTACCGAGGCACGCAGGCCGTGTCGAGCCAGAGGTGGTGTGATCTTGTCGTACGCGAAACTGTCCAAATTGGGGCAGGGCAGGCGCTTTGACTATTGGGGTCATCAGGGTCTATGTATATTCATCACTATATAGTATTTGGAAGGCTGGGGGGGGGGGGATTGTAATGTCAGTGCCCATGAGAACAAAGATCCACGTGCCGTATTAGGTATTCTGAGCAAGGCAGCCGCTGTTACCGTCCGACAACATCAAAGAAAAATGCCCGGGATGTAGGTGTGATTGTGGGTATTCTTCATTTCCAGAAAAGTCCGTTCCACTCCGAATAACTCGTTGCATGGGCCGCCGACCTCCATTCTATGTGTGCAAACAACAACGCTTCCATGAAAACAAAAACAGGAGAAAATAAAAAGACGTGGTAGAGAAAAAGAAGTGAAAACAGCTTGGGGAACTCGGGAACACCCAGGCAAGTGGACAGGTTCCCGATGATTATTCACAGCAGAACCGATGGTCAACATCCTCCACTTTTTGGGGGAGCTTCCAGAAAAACCAAAACAACAAAAGACAAACAAAACCGCCGAGGAAATGACACAAGAAAATTAGTTGTTCGTGTGAGCGACTCGGATCGACGATAGCCGTCGACAGAAAAATGACAATGGAGGGGGGTATCTCGGTATCTCTCGCATACGAAAACGTAGTTGCGTGCATCATCAGCCGAAGAAACGCTCAGACTCCAGTAAAAGTACTAGACCGACCAGCCGGGGTGGTGTGTGAAGGGTGACAGGTTATGAGATAGATAGTGATCGTGATTGCTTCTCGAATAATCATCGGTAGATAGCAGGAAAATGATGCGGTCTTGTGTAGATCGCTGACCGAATATATTGGACGGCCGCAAGGAGCGCCCTCGGTGAACGACCCACACATCTATGATCCGCCAAAGTGGAAGACACTGGACATGATCGAGCCAGGTCGTGATTCGGTGGCTGTGGTCAAGGTTGAGTCTCTGTACGGCACGCCCTGGGCGCTTTCGCGGGGAGGCCTGACCGTCTGGCCAGAGCTAGAGGTTCGCATGCTCCATCGCCGCTTCTGTGACGCCTGGGACATACCGCCCTGCTGCTGTCCTTGCTGCATGTCAAGGCCGATAGGTGGGTCCGGGGCTCTTGATGTCGTATAGTGTTGCTGCTGGTGCATGTGACCGTGCTGCTGCTGCTGGTCACCTGGGACGACCATAGATGCGGACATGTTTGAGTAGCCGTTGCTTTGGGCGAGGAGATCCGTCCAGTAGCCGAAAGAATTCGTCGGCGCCGTCGGAAGTGGCATGTTGGGCATGTTGGGTGTGCTCATGATGGTGTCGTCAGGGTCCAGGCTAAGATTTCAACGGTTAGTATCATCTGAAGACATGGCGGATTTTGGATTTGTGAGACATGACGCGAGCCGTGAGCTGAGACATGTCTCACATTGCAAAGATGCGCCAAGAACCACTGGAGGCACAAAAAGAAAAAAGAAAAGAAAGACATAAGCTTACAATAGGAATGACGTGTTAGAGAGATCTTGCGCAGTTGTCATGGCAGATTGTGGATCCTGTGAAGTCCAGGAGCCGGCATCCGACGGGAGACTTTGAGGCGTGAAGCTTAGTGGCGCCGGCACCATGCTTATCTTGGACATGCTCTGGGCATCTTCCTCTACCTTGGGGAAGGTAGGCAGTGGTGTCTCGAAAGGACTAAAGTCGGGTATGTCAACGCCCTGCTGCTGATGGTGTTGGTGTTGCTGCTGGTGTTGCTGCGGGTGTTGCTGGTGTTGATGTTGCTGGTGCTGTTGAAGCTGTTGGTCGAGACTAGTCTGGCTGCGATTGGCGCGGTGGTTGACCGAGGCCATTTGGCATGTGGCACGAATCGGAATGAAGAATCCAGGTGGTAGAGCAGGCTGCGTGTCCTTCTTTGCGTATCCCATTGCCGAAGCGCATTGCACAAACTGCTGAACATCCGAGATATGGCGACACTCGAGCATCTTTCGTAGCGTGAAGGACGACAGTGCCTGCCAAGCAGGCGACTCGGACGACATTTTAACACGGCGTTTCCACGCCTCGTCGACTGGAGACTGGCGCATCAGGTTTCGAAATCTAGCCGAATAGGACCAATCGCGATGCGTCAAACCATCTCCGTCAAAGTGGTCGGCAACGTGGGCGAAGTATTCGTGTGCCTTCTTGTCGGCATCCTCGTCGCTCTGGGCCTCGAAAATGCGTTTGCAGTCCTGGAAGCCGCAAGCAAACACAACCTGCGGGCACGTCTTTGCCATTGCATCGTCAGGCAAAGGCCCGACACCCTGGTGGCAGGATTTCAAGTGGTTAGTGTATGCTGATTTCCACTCAAACGGCAAGCCGCAGCCGGGAGCCGCGCATGTCCAAACCGAATGGTTGGTGTGGAACTCGTGGAAGTGGCGTTTCAAATCGTTCTTTCGCTTGATCTCGACCGTGATCCCTCGTTCCCCGCAAAACGGACACTCGAAAGGATCCTGCTTTTTGTTTCCCCACGCGCTGCCAATCCCCCCCAAGTTCGAACGTTTCGATGCGCCTGCTGCTCGACGGACAACCTTGCGGCCAATAGAGCGTACCGACGAGGTTTGTGCGGGATTGTGGCCCGGCATGACATTTTGGTTGGACGCCGGAGATGGTGCGAGGCTCAGGCTGTGGAAGGATGAGGTGTCGGAACAGGTGGAGTAGAGACTGCCGGTGATGGAACTGGCGTCGGAAAAGGAGATCGGACTCGGGTTGGCCTCGAAAGCCACGGCGATGTGGCTGTTGCTGCTGGAACTGACAGGTGGTACCATGCCTTGCTCTGGGATAGAATGTTAGACACCGAGACAAAGGGCGCCCGCGGCGGCACCCGCGCGTGCGGTCGGCTTCAATTGGGCGTTCTCACCGTTTGCCGACATTGACCGCAGCATGCCCACAAGATCCGTCAATCCATACTTCCCCAAGAGATACCGCATCATAGCGCTGTCGTCCATGGCGTTGTTGTTGTTGTCCATCCTTCCGAATCTCAAGCAAATGGGCTCCACTGGCTCAATTCGGGGGAAGGTTCAGGGGCATGTGAAGGCGCGACATGCGTGGTTCAGAGGAGGACGGACGGATGTGCTGAGCGGAGTTGAAAAATAGAGTCAGAGTTGGGGGCGAGAAGATGGTCGTCTCTAGGTTTGATTTGGCGTAATTATCGATAAATTGGTCTCTGCTGAGAAAGCGAGGACGCCGGGCGTGGTCGGCGGTGTGGAAGGGTAGGGATCGTGCTGAATTGAAGTGATGATGTTGGAAAGTAGAGAAGGGAATAACAGAGGAGAGAAGTAGAGAGAGAAGAAGTAAAAAAATGGGTTCGGGGAAAAAAAAAAGAATGATTGTCCTCTGCGGGCGAGTTTGTACGAGGCTCTTCACATCCAGGAAGTGCCAATCACATCAACATCTGCAGGGTGAGGAGAGAGGAGGTCGAGTGGTGTGCGGCCTCAAATATAGATAGGTAAAGGTGCGTGCGAGCGTGGGTGCGAGCGTGTGGTGACCGGTTCGGTTCAGACGCGGCTTTCCACAACCTTATTGCCCAGGGCCTGGGTGTGGATGTGGATATGGGTACGGGTATGGGTACTGGCTCTGGATATGGACAGGATGGATCTGGATATGGAAATGGATGGTCTCAACCCAAATCAAGCGGTGTCATCGGACAACGCAGAGCAGGGCCAGTGACAGCAGGATGAAAAGGGTTATATGAGGGCGTATGCACACAGATGGGGCCGCGCCGTGAGGAGTGGTGACTGGGCCAGCCGGCCAGAGAGATTATGAGCTGATGGGCTTGGGTGCCGTCTGCTGCAGTCTGCTGCACTGGTTTAAACCCGGAAGGGCAGTCGGGCGGGCGCGAGACTGCCAGGACCACCGCTGCCTGTCACGGGTGGGAGCGCTGGGTTGGATTGGGAATAGCCCGGTGCTTGAATGGGAGGGAGATCGGCAGGAGCGTTGCCGGTTGTCGACGTCTATTTACGCAGCAATCTGCTGGCTGCTGGCTGCTGGGAAAGGTGAGGGAGTGTGAGGGAAAGAGAGCGAGGGAGAGCCCAAACAAGGTGCGGTGAGGTGTGGTTGGGGTTGTGGTTTGGTGCGAGCCTGCCTGCTGTGCTGTGCTGTGGTCTGCTGTGCACTGCTCTGCTCCGTCCCGTTCTGCTGTGTCTCGTGCCTGTTGGCTGATGGACGGCTACCTACTATCCTCCAGGTTCGGTTCCTCCCCTCGTCCTCCCCCTCCCCCTCCTCCAACCTCCTCCTCTGCCCTGCCCTACCGCACCCCATCCCATCACTCGAGCCTTGCCACGGCCAACTCCTCCATCTCTGCTGCTGTGGTTACTTTACTAGCCCTTCCGCTCTTCGGACTGTGGTTGGCCGGGCCCCTCGGCAACCAGCCCAAGGCCCCAAGCCCACACCCATCCAAACTCCAGGCCAGGATGCCAAGGGCGCGTGCGCCACGCTTCGGGTTCGGGGGCCACCGTAACGCTACCAATACCATCGCCCCTCAACACCACAGGCTGCGTGTACCAGGTACTAGACTAGCTGTTCTGCAGTCGCGGCTGTAGCAGCGGGAGCAGCAGGCTGTCGCGGGCGGAAGACGCGGGACCTCGGGCGGGGCTGTCGCTGTCGAGTCCCCCCAGGGCCCTGCTCGAACTGGGGACCCAGCTCTCGTTTCTAACGGGGGATCCCCATGAATGAGCTGGGGGTCCATGCTCCTTGCTCATCACCACTTAGGCATGTTTCGACACGGCTCGGAATGAATTTGGAAAGGAGCTAGAAGTACTTGAAACCAGAAGCTGCAAATACCGACCACTCACAGGAGCCCTGTGGCCTCGAGCTCCAGAGAAGGCCCTCTGACCGCAACTCAACTCGCCCGCTGCGTCGCAGTCGAGGTGGCCTCAGGGATCACAACTGATGATTGACTGCGGGCAGCCCCGCGCGCCCCAGCTGGAAAAAGCAAGACACGTACTGTACTGTGTGTGTGTGTGTGTGTGTGTGTGTGCATCCACGAGCCGTATGCGTCTGCGACCTGGTCCCAACTTGGTGGTGCACCAAAACCTTCAGCCAACACCGGCACGGGTGCGTCGCTCCTTCTAAGCGGCGCGCTGATGGATGACTGTTGCCCTCCACCTCCATCTCGGCTCGATGATCGACCCCCAACAGCCCGGGGCTGGGCCCAGCTGAAAATCCCACAGCCACCACCTGTTGAGACCAAAGTCATGCACGAGCAGCCACACAACCACCAGACTGTATATAGATGTGTTGCCACAAAGAGGTTTCACTCTGTCGCCGCCTCTTCTTCTGGTAACGGAGAGTCAGGCCCTGTGTTCACACCATGCTGCTCAGTCGACATGGAGCCCGGGTGTAACCCGGAGCAAGCCGATTCGGCGCAACAACAACGACATAGCACGGCCAAGCTGCCGCCTTGGTTGCCAGATACGACCTCACAGACGATATATCTGGGGGAATGGGTCATAGGCCAGCAATTATACGACAAGGTGACAAGGTGCACCATTAAGGTTGACACGGGCCCAGGCGGCTGTCATGGATGAGCTGAAATGGCGCTGGCATCGTTTGAATAGGGAAACACGCATCTTGCCGAGTCCAATCCCTGGCTCCCTGGGGCTTCCAGGTAATTGCTTGTCGTCCTGCCCGAACAAGTACATTGTGCGCATTGTCGCACAGCGGCGGGAGAGCCCAGAGGAGCGATAAGCCGCATGATGGGAGCTGCCGATGAAGGAACAGGGAGCCACGTGCTTGCAGATCGTGTTCGTCAAGATTTGTCCTGTCCGCGGCCACGGCATCGCTTGCTCGGTGTTGACAGCAGGAGGATGTGCGCCCGCAAATGCAAGTACCACACCCATCCCTGCGGGTTGGCCCATGGCCAGAGGGTATCATGGGCGAGAAAAGGCGACCACCTAGCTCGACGCCAGCCGATCTAATAAGCTGGATCTCAGTTGGCCCCGGCCTCATTCGAATGCAGTGCACGCTAACAAGTTTTGCGACTCTGGCATCAGTCGACGACTCCACGTCTACGTACGACGGCGGTGTATTCCGCGGATGATCCATCGCGGAGAGCGTCTTAGTGTGATGCAGCGGGGGTGGCCTCTGCTCTACTCAGATATCCAGTTCGGGTACTCATAAATCGTAATTGTGCAGGATGTCGGGGTGGGTTGGGTGAAGGCCGAATCTGGAACTGAACAGCGATATTTCAAGGCCCGGCCCTGCCTGATTGACGTGCAGATTGACGTGCTGGCGATCAAGTGGCCGGCTGATCTGATCGGCGGATGTTCACGTCCATCATCATCATTCTCGCCATCATGCTCGCCGGTGGTCCGCCACTGGCCCGTCGTTGACTGCACAAAATTCGGTGGTGCATGAGGGATTGGGATTGCAGGTGGAATTCGGCCGTTGGAGACAGCTCGCAGGCGGGCTGCAGCTCTCCTCACGTCAAATTGGTCAGTGTCAGAAAAGCGGAGCCGGACACCACCCGTTTCTAAAAACAGAAGCAGGCGACCCAACACCTGCAGGCCGCATCTAATAAGCGTGCTTTGCTTGCAGCCTCCGTGCGACCAATGCCAGCCTGCCTGGACATTCCAGGAGCTGCGTAGTACAATGTCAGCCTGATCAGGGCTGAGCGGTACTGACGTTAGTAATTGCCTACCTGGCATGCAGACTACCACCTGGGTACGTGCCCTGGGTACTTTCATCTCAGGAAGGTGGAAGTGCAGCCCGTGCAAGACCTAAACGGAGCAAGAGCAAGAGCAAGAGCAAGAGCGAGTGCGAGTGCAGCTGCCTCGAGCTAGCACCGCGGTGTAATCAGAAAGTGACGTTGCCACGGCTATTTTGCCGACCTCGGCAGGTGCAGCCTCTTGAGAGTTGCACTCGCAGCCCAACACCACCACCACCATCACCATCACCATCACCATCTGCAGCCTCGAAGCTTGCAATCTGTTCATGCCCACCCGGCAGGCTGCATACCCAGCAGTACGACTCATCAACCCTTGGTCCCGTTGCTGGCAATGGGTCCTGATCTGCCCCAGGTGGGATTGCCTGTATGCTTGATGATGCCATCCATGCTTCCACCCACCCCGCCCTAATGTCACCTCGGGAGCTCCCCACTTGTAATAACACTCCAGAGCTCGTCAAGCTTCAATATTCATCAAACAAGCTGCGCTATTGACTTTGCTGACGACAAGGCGCACACGACCGCACTGACCGAAATTGCTCGGCGCCGGCTGTCCCGCACAGCATGCAGAATGCAGTGTCACTGCCAGTCGGTTCGGCCTGTCAAACCAAGTCATTGCCTGCTTCCAAGGTCTGCCATGACTCCATCCCCGTCCACTCACTCACTCAATCACTCAATCATCACTACGACTGGGGCTGGTACTGGGACTGCGTGCCGCCTCCAGATTAGCGAGGGCACGCAATTGTTCTCGCTGACTGGGGAAGCCGATGCGTACGGATATCCCGCGCATCTTCACGCGCAGATCCCCCAGGCCCTTCCGTGCTGCCACCCATCATTAGCTGACAGTGCCCAAGTATCCTGGTCGTCACGTCGACTTCCACGCGAGCATTGGGGCATCTCGGGTATCAACCGCTGAGGGTCGACTATACCACCAATCCCCAATGTGAGACCATCCACAATGCCGCGACGCAACATGCGTGGACTGGACTGGACTGGACCGGACCGGATGCCCTGGTATCTGTACATACGAGAGAGTGTCTTCCACATGCACACGAAAACGACATCCTTTTTTCTTACCACCCCCTCCACCCTCCACCCTCCCCGCGGCTCTTACTTTTTCCCACGTGCTCGTCGGGCCCCGAACCTTAACAACGTGGGAATCATGCAATGCAAGTTCGCGCCAGCAGTCACACGGCCGTGTACCACAAAGCAGGGCTCACCAGTTCATGATCTGCATCATGCACACAGAGTTCAATCTATTCCGTGCAAGATGATGCCCTTTGCAACCTTTGCAGAACCCAGCAGTGCTTGGCATATAACGTCCCTCCCTATCTGGCCCCTCGGACCAGACCTTCATCGCACGACGAGGGAACTCGCGGGGACGGCGAGGGGATACATCCCGTCGAAACTGTAATAAGCCGCATCACCACTCCCACGCACGGCAATAATTGCCCGAGCCAGCCACTCATCCTTAGCCCCTAGCCCTGCCGATAGGAGCTGGGGCTGTCACTCATCAGTGTCAGAAACGCGTCCTTCTTGGGGTCAACGCCCCCCTTCCCCCTTCCTCGCCCCCCACCACAGAGGCGCACACAGCATGGCCGCAGCCACGACATGTGCGCAGCCGGCATTTGTTGCTGCCGTCAGAATCTTCTTCGCTAGAGGGATATGTGTATCACTCCTGCAATCTGTGGGACTCCCCTGGTGAAGAGGTTTCGGGTAGGTCTCAGGTGAGGACGACATAGTTGAATCCTCTCTTACAGGCCGGTCCCTTTTGTACAATACCGTGCGGGAACCTTCCGATATCCATCGTCAACGGGATGCTTTAAAACATCAACCCCCATGGATTGCAGAAGGAACATCATCTGTGTGAAGGAGTCAACGGCTGCCCGTCGCTTCCCAGCTCCCGATACGCGTGGTCAACTTGATCAACCAAATTGGAAGTCTCCAAGGATTTGCGTGCTCTCCTCACTAGCAACTACAGACTTTGGAAGCAGAAATGCCAATTTCGCCATGGCCGATGTGCCCTCTGGAACATCAGGTACAATTGACCGTGGGCTGCAGCAACAATCCACAGCCAGAACACAGGGCCTCGAAGGGCAAAGTCCTTCCATCTCCTGATTTCATCGTCAGCACCCTCCAGGCCCAGGAATACTGATTTCACCCCAAACGAGTCTTTGCGCTCTACCTTGACTGCTCGCTGCCTTGTTGCCCTGTCCTTTGTGATTGAATTATTGTCTATTTTTACGATGATCCGCTTGGCCTTGTTTCTCGGTATCTCCTGGAATCTCCTGGCCCTCCTGGACAACACGACTTGTCAGGACAGCCGTAGCCCCTGAAGTATGGCGCGTCCTCTTGATGAGCATAGATGAACGGCCTGCATTGCCTGATACCAGCCTCGCCGCTCGGCACGCAGCCGTGCCTGGCGCTGCAAACCACCCCAGACCGAGCATCAAGGCTCCCCCGCTTTTCCACCAATTGTGTTTCTACATATTCCGCAGGTCCCGCCTGTCGGCTCTTGCCGCTCGTCTGTCAATGCGTTTGGGAACGCTCAGGCCGGCGGTGATCCGTTCTTCACTCGGGTTGTTTCCCTGGTGCCGCGTTGGCTGTCTGGTGACGGTGCCAGTGTTAGCGGAGAAGGACGAAAAAAAAAAAACAAATGAGGGGTGGGACCCTGGCCCGGTTTTATCAGGGTCACGGCGTCTACAGTGTTGCTCCTCGTCTTGGCCTCTCTGAGAAGACGAAAGAGGGTCTCATTCGATACAGTCCCATTGTGTGTGTCGAGTTTTGGACAGTGGCTGACACATCGGGCCCTTTGATTTGAGCCCCGGAAGGTCGTTCCGATCGTGTTCCTCCGGGGGCGCATGTGATAGTCGGAGCGCTGCCGGGACAACAACAAGGCCTCACCCACTTTGGACGCCAAAAGGCCAGTGGGGCATTCCCAAAACGGGGACTAATTGGCAGATACCCGGCAACGGCATCCCCTTCAACCGCGGCCCTGGTCCTCGATAGCTCTTCCAGAAGCGATGGGAGGACATGCGCCTCAGGGAGTCGAGATTGAACATGCCCTAGAAGTCTAGAGGCCCGAAGAACGATGCCCTCAGACGAGGGCCGCTTCAGGGTCGGTGTCAGGATTGCTAACTGCGGAGCCCCGCCCAAAGCGGAATCCACGTCGGACAGTGATGATACGAGTTCTGGCTTCAGGATTTCTGCCGTCCAAGTCCAAGGAAAAAAAAAATTGATGCCTTAATGAGGCGCTGCTATAGTATCTCGTAAAGCACGGGTCAGAGTCTTGTCAAGACTCGGAGGCTTCGGTATACCTGCTGCTGCCCTGAATCGACTCGATGCCACCCCTGATTTCCCCCCTGTTCCGTGTTGTTGTTGGCGAGCTGTTCTCGTATGCAGCAGGCTTATACGTGGACATCGTTAGCGACGCTCTTGTCGAGTCCACGGGATACCAAGAGGTCCTGCTGTATCGCCTTGGCCCCGTAATATTGATGCCAGACAATGGGACCAAGTGATGCCAATACCTTTACTCAGTATCCCTTCTGTGGAACGACTCTACGGCGGGTTGTCCGAATTCAAGCAGCGTCGTGAGTGAGAAACCAACGGTGTTCGTAGTTGAAAATTTGTTGCTTTTTGTGTTGCGCGCCAACCTGGGTCCCCTCGAAGTTTACTAATTATTTACAACCGATACAAATCGAACCCGGATGCTCCAATAAAACTCCTCGATGTACGAGGAATGAGCCGCACATGCAACTTTTTGAAATCGATCAACCCGCGGATGGGTATATTTTCAACGATCATCCGCCGTTTTCTCGCGGGTCCACGGGCTTTGACAGGACGTCCTTTTCAAGAGAATAGCAATGTAAGAAAGACAACATGCTGGTTGAGAAAACTCGCGAACATGTTCAAGACTGCTCATCAGTTACCATGCAGTCCTCCTGTTCGCTCCCTCATCGTTTCTCTTCGGGCCTTGTCCTTGGCTGTTGAGCACAGTGTCAGTTAGTCACAATACAGCATTTGTGAAGCCCAAGATGTATGAGAACACTTACCAGCATCCCAAGTAATGAACTCATGCAGCGCATGGCCCGCAGGCACCATGGGCAGCACAGGCACCTTCTTGTCCGTGATGACTTCCAGCACAGCCGGGCCGTCTGTGTCGATCAGCCACTTCAGGCTGTCAACCACCTCTTCAGGCTTGGAGACACGTCTGTGAGCGAGACCCATGGCGTCCGCGAGCTTCATGAAATCCGGGTTCTTCTGGTGGGTATGGCTGTAACGGTCCTGGTAGAAGAGGTTCTGCCACTGTGTAACCATACCTTGCTCCTCGTTGTTCAAAATGATCACCTTGACGCCAATGTTGAACTGTGCAGCGGTGCTGAGTTCAGTAAGAGTCATGCAGAAGGAGGCATCTCCGTCAATGTCGATGACCAGGGAATCAGGCTTCGCGACCTTTGCGCCAATGGCGGCGGGTAGACCGAAGCCCATGGTGCCCAGACCACCCGAGGTAATCAGGGTGCGTGGATGCCTCCAGCGGAAATGCTGTGCGGTCCACATCTGGTGCTGACCAACACCGGTGGCGATGTATGTGCTTTCTTTCCGGTCCTTGCACAGGTTTGAAAGCTGCTCGATCATCTCCTGAGGCTTGATACGGCCAGAATCTCCAGCCCTTTCGAAGTCGTTCATGGGCCACTTCTCCTTCCACGCGTTGATCTTTCCGAACCACTCCTTGCGGTCTTCCATGGTCTTGGATTGGACCATTGGGAGCAGCATATCCAGGTTGGTCGCCACGTCGCCCTCAACAGCCTCTGTGGCCTGGATGACCTTGTTGATGTTCTTAGGCATGATCTCGAACTGGACAATACCGCCTCGACCCTCTGCGGCCGCGGCCTTGGCGCCTGGAGCAAAGCCAGGGACACTCAGAGTGACGCGGTCGTCAAAGCGCCCTCCCAGGGCAATGATCAAATCAGCCTCCTGCATGGACATGTTGGCGTATGCTGAGCCGTGCATGCCCAACATGTGAAGGGACTTCTCATCCAGCTCGTCGAAGGCACCCATGCCTTGCAAGGTGGTCGTGACGGGTATAGAAGCCTTGTCGGCGAGAGCCCTCAGCTTGGCAGGACCATTCTCCGAGCAGATGACTCCGTTTCCAGCGTAGATGACCGGTTTCTTGGCGATGTTGATCAGGTCGGCCACGCGGCGGATGGAAGCCTGCAGCTGCTTCCTGCTGAGCTCTGCCATGGCCTGCGAGGCCGCGCTGGGAAGGAATGGCAGGGCAGACTCGGTGGGAATAGCCCTCCTCAAAACACCGGCAGTGATGTCCTTGGGAAGGTCGACAAGGACGGGCCCAGGCCTGCCACTAGTGGCGATCTCAAAAGCCTCGTTGATTCTCCTGGGCAACTCAGCGACGCTCTTGACCATGACGTTCCACTTGGTGCACGCCCTTGAAATACCAATGACATCGGCCTCTTGGAAAGCGTCGCTCCCGATTGCGCTGGTGGGGACCTGCCCAGTGAAGACAACCAGAGGTATGCCGTCAGCGAGAGCATCTGCCATGGGCGTGACAACATTTGTAGCGCCAGGGCCAGATGTGACCAGGACGACACCTGGCCTTCCTGATGCGCGAGCATAGCCCTCAGCCATGTGCCCAGCTCCCTGCTCGTGTTTTGGAAGGATAAAGTCGAAATGTTTAGAGTTGTAGATAGCGTCGAAAACGGGAAGGATAGCACCACCGGGATAGCCAACTGGGGGTGTGCGTCAGTCAGTCAGAACGTAGCCCACAGCCCAACCTTGCGTCGTAGGCTTACAGATGTGCTCCACGTTTTGCCTCAACATCATCTCGTGGAAAATCTCTCCTCCAGTCTTGCCGATGAACCTGTACAGACCGTCAACATAATTTTTTCCTGGCGCCATATCGATCGAGGGGGGTGTAGAGGTCTACACAAGGGTACGTACGACTCGTCCATGTCGGCCGATTTGTCGGCGAGCGGCTCGACATTTCTTGACGCGGTGTTGAAGGAGGGACTCGGCTTCGATCGGACATCACTATAGAACAGCTGGTGTTGGCAATTGGACCAGAACGAAACAACGGCCGTAGGCCACGAGTTGCTTGCGCACACGACTTACGGAGCTGTGGGTTGTGCTGCTGTGGCGGTTGCAGAATTCCTGGCTGTGGAGTGGACCGCCCTCCGTCTTGAGGCCGCGGCGAGGGCATTTGATGTGGTGAAGGACCGTTTTGATTGTGATTGTGCCAGGGCCTTGAAGGCCTTGCTGGCCTGGTGGCTGCCGGACCGGAGCATTGTGTATATGTGTGTGTGTGTGTGTATGTGGAGGAGTGGAGATGGTCTCAAGGGGGAGAAGAAAAAAAAAAAAAAAAAAGAGGATTAGAGCAAGACTGCTCGTCAGGCGCAGGTATGTCCTGCTCGTCTGGACAATTGGAAAGCCTACGACCTCTTCATCAACGTGAGGAACGTCAATGGCAAGTGGCAGCAGTGACAGCAAATGGTGATGAAGATTCAGGCTGGGCCGAGTGGGAGCCGGCGAAGAAGACTGCAGTTTATTTTATTCCAGAGGACAAGGGTCCGGTAGTTTGAGTCACTCTGGGGACGGGATTGGAGCTTGGGGGAGGGAGGGGGGAGAGTGGGAGACGAGTGGGAAGAATTAGCCTCCGAGATCGCCCACTTCACTCATTGACTTTTGCAGGCCAGCTTTCCCGCGGCGGAGGTTGTTCGGGTCGGTGGATGACTCAAATTGGAATTTTCAGTCGCGGGCAATTGCGGGGGAGAAAGGGGCCTGGGCATTTCGTGCCTGCCAGCCCAGCCTGCCACCGCCTGCACCCTCCAGATCTGGAATCGCTGGTCGCTTCGCGTAGTGCTGGTGGGGACATGTATAGTGGGGTTCAGGTTTGAGGTGGGCTGCGACATGACTAACCGTTTGCCTGCTTCTCAATTGGCCTGCTCGTCGCCCAACCGCCCACATTCCACCTCCCGCGTCTGCTGCAGTCCAATAAACTGAACCCACATCGCCCTCTTCAGGCCGGTGTTGCGCGTACTTTGTTTGGTCGTTGGTTTGACCACTACATTGCACGTGGATCAGGCTAGATGCTGGATCTATTTATTCTCTACATATTTGCGTACATACATGTGCTCTGCATCGTGGCCAACGGCCCAAGATCGCAATGTAACCCGGGTGCTAGATCTCGATTCCCTTCCAACTCCCAACCCAGCAAGCACCACCATCCATGGCCTATAGTGCGATTTGACACTCATAAAACGGCCAAGGCACAGCTAACAGGAGACCAACGCGGGCTGTGCCCTGATTCGGCTCACCTCCAATGTCCAAAACCAGAGTGCTCAACTGCCCGTGGATGTCGTGATGGCACACCGACACTGTCGAAGCAGAATCCGACTGCGTCTGTGCCCAGGTGGTCATTACCGAGAATACCTAGGCAATCCCGTCCACAGTGCCACACCACTCTCAGCTCCCGAGGTCCCCCGTGTCCAGTCCAGACAGTCACAAGGTTGAAGATGACGGTCACTGGCCTCAGGGTGGTACTGTGCTGTGGCCCACCGCAAGCTTTGAGTTCTCGGTGTCTCTCCTGTGCGAGCCTCAATGGACGGAGGTGAGGCCGATGGGTGTGCACTCGGAGCCACACCCAACATCGTACGAGAAAGTACGAGAAAACCTGTTGACCTCATCGAGGGTCCAAATAAGGTTTTTAAAGGTCGCAGCACAAAGGGTCCACAGCTGCACGTCCACCAATGGCGTCCTCAGGGGCGCTGGCATTCCATGATTTTTGGCTTATGTGAGGGCGCTATCGCCCCGGGGTGCCCACGTCCTCCATCCAACTTCTCAGGGTCCTTCGCGCTGCAGAGGCCAGGGCGACGGAACAGATACCTGGTTAGAGGCCTGGTTCGTTGCGACGCCATGCCCACATTTCGGCCTCTGAACAATCATCGTGTCAGCCTTATTCTGCTGCTTAGTCCTCGTAGCCAGGAACCGATCCTGCTCCTCGGATAACTTGGTCAAACTACGTAGGAGTCTCTAGGGGGTCCTATATCTCCTATACCCTCCTGTTCGGCCCGCCTCTCTTCTTCTATCACACCTCCTACACGTCCTGCAGACTAATACGTCTAGAGCACTAGTCGAGCAAGTACTCGGCAAATCTTTCTCTCTCCTTCTATTTTACTTCTCTTCTCGTCAGAGCAGCCAGCGTTTGCTCATGATCGGTTTTGGCAACCACCTAACTCCGGCTCTTGGCGGGCTGGAGCCACGATGGTGGCGAGGGAAAGGACTTGCGGTGTACAAAGAGGTCGATCGATCACACGGGCGATACCGCGACTAGGCTGCAATGCGCTCTCGATGGAATGCGACTAGCCAAAAAGTCTGCCCCTCAACCTGACCGATCGAGACGGACGGCGGCGAGTAGTTTGCGGAACTAACCCATGGCCAATCAACAGCGTGACCGTAGGTCAACGACGGTCATTTCTTCGCTTCAACATAGCGTCAACGGGCAGATGACGCACCATGATTCCACGAGGACATGAGTTCAGTACGAGACCGTTTACCTGATAAATCGCACAGGAGTCCTCGGCTCAGCGATGCCTAGGCTCTTCTCTCGACGACTTCCGTTCGTGGGAGCACGGTCCAAGGCGAAGCACATCGATCGCGCAGTCGATCAAAACCATCACCATAAGGATGCAAATTGGGCAAACCTCTCGAGATTTTTTGACGATTTTCGTCCGTGAATGGCCACGGCTGGTCAAGGCCAAGTGTGTTGACCACAGCTCTAGGGTTGACCATGATTCTCAGTCTTTCGCATGCTACAGAGGGAAAAGAGCAGGGAATTATGTTGATGCCAACGAGGCGAAGAGCAGTTGAGGCGGTGCAATGGGCGTGAACCTGAGGAATGACTAGGGCGTGGCTATCGTTTTCTTCTGGGAGAGAGTTCACGAAGTCAACGGATAGCAGCATCACAGAAAAACTCTCAACAGGTTGGGAATGATTCCGAAAGAAGAAGACGACAGCCAAGGACGACAGTGGGCAACATGAACGAATCGAAAGACGGTCCATCAACAGCGTGCCTCAAACACGGACTTATTGTCACGAATCCAGCCGCATCTATTCGAAGGTCAGAGGCTGGCCAGTCCGGTCGAGGGAGAGCAAAGGCTCGGTCGACTCGCACATCAACGCAAGGCCACAATCTTGATGGAAGAAAACCACACCATCGACAACGGCCAGCAATTACTGGAGTTCGTGAATGATGACGACTTGCCCAGCTACCTGCGCGAAGAAGTCCGCTCCCACCAGTAATGACGAGAGGCGAGCACAAAACGAGTTTGGCTTCGTCAATATCACCCGAAACGGCACCACGATAGGCGCGAATCAAGGACGTCACGACACAGCCAGCGCATCAGAACAGTCTGGATTTATATCACAGGGAGTACTACTGACATCGAATGTTAACCTGATATATCAACAGCCATGAACACGGATCAAGTCAGACCGACACATTCGCTCGAAGAGGCCGCATACACACACGGTCGAGATGAAAGCTCCGCCCAGCAAGGCGAGTCGGGCAAGACTGGAAGTATGGTCGAGCGGTGCGTGTCGTGTCACAAGGGACATAACAATTATCAGAGGAGAATACGGGTGATCAGGGGACATACCTCTCTGGCTACCCACCAAGAGCTGCTCCGGACATGTTTGCGATATCATCACGATCCAGCCGCAGCGCCGGCATTCGACCGCGCCGGCGACCAGCCTCTGAGCACCTCAAATCGCGACCCCAAGCCACCGATCCCGTGGCGGCTATGACCCTCGCAAAACTACGTCGTACGACCGCGGGCATGTTTCGGGCAGCCGACGCCAAAGAACACGGGCGTCATCCCCTTGTGCGACATTGTCCCCGGCGGAGTGGGCCCGGCGCTCGTGCATGAATGACAGCTGCCGTGTCGCGAGACATCCGAGGGCTCACAAAAGACGCCTGCGGCTCGAAAGCATTGGCCACCCCCAGGAACGACAACTTCGAGCGAACCGAGACGACATTCAAAAACATGTCTGACTTTGCAGGGTGAGAACCCGCGGGTTTTGATGTCGTTTCTTGGTTTGTTATGATCGTTGCGCCGGATCTATTGGCAGTAGCGTCGTTCTGGTTGCACGACCGGGGTAGGTTGTGAGGACACGCATGAACGAGCCGGACGGATTGAGCCTCAACGGCCGGCCGCTAACTCACCTATACAGTTGGAGATATACCCAAGCCTCGTGTGATTTGTTTGTTGTTCTAGTGTACCGACGATACCATGCTCGACGGCAGGAAACATTTATAATGCTCAAGGTAGGTAAGTTCCGACTGAGGGGACAAACCTCAGCTGTCCTCAAAAGCGCCCTGCGAGGTCAAGAAAAGTCGAAAAAGCCATGCTTCAAGGATACTATTTTTGCATTACATTTAGGTCTATGTGAAATATCATCGACCTGACGCTGTCCACCAAGCATCGTTTTGGCATACAAAAGAGAAACACGACATCCAGACAAAGAGGAAGATGCCCAGCCAACAGACCAATCCAAGCCGAATCATTCGCATAATCATCACATCGTGGAAGTCAACAAGATCAAAATAATACAGCAGTTCCACCCTGCGCCTGGATCCAATCGCCCACCGAACCTCGCATCCGCCGGAGCGAATGTCACGACACCAACTTGGAAGGATGCGTTCGAGAGTCGACATAAACATTATTAACCATCGCTGCAATCACATTGTACTTGATTAGCACATGAATTAGCCGGATGACCTGTGCGCAGTCTGGACGGAGGGCAATGATCAAGACGACACCCGCGACGACCGCGACGAGGTGAGTGCTGACCAACCGGCAATGGGCCAAGTGGTCGATTGAAAGGCACGGGTGCAATGGGCAAGGCCAAGTTTGGGAACGGGGAGGGGGTTTGTCCATCACTTACAGCAAAGCCAGCTCCAGGTCACCGTGGATGTGCGCCTTGAGCTCGATTTCAATCTCGAGGTTGAGGTCCAGCCTCAGCTTGAGCGGGTTCTTGCTTTCGCCGCCGCCGCCGCCCTGCTGCTGCTGCTGCATCATTTGCTGTTGCTGCATCATCTGCATCTGCTGCTGTTGTTGCCAGTACTGCTGCTGCTGCTCGTCGTCCTGGTAGTCGTCCTCATCTTCGGACTCGTACCGGGGCTGCCTGCGCTTGCTCTTCTTCTTCTTGCTGCTCTTCTTGGGCTTGGCGACCTGCTTGTCCTGCTCATCTTCCTGATTGTCCTGCTCCCAGTACGGCGTCGCCTCCTCATTGTCCTTGGGGGTGACAGGCCGGTCCGATGCGGGCGTTGCGGCGGAGTCGCGCTGCATCTCGGGCTCGGGCTCAGGCTCAGGCTCAGGCACCTCTTCCTCTTGTTCTACTTCTTGTTGGTCCTGTCCTTGGTCTTGTTCGGGCTCGTACTGCTCCTCGTCGCCGGAGTAGGCCTGGTCGTCATAGTTGTCTTCATCTTGGTCGTAATATTGCTCTTCATCGTCGTCATATTGTTCTTGGTCCTGATCTTGACCGTCCTCTTCTTGATCGTCTTCTGCGCTGGCCTGGTTGTTGCGAGACTCCGGTTGAGCGTTGCGGTTGGTCTCCTCAGCTCGTGGTTGCTGGGCCTGGTTGTTCTCAGATTGTTGTTGGCTCTGCGCCTCCTTTTGTCCTTGCTGTTGCGACTCTTGTCTCTGCTGGCCAGGACGAGACGACTCCCCTTGGGACTCCTTCTTGTCCTCGGTCCTGGGCGTTCCCTGTTGCTACGAGTGATGGCAATCAGTAACGTGTCCCACACGGGGGTGCTATTAGGCGATGACGACCTACCGAAGACGACATGATCACTGTGGTATGCTATTACAATGGCAGTTGGGTGGGGATGAGAGTGTTGAGCGACTCTAGTGAGTTGATTCAGATACTTGCTATAGTGATGGAGGGCAACGAGGCACTAAGTTGACAAAGTTGTCTTTACACAAAATGGGATTGCTAAGAGTGGGCAAGTGCACGCCCTGGTATGTCTATGTTTTAAACCCGTGGATGAGATCAGAGACCCTGCATGAGAAAGTTGGCAGCCTTGACGCAATGATCCTGCTACCCCGAGTACAGGGCAGTCGACAAGTGTCTGAAAAAACATGTTTTACAACGAAGGGGACCGATCACATTTCGATCATCTCACACCCTCAGCTCGCTCTTACGGCCGATGAACCCATGGCCTATGAGCACTTGCGTCAGTGGGCCCGGGATGGGTTGGGTGATACCGAAAGCTGGGGATGGAATCTTGTTTTGCAAGTCAAGGGACCGCTGTGCGCGTGTAACCGTGTTCTAGACCGCGCCTGTGGGTATTGAGGACATCGAGATGATGTGGGATGACGTCGAGGAAGCTGAAGACAGAGGCAGAAAGGGTGATTGTCACTGCGTGGGCAACGTTGACACGAGATGTACTGTCAGGTACCGACTCAGGGGGTCTGCGCAACATATGCGTAATGTGGGTACGTGGTGGGCCCCATCGCCCAACCCTGCAGGCTGTGAAGTCATAGCCGGGATGGAGCTTCACGGTGGAGGGTAGGGTGAGCTTCAGGTGTGTGGGGACAGCAAGGCTGGACCCGGGGAAAACATGACGAAGGAAACGGCCCTCTTTGATGCATACTAAGTAACCATGATGGGTGCCGAGTTGGCAACTTTGCCGCCTGGCTTTCCTTTTCAGCCTGACTATCCAGTGGTTGTCTGACTGACTGTACGACTGCACCGAGAGACCCGCAACGAACGCGCGCGAGACCACGACGACCCGGAGAATCTATCAACATTCTAATTTTGTCACCGAGTCCCCACATCGTATTGGACAACACGCGGAGATCGTCAACTATACGAAACGACAAAGGGGGGAGAGGGACCCAGAGACCCAGACGACAGCCAACATGGTCATAGGACTACTTGTCCTCACGTCCATACCGACGGTGACGGGCGTGGCCCAGGGCATCAGCGCGAAGAAACAGGAGAATGCGAAGTTGAAGGAGAAGATCAAGTTCAACATGACGGCAACGCTGTCCATCGACGGGGGGCCACCCAAGGAATCCTGGATTGTCCTCGCAGCGGGAAGAGTGAGTGGCCTAATATCTCCTGTTCCGGCATAGCGGCACTAGCCACAGCTGTCTCATCGGGCTTGGGAGGGGAGCTATGGCATCATGCCTAGTTTGCCCAGGATTTGATCGGATGCGCCAGCAAGCGACCAGCGCCAGCGCCAGCGGTGAACCAACATGCACCATGCAGCCATGCTCATGGGGCGCACCGTCACATTCTGGTGACTGCGAAACACTTGCGCACGCTGCTCGCCGTTGGATATGCCGAACCGCATCACGATCCGCAAACGCAAACAGGGAAAGAGAAACCCAGGTGGATGGCTCGAATCGACAAAGACGAGAGGAACAGGGCTGACTGATTCGTGACCAGATGTGGATAGACCACCCCGACGCGCCGTTCCCAGGCCACAAGTTCAACGGCTACTACTTCAAGTACCCATCCGAACAAGGGTATCAGGGGCTGGTGTCCACAATCCAGGACGACCCACCGATGCTGAACTGGCTGTACATCGACAAGGACACGGGCATGGTCAAGTACGGCAGCCGCAAAGACACGGCAGAGCACGTCGTCGGGCCCTGGGGGTGGAGCGAGGACGAGGAGTACCTGACCTTCGACGAGGACGACTGGCGCTTCATCGCAGTTGAGGTCGAGGTAGCACTCGGGGGAGGGACAAGGAAGATGTGGGAGGTCTTCCTGTCGAGGGATCGAGATGGCAGCTTGAAACCGAAGGCTGAGAGGGGAGGGGAGGGGGATGAGCAGGAGCAGGATGATGAGCAGCCGGCGTTTGACCCCCGACTGTCGTCCTACAGGTGGGCGCCGATCAAGCTGCTCAGAAAGCTGCAGCTGGGGGTGAACAGCCACTGGGTCGGAGGGAAGAAAGAGAACGAACAGTAGCGTAAACACCGTAGCACCACCAGGCTGGGGCAGGAGAGATGAGAAGGAGGACGGCCAGCTGGAGCCAGACACGAAACGGAGGGCCACTATTTGACGGCAAGGTTGGCAGGCTGCAGGAACAATTGGAACGGACAGGACAAGGCGTCGAGCAAAGGAAGGAGCTCCCCGGCGAGGGTAAATCAGCTGGTCTGAGCTTCACCAACCCCAGCAGCTCGCATGGGCTGGCTGCGTGGCATAATATCTTAGTGGAAGTCAATCTCCAACCACTTCATGGGACTGTCGGTGCTCTCTCTCTCTCTCTCTCTCTTTTGCCCAGACCCAGCCGTGCCGAGCGCCCGCGAACTAGGCTGGCTGACAGTTGTAACAGGAAGACGGTGGCCTGGGTAGGCAAGGCGAAAGGCGGAAAGACGGAGTGGTGATCGACGGCGCCCCCTGCTGTGATGTATCTGATGTATCTTCTGGTCCCACCGCCTGCCACCTACGGCGGCCATGGCAGCCCCCGTCTCGGTCTCCACAGGGGTCCCGCCCATGCAGTCACCAGCCAGCATCGATCCGATCAGCTGTGATTCGAGAGCCTAGATCACATCTGAGGGTGCAGGCAGATGACGAAGCCCCGGAAGGACCACACGGGGGTGAGGTATGATCTCATTCTGTTTCGACACCTTTGCAAATCGCAAAGGAAGGGGGAAATCAGGTTTTGACGGCGCGAGGGACACCATATAGGCCACGGCTGTTCTGACTGAAGCCTGGCGTGTAAAGGGAAAAGGGAAGACACTTGACATATTCATCCTTTTAAGACAAAAGAAAGATAATCACTTACCAGTAACCTTTTCCTCCTTCTCTACCATCACCCTCAACACCAACGGCACACATACCCACACTATCTTCATCCACCAACCCCCAGACTAGCAAACATGTCTTCCTCCCAGGAACGCCAGCCCCGCAGGCAAAAGAAGCAGCAGCAGCAGGTGGTCGAGGAGTCCGAGTCTGACTCCGGCTCAGAGGAGCAGTATGAGCCCCCGAAGAGGTCAAACCGCCGCTCGCGCCAGCAGAACAACCAGATGCAACAACGGAACCAACAAGGCCCCATGAACCAGATGGGCGGTGGCATGCCAGGCACAATGGGCAACGTCGCCAACCAGGCTATGCAGCAGCAACAACAACAACCGCAGGGCGGCGGCGGCGGCAAGTCAGACACGCTGCGCTTGAGGTTGGACCTGAACCTGGATATCGAAATCACGCTCAAGGCCAAGATCCACGGTGATCTTGAGCTGGCTCTGCTGTATGTACTCACCTTATTTATTTTCCATTGTTCCCACCCCTTGTTGGTTTCTTGCCACCCGGCTGTGTGGTGCCATGCACGGGGGAGGGGCTGCAAACCTACCTCCAAGTGGATGGAGAAAGGCCCCTGCCTCTCTGATTTCCCTCACTCTTTTTGGTCATACTGCCACAGGGAAACTCGCAAAACACATACCACACTGTCCAGCCAACACCTGTCTTCTCACCATCACACTGTACATCACATCTGTTCTGTTTCTAAAGGACGGGCAGGGACACAACGTAAAAATCGAAGGTGTGCACCATGGACGGCAGCTAAAAGGAGAGAACACAGTGAGACATAAACAACACTCCAAGCCTCGAATACCAGACAGTGTGTGTGTGTGTGTGTGTGTGTGGCGCGTGGACAGGAACCAAGACCAGACCAAAAAATCATGTATCAATACCGTTGTCGTCTTTCCCTGGTTGGCTAGTCTGTGGTTTGGCTGCGCAGTGTTGCCCTGAGCGACTAGCGTCCTGTTTCCCACACCATCATGTACTGTTGCCACGAACAAGGAAATGAGAGGCAACATGGAACTAATGTTTGGGACTAGGAACTGAGCGCGAGGGACGCACGCTGAGACATGCCTTTTCGGGAGGTTTTACGGAAATTTTCTTGTGTATTTTTTTTATTGTCATCCGCGGTGGGTTTGGCGCAAGCTTGGGTTTGGGGGCTCCATCAAGAGTCATGTTATGAATGGGTATGAACTTTACCTAGACTCCATCGGGGGATGATTACGACCTATCTACGTTAATTCATTTTTACCGTGTAATTGTTCATCCATCTACTGTATTGAAGATTTCGCCTCCCTCGGGAATAATAAAAATCAACAACAAAGTTGTCGATCCTAGGGGTCAATCGCGAGTCGTGAAAGTGATCTGCTCGTGAGTTGGAGGGCATGAGGTTCTAGATCTTCACCTCCGATGTCATTCTGATGGGATTGACCATGCTCCCCAGGTTTCCAATTCAGCTCGATGAAACCCTACGCGGGCGGGAAGGACGGTTGCTTGCAGCATCTTGTGAACAGAGTTTGCTCCACACCGCGGTGCGCCACACTCACCACCGCCGGAGGCGAAAATGTCAGGCTTGGACGGTCTTGGCTGTGGCGTGCTGTCCGATCTGGACGGGATGATCACTGGGGTGTTGCCCGTCCGGCCCTGTGAGGTGGCGCATGAACTTCATGTGAAATGCCCACGAAGTCCGGAGTGCCGATAACTCTCAAACCTTCGCAATGCAACACCGGGACTTCCACAGCATCTTCAACATGACGGACATGTCTCGGTAGAAGGGCTGCGGGCACTCCTTCCTCCCACCCTCCCTTGCCGCTGCCGCTGCGCCTGTCCGACCACACAAGCTGCTCCCTCGCAGGAAATGTGCAGCCGGAAACTGGGACAGGACGGGACGGCACACATGTGAGGTCAGGCCTTGTGCCCAATAGGACAGAGCCGCTGGTTCCACTGCGGCGTGCCACAGGTGAATTGATCGAGCCGCCTCCGGAGAGCTGGGAGCGGCCAATGGCTCGTGGCCCCGGCCCTCCAATTGGGCTGGGCGATGGGCCCCGGTGCCCTGACACGACCTTGCTGCCTTTCTCCACCTTTTGATGTGCAGATCAGTGCAACGTCGAGCGGTCCTGGCGGTCTTCGAGTAGCGGCGGGGAATCGCTCGTCCAGATTCCCGATGGCCGTTCCGTTGCTCACCCTTGCATTGTCTGTCTACACCAGCGATGGGTCGTGAAATTTTCATTTCGAAATATTTCACGGGCCTAAGTGAAATTTCGTTACATCCAGTTGGGTAGGTTTAACACATATATTAAGGTACCCTATTATTAGCTGTCCTAGGCACCTCTTAAATAGCTAAATAAGTGCCCTTAAGCAGCTAATTAATAAGCTAACCTTGCCCATCCCTTTAATAAGATAAATTAACTTTATTTTAATATATTTTATAATTAATTAGCTCCTTTAATTAATAGCTAAAATAAAAAAGAAGGTTATTTAAGGCTAGTTAAGTAATTTATATATATTATTAAGCTAAAATAATTTAATAAGTTTTATTAATAATTACCTATATTTTTATTACTTTTTAAAAAATATTTCTTAAGATTAATTATAGCTAATTATAATAATAATAGCTTTAAAGGCTTTAAGGGCATTTTTAATATTTAAAGCTATTATAATACTTAAATATTAATATAAATAAATATTAACTTATTAATATTTAATTAATATAAATAATTATATGCTTTTAAATATATTAAATTTATTATTAAAAACAATTTCTTGCTAAGCATATTATTTATTAATGCTTTAAATAACTATATAATAATATATTAAGCAAAAGATATTTTAATAATAATAAGTTTATCTTACTTTTCCTTAATTAACTTATTAATATAATAAAAAGAAAAGCTTAGCTTATAATAATATTCTTAACTTAGCTTAAATTATATATAATTAATAATTATTGCTTATTATAGCTTTAATAATATATAATTAATTACTTATTATAAGGTATACTTTTTTTACTTTATAATAAATACTCTTAAGGTAAGAAATTTAAAATTAAAAGAAAAAATAGCTTAATAAATATTAATAATTTGCTTTGCAAAATAAATAATAAATAATTAATATAATATAAATTAATTTACCTTAAAGTATTTTTAATTCTTTTATAATTATTATTAATGCCTTTAAATACCTTGTTAATAAGGAATTATGCAATATATATAAATATAATTAATTTTTAATTACTTTTATATTAATATAATTAACTTAAGAATGGTTATAAAGTATATAATGGCTTGTTATGGGTTAGCCTTAAGCGTTTGTTGGAAGGTACCTAAAAGGAGTTATAAATTGCAATATTTAAGAAGTAAGTTAGGCCTTGAAAGGGCCTAACTTTAAATTTATCTTTTAAGTATATGCTTTGTTATATAAGAGGGTTGGGTGTAATGTAGGCCCGGCATGGGTATGCATTATGGCTTGGGCAATAGCCTAAGCCTATTATATAGCCCCCTTTTCACTTTTATATTACGCGCGGCAAGGATTGAACCCAGGGCTTTTGCGGTTTTATGCTGGTTATATATCTACTTCATTACGTACTTATCTTAAGGCTGTATTTATTTACCTTGGGAGCAATGATCATCCATTCCATTCCCGCGTTGGCTATATTTATGTGCTATGCTTAGTATAGTATAGTATTGTTGTGGTATGGTAATGTTATTGCTATATATGTAGTCCTTTATTAACGCATTGTGATTATGCACAAGCTATATATATTATCAACCTCAAGCCATAACACGCCCTTATTAATGCATTAGCGTTACTTGCCATAATTATTACCTCCGCACTATATTTATTATCGCTACCTAAGATAACTTCCCTATAGGCGCACTCTCCTTTACAATTTTTTCTTCCCAATACTACACTATCACCATAATGCATTTATTATGCGCGCCGTTTTATTGCTTTTGCATAACCTTTTTATTGCCCTTGCGATTATTTTTCTATCTATATTAATTACCCCCCCTCAGCTCCGTCTTACTCCTAGCTAGAAAGCCTTTCCTAGCTTAGTTAATACCTATATGGTCCCTTGGCCTCCTTGCAATCCAATCCTTTAATTATTCATCCTTATGCTTATTACGCTCTCCCTATGGCCGCCCTTTTTTTATTAAAAAGTCATTACCTTAATGCGTTAACACTCTCTTAATCCTTTAATGATTCCTTAATATACCCTCCTTTATTTATATTTTATTTATTAAGTGCTCTTTCCCTAGCCTATTAATACCCTCTTAGTCCCTTAATGTCCTCCTTAATACCCATTTCCCTCCCGCTGCATAAAAAAAAGAATAAGAAATGGCTTTCATTATGGGTTTTAATAGTTAGCATGGCAGCTTTAATGCAGCCACTATTAATAGTGATAGCAATGGCAAGCCGCCTTATTGCCCTAATAATATAACTCTTAAGGTTATTTCATTTCTTCTTTAGCATAGGTTTATTATAGTTATTAACTAAGTATAGGGATATTGCATTATAAGATTATATTAAATGCTTAGCAATTTTAATAATAAAGATTAGCAGCTTGCTAAGCAGCTACCCTTTCCTTATAAACTATATATTATAATTTTTTACAAAATTAATAAGCCGCCTATTTATATCCCTAAAGGTTGCGATGCATTTTATATTAGCTGCCGCTATTATAAGCATAAGTATATTTAATATATATATGCATTTATTAGTTTGCCGCTATTGTAAAATGCATAACGTTGTTTAAAAAGAGTGATTATTATTAATAATATGTAATGGGCTTGGGCTGGAAGCCCAAGCCTTATAGTGGCTGGCTAGGTAATCCAAGGGAGCTTGGATTATTACGTACCTTTTGGCGCAAATGGTTGCTGCTTTGCAGCTTATGGAAGAAGGCGCTAGCTAGCCTGCAGCCCCTTTGGGGCTAGCCTATAATAAATAATCCAAGCTTTAGGGTTAAGGGTTCGAGTCACGTCTGCCGCAAGTAAATGCGGGCACCCCTTTCGTGAAGAAGATCCCTGGCTTGAAAGGCGATGTCGCGGGTGAGCCTTGGGGGTAATTGTGCGCCACTAGTAGTTGGGGAAGGGGGCTATGTAATGGGCTTGGGCTGGAAGCCCAAGCCTTATAGTGGCTGGCTAGGTAATCCAAGGGAGCTTGGATTATTACGTACCTTTTGGCGCAAATGGTTGCTGCTTTGCAGCTTATGGAAGAAGGCGCTAGCCAGCCTGCAGCCCCTTTGGGGCCAGCCCATAACATAATAGCTATATTCTTATCCTTAAGTAGGTTAAGTTCGCTACCCTTACCCATAGCAACGCGGCCATATTTACCTTAGTTTTTAATTGCGCTATTATTAATTTCCATAAGATTATAAGCATTGCATTAGCGGAGCCGCCCCTTACCGCCCCTGCTATCTACTTAAGCAGCTATGCTTATTTTTATGGCACGGCCTTAATTAATGCCCTTATTAACCCCATTAAGGGTATGCCCTTAACCCCATTGCAGCTTACTAATATATTCTTATCTCCTACTAATATTAATATAGTTATATATTGCATTAATAATATTGGCATTAATAATTACTAATTAACCTACTTTACTTAAGGAGTAGTAAATGCCTTTATAACCCTTAATAATAACTAAAGAGCCGAGGCTAATCATTGCGCTAACAATATGCGCGCCCTTAATGTAAGTACCCTTCCCCCATCCTTTTCCTGTGTTTATATTAACCCGGCCTTAAGCGCATTTTAATGCATTTAAGGATCGCTATTATAAGGAGTTTAATGCAATAATCAATACCTTAAATGCTTTTACCAGCCGAATTTTTAGCGCTAAGTAGCGCAATCATAATTTAAATCGCCATTATACTTGCAATAAGTTTAAGAAGGAAAAGCGAGAAGATAAAAAGGAAGACTTTAAGAACTTGCCCTTCTTTAATTGCAATACCCTTTATTGTAAGTATTAATTAGCTTAGCTCATTATTATAGCTATAATGAATTTAAGTAATTAAAAGCTTTATCTTTAAATAAAGAGTTTATAAATTT